AGTAGTGTACTGTAGTGTACTATATACATATATAATTAGCTATGAATTGTAAATATCCAAATTATAAATTAATGATATGATATAAGCTGTAGTTATCCCAAAATATATACATATAAATAAAATTGGAGCATCTGTTTGTAATATTCAAATAACCGTTTTTTACGACATGCATATGAATATAAATATGGTACATACACCAAAATAACCATTTTTACAATTTTAGTCTGTCTGTTTGTTCCGGCTAATCTCTAAAATTGCTGGACCTATTTTGACGCGACTTTTATTGACAGGTAGCTAATGTAATAAGGAGTAACTTAGGCTATCTTTATTTTAGAAAAATAAAGTTAAATTCCACGCAGACGAAGTCGCATGTACAGGTAGTAATGTATAAAATCTATATGTTAATCTTTAGTGTGTGATAGTGTAATAAGTAATGATTTCCATATTGCACATGTCACTTTCTAAACGCGACCTCGGCACGGCCTTGCGGCACGAATCCGGTATTATCTAACAATTTGTATTATAATAACTTTCTTGCTTTATACAAAACCTGCATAACTATACTTGCAACTCACTCTGATATGATTACAAACATAACTTTATTTTTCTGAAGTAGCCTATGTTACTCTTTATTACATCAGCTACTTGGTAAAAAAAGTCCCGTCAATATCGGTTAGAAAGGTTAAAAAGTCCCGTCAATAGAGGTTAGCCGGAACAATCCGGCTAATCTCTGAAACGGCTGGATAACATAACATTTTATAAAAAACTGGATATATATAACATAACATTTTATAAAAAGCTGGATAACATAACATTTTTTAAAAATAACATTTTTTACATTTTTTGTCTGCTTGTGCAGACAAAAATTGTAAAAAATGTTATTTTGGTGTATGTGCCGTATTTTTATTCATATGCATATAGCAAAAAACGGTTATTTCAATATTACAAACAGACACTCCAATTTTATTTATATGTATTATTATTGATATGTATTATTTATTATGTATTATTATAATTATCCCAAAATTTTGGGATAATTGTAAATTAATAATATGATAAAAAGTAAGAAAAATAGTAAGAGTTCGGTCAGTTCTTTTTAACTCAGACTACAATCATAATAATTCATGACAATTCACACAGCGTCATCTAGTCCAAAGGTAAGCAGAGCTTGTGTGAGGTTACTAAACAACTTTTTAAACACATACATAATATTCATAGTAATAGCCCAGACTATGTAATATTACACTCTAACACTCAGCATAATGCTACAGATAACTCTGCAGCGCTGATATTCTGTTAGCTCCTTACTTATACTATACATATTACTCGTGAACGAGTGTTTGTGAAGTTATGTCTGTCGTGCTTATCAACGAGTGCTGCTTGTAGGGACTGGTCTGCTCTTATCACTACGACTGATTTAATCTTATTGTATTTTATATTTGACCCTAATAATTTAGTACTGGTTGGTAGTTTATATTCACACGTTTCGAATTGTAAATGTAAACTTACAAGGATTATTTAAAAGAGCAACACACAAGTTTCTTGCTCGTTCTTCTTGTGATGAGACAGCTTTCCGAATGAGCGGTAGATAAAAAAAATTGTTATGACTATTCAATGGTGCTTAAATTAAGATTATTTGAATAAATGATTTTCTATTTTTACTAAAAAATTACATAAATATTAAACTTCGAGCTCATTATCAAAAAAAAATATTAGGTATGTATTTAAAAAATATATTTCAATATTATTATTGTATCAGTTGTCTACTATCTATAACACAAGCTCTGCTTAGTTTGGAACTAGATGGCGCTATTTGAATTGTCCTGAGATATTATTATTATTACTATTATATATCTGTCTGTTTGTAACCTTTTAAAAACTACACGACTGACCGTATTTTAATGAAATTATACGTTAATAGAGATTGTATTACGAAGCCGGGCATGGCTATCTTTATTCACAAAAAAACAAAGTCGCAGGTAACAGGTTACGTTATAAGTAACAGGTTACTGCAAGAGGATGAGAGAAACAATCAACTTTTTTCCATTCTCTCGATTCTTATAACGTTGAAAGTTCCGAACTGTCAGGTGTGCGTTCTACAAACGATTATCATTACATAGTATAAAACAGTCGCTGTCGCTGTCTGTCCGTCCCTATGTATGCTTAAATCTTTATAACTACGCAACGGTTTTTTTAATAACTAAAATCATGAAATAAATAAGAAACTTTCACATAAAATTCATTTATCAATTAAGTGTTATATGTGCTCTGATATTTAGTTTTCTGTGATGCGCGTTGATGTCTTTTGTATAGAAAACCGTATCGTAACTAATGTTGTATACATTTACCTTACGATACGGCTTCCTAACTAGAACGGCTTACTAAAATTAGATACAGTATTTTTTTACTATTAATATTAGCCTTAAGGTACTCAGTAGAAAAACTACATATAAGATTTTTTTATATAGATAGATAATATTTCTACCGCATATATCACGGGGAGTGTTCTGAGGAATTGTTCGGATTAATACCAGCTGCTGAGTTTCACCACCGTACCACCCACCAGAAACTGAAATACCATCCTGATCATCTGGATGAATGGCGGTCTTCCACAGTACGGTTTTCTAGAAACTTTTTGCCTCGCACAACCACATTGTGGAATCACCTTCCAGCAATGGTATTTCCGAACCGATACGATATTGAAACCTTCAAGAAAAGAGCTTATTCCTTTTTAAAAGGCCGACAACGTACTTGCATTTCCCCTGGTGTTGCGGGTGCTCATGGGCGGCGGTAATCACTTACCATCAGGTGAGCCGCATGCTCGTTTGTCCCCTGTGTTATAAAAAAAAAGATAAAAAGTTTTATTTTTCAAATTTTACATATCATTATTCTACTATCCTGCAAAACTCCTGTCGGGGTTTGTCTGCGGGCATGTAGTTCTCTCTTATCTAATTACAATAGGTACATGTTTATATATTATTTTAGATAGTATTTTAACGTACACATAAAATACAATATTCCGTTTTAGAATATTTAAGTATTAAATACTATTAAATAAGGACAAGATTTTTATGTTTTCTTTTTGTTGTTTCTATAATTTATATACAAATATAAAATGCCTTACAATAGAATCATGAATCCTTTATTCAATTCAAGGTCAAGTTGTCAAACATGTACTAATGATGAGATTCAACTTGGTAAATGAGTACACTCATCTGCCGCCTCCGAATAGAATGGAATAGAAAATCCTTTATTCAAATAAACTTAATTTAATCACTTTTGAATAGAAAACATTGACATGTATAATTTATAAATGTTTCATTAATACGAAGTTGAGATACTCATATTATAAATAATGTACGTACTTAATATTGACTAACGAATAATAACCAAAATTGACATCTGTTTTGTCTGTTGCATGTCAGAAATGACAAAATGTGTGAAACTAGTTCTAAAGATCGGTCGGCAACGCGCACGTGACACCCCTGGTGCTTCAGGCGTCCATAGGCTACGGTAACCATTTACCATCAGATGGGCCGTATGCTTGTTTGCTACCATAGTAGTATAAAAAAAAAATGTACCACATTTTAAGCAATAAATATTCATTTCATTTCATAGTCAGTTTTTTTTTATCTACCTCTCAGCGGATAGCTATCTCATCATAAGAACGAGCAAGCAACTTGCGTGTTGCTCTTTTAAATATATTGTTGTAACTTTACATTTTTAAGACGAAATGTGTGAATACAAACTTCCACTAATTTGTTAGGGTTAAAATATTAAATATATTTCGCATACTTTGCATTTTGTAATCAATTTATTTAGCAAGATCTCTTCGACTTTATGTAACTGTAAAATTCTTCCATAATTTTTTTTATTTTAATTTATACAATTATACAGAAACAATTTTGTTTATGAAATCAAAATAATATTTTTTTTTGTGAAAAATAAAAATAATTCATGGTTCTAGACACGCGGGAGCGTGTCAAAGCCGAGTTCAAGTAAGAGAACTGGCGAGCAGCACCGTGTGTAGTTTTACACGAACCATTTGGAGCCACTTTTGACCCTCTCATTATTTATTTATTTATTTAACTTCAATGTACATAACACAAAAGGTAGGCAAAACAAGGGTTTCTAGGTTAGACGGTACAAATAAGTCAATATATAAATAGAATGCTGTTTACACTCGGTTCCAGATAGCTACAAATAATCACAACTATTATGTACATATTTGGATGATGACTTTTTGGACATGAGATAAAGTACACAAATTCAAAAATCATTTATTCATGTAGGACATTTTAGCCGCTTATGAACGTCACATTATTATAATTTTAATTTTTTCCTTACGGTTATAGATCTGATTGAGAAGAACTGGCAAGAAACTCAATTGAATAACTTTTTTTAAAGCCAGTCTATTTACAATGTATATTTATATAGGTGTCTATGTCTAACATTAAATGAAAATCCCGTGCATGAACAACTATTGCCATGCACGCTCGTCATTCAAGTAATAGCTTTGCTCAGTAAATGTGATTTAACAGATGTTTTGAGTTTATTTAAGGGTAATTCCAATATATCCTTTGGTATTTTATTGTAAATTTTTAAACCTATTCTCATAAAACACCTATTGACTTTTTCTAAACGATACTTGGGGCATACAGCGAGTTTGTCTTTAAATCTAGTATTACTAACCCGTAATGCATCATTACATAGTATAAAACAAAGTCGCTGTCGCTGTCTGTCCGTCCCTATGTATGCTTAAATCTTTAAAACTATGCAACGGATTTTAAAGCGGTTTTTTTTAATATGTAGAGAGATTGAAGAGGAAGGTTTATATAATACATGTACACCCGTGGGAAGCCGGGGCGAGTAGCTAGTAATCAATAAATCACTCATTTGTTTTTACGAGTAACTGTCTGATTATGAGGCAAAGTACCCGCAATGTTATATCCAACCAATCCATCACTAATTTAGTTTTAATGGTTTATTTATTGTTGCAGAGAGTAGCGGCTCCCAGATCTTCAGCGAGTGGAGGCAGGACGTGTCCGTGTCGGGGTCCAGTCCGCCATTCGAGACTGCCTTCTACGTCACTCGTCTGACTGTCACTACCGACCTTGCAGAGGTCGTTAAGACCGTGAGTATAAAATATACTACTATTACTATTTTATATTTTAACTTTGAAGCGGTAATTATTTATACGTACAGTTATGAAAAATCCCGTGATTTATCCTTATCCTATTTGGGAATATAATTTTTTCTTTATGCACACATTTTATTCCATTGAATTAAATTATCATTACATAGTAAAAAAACAAAGTTACTATCGCTATCTGTCCCTATGTATGCTTAAATCTTTAAAACTACGCAATGGATTTTGAAGCCGTTTTTTTTAATAGATAAAGTGATTAAGGAGAAATGTTATATATATATATATATATATATATATATATATATATATATATATATATATATATATATATATATATATATATATATAAGAACAGAGAAACCGAGAAATATAAGCCGGGGCGAGTGGATAGTCTTCAATCTTCTATTATATATATATAAAATAAGAAATTTAAAATTTCACCGCAGTATATATAATAATAATAATAATAATAATCTTTATTTGTCTCAAACAGAAACTTTTTACACAATACAACTATTGTCCATAGAATAATATAATTTAAAAACTAATTAATGAGACAAAACGGTCTATAACACAGTGGGGGCAGTGAGTCCACCCTCTCTGCTATTCTGTTATAGCCTTTATCAGTAAAATACAATGTGAGATCGACGACGACGATAGCATATTAAGTTTTAAACTACAACTAACAAAGTAAACATATAAATTTACAATAACAAACTTAAATATATATAATCTAAACATTATTCAGGTCACATCTAAAGATTCGGATTCCCGTCAACTTTGCGAATATTGTTCGCAGTGAACCCCGCAAGGAGTGCCGCTAATTTAGATATGTGAAATAATAATCTAAAAATGAACCTTATTCATATAGTGCGAGATTCTTATCTTGCTGTAACACAGTTATATAACTACCACGGCAGGTAATGATTTTTAACTGTATACCCTCAGAAATGTTTGTTCTGTTTTATATAGTTTATAAATATTATTATTTTTTTCCATTATTATTATACCCTCAGAAATATTTGTTCTGTTTTATATAGTTTATAAATATTATTATTTTTTTTTTCCAATTATTCTCATCTCCCCTCTTAAGGAGAGGAGATGGCAACTGTATACCCTCAGAAATGTTTGTTCTGTTTTATATAGTTTATAAATATTATTATTATTATCATTATTATAGCAACAGAATGTTGTACAAAGCATTTTCGGTTTCTCAATTCTTATATTTACTTACCTGTAAATATAAGAATTGAGAAACCGAAAAATATAGACCTCTAGGTCTATAAACGCTAGTGTATGTATTAAAAAACATATAAGATATATATTTTTTATATATTAAAGCTTTTTTTCGGACTATTCTAATGCTGTTGGTCGCAGCTGGCCTTTACAGCTTCATCGGACGATAGGGAACGAGTGCAGATGGCACTCCAAACCTGCGGAAAGACTTATGGAGCGGCTGCAGGCCAACTCCTGTCTGACGGATACGAGTTTAGTCTGAGGGCACCACTAGGGGTTCGAACCTCAGCTCAAGCCGTCGTAATTTCGATCCCCGTTTGAATTGGACGGGGGTTCGATCGAAGGGGGGTGTATTAAGCCATGACATTGTATTGCTGTAACTTTTGTTGGTGATCTTTAAAAATAGATAAATAAATCAGATATGTTGTCATTACCAGCGTCGGACGCTTCACCTTGGCGAGTGTCTCCCAGCATCATGCTCCCGGGAGCAGGTCTCCGCGCTGGTGAGCGCTGCTCGAGCACCGCTGCTGCGACATGCCGTGGTCGCTGTCCGCACACCCAGGAATGGGGCCTATGTTTACATCGAGGATCCCACTTTCCAGGTTCTATTGTGAGTACTTACATCAAATGAAAATATCTTCCTTCATATAGGTATATTACAGACTCTTATATGTAAAATGAACCGTCAGTTCGGAGGTAGGGAGTAGGTTCGCTCAAGATTTCTGGAGTTGTAACAAAAAATGAAAAATCTACACAACTGAAAACGATAAAAATTACTGGAAAACTCGAGTAATTCAATTTTTTTAACATCGCATTCAGAGACTTAACAAAGATATTGACAGATGAAGCATAAAAGATTTAGTAGTATTCTTAAAAGCCTACCTTATTGAAATTTTAAAGAGCTCAACGAATTACATATATTCTTTATTGCACTATTAAATGCAGTAGTTAACTTAAATATATACAGAGTGAGCGAAGTTGGACTTATCTCTAAAAGAGATCTCTACCTGTCAACCCAACAGTGAGGTATACCTATTAGTGAGTGGGTAACACATGTGCAATTAACAATATTATGTAGAAATGTCCAAAATTTGAAAAAAAAAATCATTTAAAATTCAATAAATTAAATAATTTTCTAATTAAATATTTTTAATAATATAAATGTAAGAGAAAGGTTTATATGTATAATACATGTACACCCGTGAAAACCAGAGGCGAGGTAGCTGGTTATTTTTAAATTAACATTCATTTAGTCATTTGATTTATAAACATTATCACATTGGGATACTCCAAATCTACACGAGTACAAGGCAACAGCTTCCATTATTATATAAAAGTAAACTTTGAAAACAAAACTATACAGTGGACCCCCGGTAGTCCGACAATCATTTTGCAGGGCAGTGTCGGACTATCGAATTTGTCGGATTATAGAGTACTGACTAAGACCCCTTATAGTCCGAATTTTTTTACAAAAGAGTATATAAATTATAGATCCAATAATGATTCTTTATGTTACAACAATAACTATAGTTTTGCATACAAATCGTATTTGTCGGATTATAGAGTGCTGCTTAAGGGTCCTATAATAATATCTTGTAATCCGACAAATTACAGATCCAGTGATAAGATTCTATGTTATATATGTATGTATGTATATGCACACAGTATATTGTCAAAGTAATATTCAATAACAAATAATAGACAATGTCGGATTACAAGGGGGCCGGATTAACAGCTTAGCCGTATATACTTAAGAAAGATTATAATAATAATCTCAGTTAATTCACACAGCGGACCCAAGTTAAGCTAAAACTTATAACTGATACAAATACGTAGATATATTTTTTTTCGTAAATACATACATATTATACATAGAAAACACCCAGATCGATACAAACAATCATACTCATGAATACAAATGTTTGTGCGGTGAGAGGAATCGAACCCACGACCATCGGAAGTAAGGCAGTGTGCCAAACCGCTAAACCACCGAGGTCGTAAACGATAGATATATGTAGTATCTTTTTAGTTACGAATGTGCACGTGAATGTAATCGTAGCGATGCCGCGACGTTGCAAATCTTTAACAAACGGCCGCGAGCCATTCAAAGCACTCGACTAGCAATAATAACAATTGCTGCAGTTCAACTTACAAAACAACGTTTGCAACCGACACATAATCTGACGCAATTGTTTTATTATATAATTATTTGTATGTGCTTACATATAATATAGAAATAATTGTATAATAATAAAATTGATGGAAATTACTAAATAACTTTAGCATAATTATGTTACCTTGGTATTTGTACAAATAATACAGAGAGAACGCCTTTTAGCCAGAATAGATTAGACATTATTTATTTAGATCATATAAATATAATAAAAAACAAGGGAAGTTGTAGAAAAAAATTAAGTATAGGAATTGAAATGTCAGCTTTATAGAATACTAGCTGTCTATACTACTTGTTGTTGTTTTGCCATATAAATTAATAACGCTATAAAAAAATAGGGGTTGAAGAACGGTGAAAATTTAGAATTGTATGTATTTTTGTATGTTGTATCATAAAAAAATAGATACTAAAAATTTTGTCTGAAAAATAAAAAATAATTTAGGGGTGGACTACCCCTAACATTTAGGGGGATGAAAAATAGATGTTGGCTGATTCTCAGACCTACTCAATACACTCAAAAAATTTCATGAGAATCGGTCAAGCCGTTTCGGAGGAGTATGGGAACGAAAACTGTGACACGAGAATTTTATATATAAGAAGATTTTACGAGATTTTACGTGAACATAAGTATCTCTAATGACACTTGTTCTATATGATTTCCAGACATAACAATTTGTGGCTGCATAATATCAGTTACTTGACATTTGGAGCCCAATAATATGATCTTCGACTTACTGGGGTTAATAACTAAACAATTTTGTTCACACCAAGAGGCTAGGCGATTCAGATCTTCATTTATTCTATTTACTACCGACTCAATAGCATCCAGTTTAAAAGATATGTATAATTGAAGGTCGTCAGCATATAAATCATAATTACAATTACGAATAGTGTAAGTAATATCACTCGTATAAAAAATAAATAGGATAGGCCCTAGTATAGATCCCTGTGGGACTTCTCTGTTCACAGATAATGTAGCAGAGATTGACACATTGCCACTATCATCACTATACATTTCTTAACCTTCCAGAGGCGTGTCATGCGTGGTCATAGTACTGCTGATATCAGCGACAGCTTATGATCTGAAGCTGGCTCGAGACGTGCGCAGACGCAGGCGCCGCGCCGCCAACATGGCCGCCGGCGAGAAGGGCGCGCGCACCGACCTCAAATTGGACCTCAACGGACTGGACGACATCACTGTCTCTAATGGTACCTTTTCAGATTACTCAGTTGATAAACCTACTGTGAATAACCACCAGGTTGAAATTGGTTGCCGTCGCTTATATATAGACAAATAAGTAATTTCAAATTAACAGCGTATGCTTCCACCGCTTTACTTCCGATTCCGCGGGTTCGATTCCTCGCACGGTGCAAAGCAAATGTTTGTATACATTAGTATGATTGTTTGTATTGCTCTGGGTGTTTTCTATGTATAATATGTATTTACGAAAAAATCTGTGTATTTGTATCAGTCGTCTAGTACACATAACACAAGCTTTAGCTAGCTTAACTTGGGTCTATCTTGGGTCTTGGGTATATCTCTATATTATGTATGTAATTATAAAAAAAAAATAGTATTTATATCAGTTGTCTAGTACATATAACACAAGCTCTGCTTACATGAGACTAGATGGCGCTGTGTTAATTGTCTAGGGTTATTTATGTTAAATGCTAATGAAAGTATATAAAAAGTAAAGTTGTCTTTCTATCAGTTTGTTCTTGCTAATCTCGAAATGACTAGCCTGATTTTGACGGAACTTTCGGGATTTTGAAAGGACAATATTTTTTTATTGTGGAGTATTTACCTCTTAAATACTTTACTAATACTTTATTATTATGTATATATTTATTTATTCTTTTGCACACAAAATTGTATACATGGCGGACTTAATGCCTGATGGCATTCTCTACCAGTCAACCGACGCGTTGATCAGAGATAGTATAGCGGTGCAATTTTACAAGTATTAAATAGATTAATACAGAAAAAAATATATACATATGGCTGACTTAACACTTAATGGCATTTTCTACCAGGCAACCATGAGTTGTGCAGAGATATGTTATTGGCGGTGTATATATATATACACATATATATTTTTATTTGTGTATGTTCTGTAAAAATATTATATATTATTTGCACCGCCAATAATATATCTCTGCACAACTCATGGGTGCCTGGTAGAAAATGCCATTAAGTGTTAAGTCCGCCATATGTAATTTTTACTTATGTATTATAACATGCATTGAAGTTATTTAAGTAAATAAATTAAATATGTTTTTATGTAAAGCCTATATTAATAATATAACATATATATTACAGGCAAATCGATATATAACAATAACAACATCGCAATAAACAGTAACCACTCCGAGGAGAGGCTAACTGGAGAAACAGCCTCCACGCATGAAGAACTCAAACTCAGTAAGTATTACAAAAATATGTAAAAGAATAATAGTGACTGAAAGAAGATAGAAATAAAATTTTCAATTTTTAATTAATAACATGAAATTATAGACATACTAGCGACCCACGCACTTTCGTATGCATTACACTTACTTGACATTTATCATTATTGACGACCTCGGTGGTCTAGCGGTCTAGCACACCGCTTTACGTCCGATGATCGCGGGTTCGATTCCTCACACGTCACAAACATTTGTATTAATGAGTATGATTGTTTGTGTCGGTCTGGGTGTTTTCTATGTATAATATGTATTTACGAAAAAAAAATATCTGTGTATTTGTATCAGTCGTCTAGTACACATAACACAAGCATTAGCTAGCTTAACTTGGGTCTAGATGGCGCTGTGTGAATTGTCCTGAGATTATTATTATATTCCTAACTTCCAAAAAAAATCTCATCTCCCCTCTTAAGGAGAGGAGATGGCAACTTACCCCCGGCAGAAGCACATTCGGCCGGGGTTCAGGGCCCCAGGGAGAAACCGGCGTACAATGCGGGCAGAATCTAATTATTATTATTATTATTATATTTCGCCCAATTTACATAATAAACTTTAAAATTATAGCCTATATGTTATTCTGATGTATAAGTTATATTACTGTAAAGTTTCATCAAAATCCGTTCAGTAGTTTTTACGTGAAAGTTACGTATTATATTATTAAGATTATTGAGTATTTGTTTGGATTTGAAACAAAGAGTTAGAAAAATCTCGCAGAAGGACTTATGGAGCGGATGAAGGCCAACTCCAGCTTGACGGGTTTGATACGCTACGTGAATTGAGTTATTTCTATATATTTACAACCTGTCCCGGCAAACGTTGTTTTGCCTTAAAATAAAAAAAAAAATAGGGGTGGACTACCCCTAACATTTAGGGGGATGAAAAATAGGTGTTGGCCGATTCTCAGACCTACTCAATACGCTCACAAAATTTCATGAGAATCGTTCAAGCCGTTTCGGAGGAGTATGGGAACGAAAACTGTGACACGAGAATTTTATATATAAGATTCTCGTGTCACAGTTTTTCATTTTAAGGCAAAACAACGTTTGCCGGTACAGCTAGTTTTATATATAAGATTTGTTGCAGGTATATTGTCGGAGCTGCTCCTCTCCTTCTCGATGAAGGCCAATATTCTGCAGATCTTCGACCAGTCCGTGGGATCAGACACGGTACCCGTTGTGCACGGTTTGCGGTCGCTTTCCATGGTGTGGGTTATCTTCGGCCACACCTGCATTGTTGTCTTCAAGGTGAGCGTGTTATAGAATATTATTCTTAACTAGCTGTGTACGCGACTTCGTCCGCGTGGAATTTAACTTTATGTTTCTAAAATAAAAGTAGCCTAAGTTACTCCTTATTACATCATCTACATGCCAATAAAAGTCCCGTCGAAATTGGTCCAGCTATTCCGGAGATTAGCCGGAATAAACAGATAGACAGTATGTACCGTATTTATAGTCATATGCAGGTATTAAAAAACAGTTATTTCAATATTACAAACAGGCACTCCAATTTTATTTATATTTATAGATATATATTTGACCCTAATAAATTAGTGCTTATTATTTATTTTTGATTGCAGTATGCTGACAATACGGCGTTGAGAGCGATTTTGGAGAAGAGTTTCTTGTTTCAACTAGTCCTGAGCGCAGTGTATAGTGTAGACACGTTCTTCTGCCTTGGGTAAGTCATCTTTAGCTATCTCTTTATAGTGTAGACACGTTCTTCTGCCTTGGGTAAGTCATCTTTAGCTATCTCTTTATAGTGTAGACACGTTCTTCTGCCTCGGGTGAGTCATCTCTAGCTATCTCTTTATAGTGTAGACACGTTCTTCTGCCTTGGGTAAGTCATCTCTAGCTATCTCTTTATAGTGTAGACACGTTCTTCTGCCTTGGGTAAGTCATCTCTAACTATCTCTTTATAGTGTTGACACGTTCTTCTGCCTTGGGTAAGTCATCTCTAGCTATCTCTTTATAGTGTTGACACGTTCTTCTGCCTTGGGTAAGTCATCTCTAGCTATCTCTTTATAGTGTAGACACGTTCTTCTGCCTTGGGTTAGTCATCTCAACATCTCTAGCTATCTCTTTATCTAAACTAGTCGTCAGTTTCCAATTAGGCAATAAAGAATTTAATTTCTAAGTTCTAAACGTTATTAAGATTATGCTATCGGCCAAAAGATAATTTGTATATACGTGTATGTGAAACACAAGAGAGTATATATGATGTCATCAATTTATTAGAGTCATAATTAATATATAAAAATATTTGCTATCCACAGTCCTTCTCCATATAAACATTAACTGTGCCAATTTACTTACAAATTTAATTACAATTACAATTTAATTTTACACATTACTTCATGCCCATTATTTTTCTTAATTTTCTACATAGTTTTTGCTTCACGTATTAATATCATAATAAATAAAATTTAAGTAACTATCTGTTTTCAAATCAACAGCAATTCATTAAATGTACCTGGAAATATATACGGCTCTAATATCAAAAAGTTTAATTTAAAAAAATATCTAAATAAATTGGACGGATTTTAAAAGACTTTTACCCGCTCATTATTATAAGGACTTGACTAGTTTTAAACATTGTATGAAGTGAAATAAATACTTTTTGTTATAAAATAATAAACATAGAAAAGACCCAGACTACTGGAAACATAATATTTAGAGGAATTTCAACCTACAACTAATGGAAATACGGCAGACGATAAAGTTTGTCAATTTATTACCAAATAGAGGTCCGGCAACAGACGAACATTCGTGTGATATTTTAATTAAAATTGTAAAGGTTCAATTCCACTGGTATTCTTTTTTATTAACCTTTTTTTTATTATAAAAGGTCCCATCTTGACATAATTTATATGGGATCACGCCGGGAATGAACCTTTTCGTATTATAAAAAACCAATCTCTATAGATTGTCTCTAAACTTTTGTATTTTTTTTATTTAAAAGGTATTTTAATATCGGTTACTTATGAATAACAATCCCAAACTATTACAGTGATCTATTGTCAACTATTGCCGTTAAATGTTACCTTTTACTAATAAATTAGTAATAATAATTAACCAGTAATCATTACATAGTATAAAATAAAGTCAATGTCGCTGTCTGTCCCTATGTATGCTTAAATCTTTAAAACTACGCAACGGATTTTGAAGTGGTTTCTTTTAGTAGACAGAGTGTTCTAGAGGAAGGTTTTTATATATAATACATGTAAACCCGTGCGAAGCCGGGGTGAGTAGCTAGTCTTATATATAAAATTCTTGTATCACATTGTTAGTTACTATATTCTTCCAGAACGGCTTGTTCGATTTTTATGAAATTTGATATGCATATTCAGTAGGTCTGAGAATTGGCTACTATATATTTACCCTTAACCTTTTTTTTTTTACCTAATATATTTGTTTATTGTGTACTATATTTTATATATTTTTTCTTTCTTCCAGTGGTATGTTGGTATCATTCCTGTATTTCCGTACAAACGCGAAAGGCAAGTTGGATCTGATAACGAAAGGTCGCAGGAAGATCACCGCTGGAGTGCTTCAGTTTATGGGCCTGATGGCGTACAGATTTGCAAGGTAAGATATTTTTTTCTCTTACTAGAAATCAGGCAATCACTCTTTTTTTTATTATTTTTATCTTATTTGTTTCACTGACCTAAACCGTTTGGCTAAAGTTAGTAATTCGTTTTATGGAAATTGCGTAAGGTTTAACAATAAAATACAAGAGTCTGTTATAAATCTGCCAGAAAAAAAATTTAAATGTCAAATAAAACAGTTCATTTGCAAAAAAGCGTACTATAAAATTGAAGAATTCGTTAACGATAGTAATGTTTTTATAGAAAAACTTAAATCCATAGCACTGACAATATTATCTGATTACACTAATAATGAGTGCGTAGCGATTTCTATGTTGATTATCGCATGCCTCTTACTTGTTATACCGTAATTATTTATATAAAAATAACATCTATTAAAAAGAGCAACACACAAGTTTCTTTCTCGTTCTTCTTGTGATGAATCTGCATTCCGAATGAGTGGTAGAATATAGATTATTTTAAATATAGATTATTTCTATTTATATTACTATCAGTAAATATATATATTATAAGTAAATATAGATTAATGACATTATTTCTTATTAACATCAATATGTTAATTAATCAATATGTAAATAAGTCAATACTTCAGCTGCGATTTGATACAGCAGAACTTTTCGTAGGGCTGGTTGTGTTTCACTAGGTGTTTATTATATATTTATATATCTATACACACATATACATATTAACATTATTTATATATGAAATAGTTTATATTTATATATATAAAGATAAAAAAACTATGTATTTGACACACACATACATAGAAGGATAGTCTTTGATAATAAAACCTGAATGATGTACAAACTTAAATTAATTCGCGCATAATTTAAATTATGGGCGAATTTCGACCAATGGGTGTTCTTACTTATAATATAAATTAACTGCGATCAAATTTCGACCAATGGGCGACCACTATTTCAAATAATATCGTGTTTTGACGACGTTCTTACATAAAATTACCTACTTATACTTGTGTGGAAAAAAGGTATATGTGATTATAAATATGTATATTGTTGAAAATAGACCAAAGAAATCTTAGGAAAATATAAATAAAAAAAAACATTATACATACCATGTTTTTGACACACACATTCATAAAAGTACAGTCTTTGACAATAAAACCATAATAATGTAACTTATAATTTTAATTAATTCTGGTCTTTCAACAATTGAGCGGTTACTAGTAAACCTTAATACTGTACAAACTTATAATTTAAATTATGGGCGAATTTCGACCAATGGGTGTTCTTACTTATAATTTAAATTAACTGTGATCAAATTTCGACCAATGAGCAACCACTATTTTAAATAATATAGTGTTTTGACGATATTCTAACAGATTGACAGCACCGTATCTGTTCATGCTGGGCGTGGTCGAGGTGACCATGAAGTGGTTCGCGTACAACGCCGTCTTCGAACCGCCTGCCATGGACCACGAGACCTGCCCCAAGTACTGGTGGAGGAACCTCATGTACATCAACACGCTGTTCCCGGTCGAGCAGATGGTGAGTGATATTGTCTTTTATATGGATGATAATGAGGCCTGCAATAACGGTATTCTCTCGGGGAGCATCAGTGGGGGTTGACAGGTTGAGTATGAAGTCACGTCAAGTTAGAGAAGTCCATAGGGAATCAATACTCCAATAGACCATTGCTATTGAGTAAAAACAATATATGCATCATGACTAGGGCCTTACTGGACACTGCAAATTGAATAAATACATGAAGAAATTAAACCTTAGCTTAACAACAATCTGCAGATTTTGCCAAGCAGAAGAGGACACACCACTACAGATACTATTTAGTTGTCCCACTTATGCATACACGCAATATCTTCTTTGGAAAGTATACACTCTATCTTAAGGAAATAAAAACCATCTCTCCTAAGAATATCCTTCAATTCTTGTCCCTGACGGGTCTAGGTAGCGGACTTTGAAAAAGGGAGAGCACAATAGATCTATGTAGGTCGCAGTGTCACAGATCTTAGCCCTTACCAAAATCTCCAATAAAATAAAAAGCCCAATGGACGGGGTCCCAATGGGGTGTGATAAAATGAATATGAAGTCATTTAGACCATTGTGGCGAATTCATTCAAAATTTACCACGATAGTTTATTTATAGATTAATATCTATTATATGTATTTGTGTATGTATATGCATGTGTTTACATGTATTTACTTTTAGTATATGTATAATTTTTGTTGACCTATTATTTTTCTTATTGATTATATTTGCACCTCCTACAATTTTTCTCTGCACAACCTGTGGTTGACTGGTAAAAAATGCCGTAAGGCGTTAAGTCCGCCATATGTACTTTTACCTTGGTATTTTGTGTATTAAAGTTATATAAATAAATAAATAGTTTCCAGGGTGATACCGACCTGATTGGATATATTATTAGCAATTGAATTACTTGTAATAGGGATTCCATTACTAACCGTTTCCGCCCCCACCCCCCGATATTATATTGTCAACTTGGAGTTTAATAATCAGTCTAATTTAATATATTATTATATGTACTATTATCGATTCGTTTTCAGTGCATGCTTTGGAGTTGGTACCTTTCGGATGACACGCAGTTCTACGCAGTTAGCGCTCTACTCCTCATATTGGCCACAAGGTAATAATAGACATATTACTGAAATAAGTAATGTTATGTTTTAAAAAAGAGCAACAATTGGATCTTGTCGTAAAATTCAATTCATTTTAATTTAATACGTGATTGTATTTTACTGTATGCTCTCAACGAAATATCATCCGGCAATGGATATAGTTTAGAGCTTTGTGTGTACTGTTCAACGACCAGATTACAACGTAGTGGTAATAGTAGCGAATTAAATAAAATTCATACAAATCCATTAAGTATTACTGTCGACATCCGCAAAATAACACCTAATTCGATAAAATTCGAGTACATGCTGTACTATTCGGCTTCAAACACTAAATGCTTTCAACCCCTGCAGCCACTTCAAGCTATCAGTGTCCCTGACCGGCCTGTTCTTCCTGTCATCCCTGTTCACGACGGGCTACGTGTCATGGAGCAACGAGCACATCCCCAGCAGCGAGGACCCCTTCACCCAGTTCGACAAGATCTACGACAAGCCGTGGACCAGGCTGGGGCCGTACCTAGTTGGCATGGCGACCGGCTGGATACTCTTTAAGACCAACTTGAACATAAGGATGAAAAAGGTGTTTTCCCGTTATTTACTGATTCCAAAACTCTCTGGTAGACTTTGTAAGAAATAGTCTACCAACTCAGGTACAATAACTTCTCTCTCTTGTAACTCACTCTCTTACTGGTTGCACCTAAATATTCCCTGATAGACTTTGAAAGAAATAGTCTACCAACTCAGGCACAATAACTTCTTTCTCTTGTCACTCACTCACTGGTCACACCTATATCAGCCACTTTTGAGCTTACATTGTTAGCTTGTGTTTCGGTTGATAGGCAGTGAAATTACAGGATAAGAGAAAAAATCTTATTACTCCGAAATGGAAAAGCTTGAACGTAATCAGAGACGTCACATGATAAAGTCCCTGAAAAAGAGACTTCTGAAAAAATGTTTGACGTTTTAATTCTGACTAACTGTGTTATGATAGTTGCAATGTATGGAGAACTTGTTAAGAATCTAGTGCTGTTCATGTATTACCTCAAGATGGCTCATCATCAGCTTTCTTTATTGTAATTACTTTAAAAAGAAAGAAAGAGAAGTAGACGGGGTACAAAGTCGTCTGTTTACCTCTGTTTTACCTATATGAACCCCCAAAACTTGCAAGATGTTTTTCGGTTGAAGAGCGGAGAAATTACAGGTCAGGAGTCATGACATAATCTTCCAAAATGACAACGCCTCATTCTTTTACTCGGACATCGGATGACGATGTGCTTTCCGTAGTAGATAAGAAAATATTTCTTCAATATAATGAAAAATTAATACGACATTGAACCTTCCTAAATAGAGAGAAAAGGGGATTGCTACTACTATAAACTGATGTCCCCATTGCTAGCAATGTACTATGTCAGGTCCATGCTGTTCCCCCTGGAAACCACCATGATAAAGTCCTGGTAAACTTACCAAGAATTTATAACGATATCCTGACCTGACTTCATCCGCTACTGGTGCCCCGCTACCGTAAACCGTTAGCGCATGCAGATGCACCATTCGATTATCATCCACAAAAAACCTTCCTAAATAACCATCAACATCAGAGGAACTAAATGCCTCTTTGTACCTATCCTATAGAAGAAACACAGATACCCGCTCTTTTGTTTTTACGTCCGTCTGTTTGCAGGTGTGGGCGTGTGTTGGCTGGGTGGTATGCACCGCTACACTCCTTTTCCTGATCTTCGGTCTCTACAAAACGGAGCTGGGAGTAGCGGCAGCAGCCATCTACAGCGCCCTCTCACATTCACTATGGGCCGCCTGCATAGGCTGGATCATTATTGCCTGCTCTACAGGACATGGAGGTCAGTTTCATAAACTTTATCACTTGACTTCTTTTTCATAATATTACTAGCTGTCCCGGCAAACGTTGTTTTGCCTTTAAATAAAAATTGAAATTTAGGGGTGGACTACCCCTAACATTTAGGGAGATGAAAAATAGATGTTGGTCGATTCTCAGACCTACTCAATACGCTCACAAAATTTAATGAGAATCGGTCAAGCCGTTTCGGAGGAGTATACGACCGAACAAACTTCATGTATTTTCGTCTTTTTAAAATTGCCATCTTTTTCATGTATTACACTTATAAACCCAATACCGCTGAATGTTGTCATACATGCGGGTAGTTGCTGCTTTCATTTTGCTCCTCCACTGTCTACATTATATGTATATTACCTTTTTTTATATTTCCACTAATATATAATTTTGTATAAGTTTATACGTGTAGTTCTCATGTTAAGTGAATTATTTGTAATTCTTAATGAGAATAAATATGACGGCCTCGGTGATCTAGCGGTCTAGCACACCGCTTTACGTCCGATGGTCGCGGGTTCGATTCCTCTGGGTGATTCCTCGATCGGTCTGGGTATTTTCTATGTATAACATATATGTATTTACGAAAAAAATCTATGTATTTGTATCAGTTATCTAGTAACAATAACACAAGCTTTAACGAGCTTAACTTGGGTCTAGATGGCGGTGTGTAAATTGTCAAAAAAAAAAATAAGTGCGTTGTATGCAGGTTGGGTGCGCGGTCTACTGTCGGCGCCGGTGCTGTACCCGTTCTCGCGCGTAACGTACTGCGCGTACCTGGTGCACCCGGTGGTGCTGCGCTACGTCGCCATGCACCTCACGCACCCCATACACCTCGGGGAGCTGCTCGTTGTTAGTACACATACTATTATATTGTTGTTTTGATGGTAGATTATAGTAGAATTTACTTATTATAAGAGTATGTAACAGGGCTACATGAACATTCCATTTTTTTTTTTTTTTATGGTAGATTATGGTACACTTATATGGTTGGGTTGACATAACATAAGAATCTGTAATAGACCTACATGAACATTAATTTTTTTTTATTTTTTATGGTAGTTTATGGTAGATTTTTATAGTAGAATTAACTGAGTCTGTAATAAGCTTAAATGTATGAATGATATTTTGATTTGATTGATTGAATTAATGGTAGATTTTTATGGTAGGGTTTATGAATGAAAGATATTTTAAAGTATCCTGTATTGTACTGCCCAATGGCGTCCTGCAACCGAAACACATGGCTTATCTGCTGTAATAAGGAAGACTGTGCTGCAGTATAAACGCAGGCGACTTTTTACAGTCTACCTCTGGTACTACCTTAATTTGATTATGTAAATGGAATGCTGTCCAAATAATGAACGGATAGTGATAAAATTTTACAGTAATATAGCTTATGCATCAGAATGATACATAGGCTTTATTTTCTATTGAAATTTAACGCGGATGAAACCGCTTGATCAAAATCTATTCAATAGTTTGCGTGAAAGAGTAACAAACATCCATCTATACTCACACACTTTCGCGTTTATAATATTAGCAAAAAAATCCTAACCTAACCTAATTTCATTTCTAGTTCGTGCTGTTCCTGGGCCTGACTGTGATATCGTACGCGCTCGCGTTCATAATTTCCGTAGCATTCGAAGCTCCGATGGTGACGATGCTGAAAATCGTTGCGCCACAACGGAAACCCCATAGAGTATGAGCGTATCGAATCATACTTGGACTATGTACAAAGTTATCCTCACCGACACCGTTCCAATCTGTGGGCATAGACAAATAGCAAACTAATCTAAAATCGGTAACGAATCAAATGTATTGACAATGAATTCGATGATCGATAACGTTGACATGAAAAAGGGACAACTTATTGCATGGCTGTATAAGCGCAGTTCTCTTTGCCTTTCTTTTAAAGGTTAAACAGAACCAAAAAAATAAACATATTGCTGTCTTGTTCTGTATAAACGAGAGAGAGAGATAGTAAGTTATTCTGACCTCTTTGGCATAATATCATTTGAATGTAGAATCGATGTCTAGCTGTGTATTATTATTTTTAAAAAATACTGTTTCGAAATATAAAAATTATAAAAACTACGCTCTTTTTGGTGTAAATTGTGTATTTAGTAACAATTTGGACAAGTCAATTTAGTAAAACAGTGATCTACCTATAGATGTTCCGGTTTGCTAGCAATAGATTCCTTTGGCATTTGTCAAATACGTCTCCCTACACCTCTAGTTACGCAATGATTGTTAAAATTAGAAATGTCTTGAACGACTCATTAAAAATTTGTCAACTTACTAAGTTTTGCAGTTATAAAAAGAAAAAAGTAATCATTCAAAACGACGATACGATCTCTTGAGATCCCTATCTTAGTATTTGCTATAAACATTGTATACACTGAAGAGAAACTTGTCAGAGTGTAATAGATCTTTTTTTTTAATTACTATACAACAGACAGTTATGTATTGTAACAATTGTAATTGTATTGTGAGCCAATTGATTGGAATATGGTGTTAATTTTGAGGTTATGTCAGAGTTACCATTACTGAAAAATAATAACCAAATGGTAACTTAATTTGTAAACCTGAAAGTAGAAACTATCCTTTAGATACCAAAGGATCTCGTCTCTAATAGAGGCTAATTAAAAAATAATAATCATTTGTTATTATTGTCTATTATTGAGTAATATAGATAGATAGATATAAACTGTTTTCTGTAAATTAGTACGTTTTTTTTATTATGGCGAGAGAATGATTTGTATGATTTAATCGTAATTAATTTATGTAATCTTAATTATAAATGCGGAGAAAATTTTAATTGTTTGTATATAATGAAGTTATTTTTTATAATTATTGAAAATAAATTAATAATACATTTAATAAAGCGTTTATTGCTGGGCACTGACTAAGAAAACAATAGTGAACGAAACGAATTGAACAAGAAGTAGGAACTAACGTTTGTGAAGCCACTTGATCATATACATTATATTTCATTGTACAATTATAGATCTTATGATATGATAATACAATCCTTTTTTTAAACTATGTTTTATGAAATCACACTTTTGTATACTTTCGCTAAAACGTCCACGTTGTACTCGTTTCGCTCTTATACGCTTCACGTGTTATTGTAACTTATTGCCTAGTTTATTTATTCATGTATCTGACATAGAATTCTCCTCTTAAATAGTGACAAACTAAAAATTCAAATTTATTAGAGAAAGGATTTTTAAAATTTATCTGTAGTACTTAAATTTTCGAGTCTTAGAATGAAACAATTTTATTGGACTGAATCTATTAATATTTTTTTTTACTTATTTACAGAATTTGAACGGAGCTGCGTAATGTATTTTTGCACTCGTTTAAATATTACTATTAAAAAAACATTTTTCTTACAGTACAATATATTTCCTTACTCATTACAAAATTATAAAAAAAAAACTCATATATTTCAATTACATACCATTTAAAAAAAGAACATAACTTCAGTACAATGCCATGCAGGAAACATGCATAAGCATGTTTTCATGCCCATTACAAAATTAAAAAAGAATACAAAATATATTAATAAATCACTCGTATATTTCATCAGTCGATCAATCGTATTGCATGTACGATTGCATAATCGTCACAGAAAGCTGTAGACTTACCTATTATATTAAATAACAGCACATTTAGCGACGGTGAAAGTAATTCAAAAGCGAGAATAAATTAATTAGCATTTCTGTTAACGAACTGAGTATATAATTATTAGTTCTTACTGTATTTAGATTTTATTATATCAACATCATTCATTACATAGTATAAAACTAAGTTGCTGTCGCTGTCTGCCCGTCCCTATGTATGCTTAAATCTTTAAAACCACTCAACAGATTTTGAAGCGGTGTTTTTAATAGATAGAGTGATCCAAGAGGAAGGTTTATATGTATAATACATGTACGCCACGTTAAAATTACACATTAAGAATGAGTCTGTGTTCAATCCGCATGAACCACGAAGTAATGTCAAACATTTTTACAAAAATACTTTTGTAATTGCAATTAATTATTGCAAAAGAAATTTATTTGCCAAATATCAAATTTGTTAGTTCTGAGATTTCATGATGATATATTTATGTTAATTATCTACTTATAGTATAAATTGTGATGGTGAATATAGATAATCTGTGATTGTTCAATATTCATACACTCGCTCTGTCATGAAGCAATAAAAAGTTTAAAAATGTCTCTGGTTCCAATCACCTGTTAGAATATAAATTATACATAAATATTGGATATATTTATGGGGCGGATTTTCTTCATAAGACATGATAATGACTCGTCAGACGGCCTATTGAGATAGTTTCGTTCTACAACCAAAATGGAGTGTCTGTTTTGTTACAATAAACAGTAGAAAGATTTTTTATTAATAAAAAGTCTGATGGTAACCGAAATATTGTAATATATCTTTGTTTAAAGTATAATTTTTAATTTTTTGGTATTTCCTTCTCCTGCACCCAGCATTATACTTTAAACAAAGAAAGGAGGAAATGTATTTTGTAACGAAAAAGAAAGGTGATACATTGTATTCTAACTACGTCAAGCATACATATACATAATATTTACTTATAGATATATTAAAATATGTTATCTAAGAATGTAATCTGACATATTTGTACGCTCTAGGATATTTACCGACCTTGATGGCGTAGCGGATTGATGCACTGCTTTCCAACGGTTGCAAGTTTGATTCCAACAAGACAAAAATTTATACTCATACGTAATCAGTCAATACTGTCAGTATTGGTAGATTTTTATAAACATTATGTAATATATAACTGAAATATATATTTATGTATGTGAATCCATATATATAGACTATCTAGAACCCATAGTACAAGTTCTGTTTAGTTTGGGACTAGATGGCGCTGTGATATTCAGGATTATTTATTAATCTTTCGTTTACTAGATACTATTGACTATTTACTATAAGTACATGCAATTTCTGTGCTTAATACTGTGATTTATTAACTCTAAAGTGACTTCATGTATAATATTTTGTTATATTATACTTGCCTATATACTACAATTTTAATTTATTTAAATTCTTAATCATGACAATTTCTCATATAATCAGTTTCATTCATTAATGACTGTACAGTTTCGTGTAGAATAGGCGAAATCGTGTAAATAGTTTGTAAATATTTACTTATAGCTGTATGTTTATTTACCTAGTGATTATGTTAGTTTTTTAATTATATTTTTTTATATGAAAAATAAAATATAACTAAAGATTTAAATATTTTATTTCATCGCAAAACACTCCTTAGAATACCTGTGTGGAAACCAATGCACAGGCACATAGAGATGTCCCAGGCATATCGATATGCCTGCCTGATTTTTAAATTAAACTTTATTTATAACGCTTAACTCAATTCAGACGGAATTCATCCATATTTATTAAAGTACCTAGAAATAAATATCTAGAACAACAGTGTTTTGCAAACTGTTTATTCCAAATGAAACCCAAATACCGATACCCGTAAATGACCTGGTCGCTGCTCCAAAATTTACCTGGATTGCAAAACACTCAACAACAGTGATTTTAAAGTTCTATTGCCTTTTTTTACTGTAATATAGAAAAACGGTAAAATATTTTTTAATGTATATCGAGGTTTCTTTTTTGTTCTTTATAAAACAAAAAAATATTTTTTTTTCTGTCGATCACCCAAATATACGCGATCTCCCTAGGGGTCGTACAGTTTGAAAAACACTGCCGTTTAAAGTCATTTCCATACTTAACATTTATGTAACAATAAATTATTAGAAAACTAAAATTGTATCTATATATAGTATTACAAAAGATTCAAATTCACATTGAACAATATAGAAAATAATAAATAGATTACCTACACATACAACTATTTATAATACTATAGGTTTTATTATTTGTAATTCTTTCTAGCCAGAAACAACTAAACTGAACTGAAGATTTAGTAATTATTTTGATTCATATGTTTATTATACAAATATATAACATTATATATTTGTACGTTGAAGTTACTCTGGAATATCAATATGGAAGCATAACTTAATCCTCAATAATGGCAACACCTGAGAGCTGACAAATAATTGTTTTTTTTTTAATTAATATGTTTTAAGGATCTGGATAGAAGTCCTTTGAATCAGTGTAATTGCCATAAATTCCTGATACTTAACCTATAATCTGTTTTTTTAATCTTAGAGACTAATTAGCAATAAAAATGGGTAACTAATATTAATTTCGGATAGTGCCACAATACTATTTAAGAATCGCCAAAAGCTGGCAACATTACTCAAATTTGTCTCTGAAATAAAAAAAACAAACTATAGTATAGTTTACGTAAATTGTAATACCTGTATATACCTCACAAAACATGTAAAAAAAGTAATGCAATATGGTATAAATGCGAATATAATAGTAACATAAATAAATTCAGGTGTTAGCATAATCCGACAGTCTTCTTAAAACGCTGCAGAAGGGCATCTCCACCAGCAGAGCGAGAACGAAAGACGCAACCAGGGTCAGTGAAGCAGTACCCGCGAAGTATGACCACTATACACACGTGAAAAGTAATAGAAAAATCTTGAATGTGTCGAAAAAAAAACGAAAGGTCGTGAATTCAAATCTGGATGATATAGAAAAATCTTGAGTGTGTCGTAGACTAGTGATATATTACGCCTGCTTAGAACGGTCGTGAATTCAAATCTGGATGATACCGGAAAACTTTGTGCCTATTATGACAGCCTCAATAGTCTAGCAGTTTAGCCTTTCAATAGCCGCGAGTTCGATTCCTCGCACGTTACAAACATTTGTATTCATAAGTATGATTGTTTATATCGGCCTGTGTGTTTTCTATGTATTTACAAAAAAAATGTATCTATGTATATATATCAGTTGTCCAGTACATATAACATGAGCTCTGCTTAATTTGGGTCTAGATGGCGCTGTGTGAATTGTCCTAAGATATTGTTATTAGCATTATTTTTATCTATATAATGATGTTTAAGTCTTTAGGGATGTAAACAGCATTAGGAAATCGAGAGACGGCTGTAGACTCTTTGCCATATTGGATTCCAAAATATATGTATATAGGCATACCAACGTAGGCAACCGACAATTGGCAACAGCTGTGGGAGAGAGTTGTTAGTAATATGAACATGTGACATTATTGCTAGCAATGTCGATCAGTCAGTCAATCAGGTCGACCTCTACGCAGTTCCCTCTGGAAACGATCGTGGTTAATTCATACTCAATCTGTCACGACGAACTAACTGACCTGACCTAATGCCCATATTATCAACCTTCACTGGTGCTCCATCAACGTGAATATTTAGCACACGTGAGGGCTAATCGTTAACATTTAATTATATATTTATAAAAAAAATGACAATAGCTCTAACTTGCGGGACGACTACTTCTAAGTAGAGAGTATTTCCGTTTCTCGGAATGTACCGGTATGATCTCTAGTCATCACGCTGAATTACCTAATGAACCTGACATGAATCTCATACTAAACTTTCACTGCTCCGCTAGCATATGCCGTTTCCGTAGGCGATTCCACCATTCCCTCATCATCCATAAAAATCTGATACATCATCTGAAATAACAGTAATTAAGATACAGTATATTACTGAGTTTGGTACTCACAATGCAGAGCGTATGCGAACAGAGCGGAGCGTCCGTTTGAAGGAGGAGACCGCGGGCCACCAGCCCGTGCAGCAGCACCATGCCGTAGCTGAGACGACTCAGTGCCGCCATCATACTACTGTCCACCACACGACGAATTACCGCTACAAATAATAATGAATCTGATAGGAATTTACATCGACATTTGAAAACAATAAAAAGCAAAAAAAGGCGTGGACTTTCAATCTATGCCCATTTTTGCGCAATAAAGGCGTAACAAAACCGTTTAAAAACAAGGAGAATCTACTATATAAAGTAATACCTACACTAAATGTAATGAACATTAACAGTGAACGATTAGTAGACTAGGACACTGTCCAGGGAATCATTGGGCGCATACTTGTAAGAGGCTTAGCAATACTTAATTATTGTGAGTTTGCTATGAAGATGATTGATGAGCTTTATCTTTATAAAGGATAGGAAAGATTTATGAAAGGTAACGAAAAATAATATTTATGACAGCGAATATTTAACCTCTAAAACGCTTGAATAAACATAATTAAAATTGTAAGTCAACAAATGTAGAGGAAGCAAAGGAAATATATATATAATATTTACCAAGACTTAATTCAGACTATCCAGATATTGTTATAATTGAGTGTATAATCGAGTGGCGAATAATAAAATAATGTCATAGAAAATCTTGTAGTCCTCTAAATTTGGTCGTTTAAACTTATTTCACTCCTAAATTCTAATAAAATCACACTATGAGTTTTTAAAATAATCAGTACTAGAATAGTTATTAATTTGACTAACCGGCCCGTTTTGAAGCAGCCAGAAGCGCAGGTGCTAAAAGTGCTACAGGCCAGCAAACATGAAGACCGGCGCTGGGCCAGCCACGCGCTGTTACCAAGGTTGCAGCTGCCGCCAACGATGCAGTTGATGCACTGCCTATACACCACCACGCTACCTGCACCACCCCGCTCTTGTTATTAAATGTTGTGTTACATGTATGATAGTGCACTATGTGTAAATTATTCTACAGATTTAAGAAAAGCGTTTGATATAAAGAACCCTATTTAAAAATATGGTTCTCTTAATGCCATCACAAGAAATAAATAACATTTAATTAGACTCATATCATATATACTGCAATTACTAGTGAAAAGTTTTGATATTAGTACGTTATAATCAAAGGTGTACCTCAAGGATAAGTTTTTGGACCAATATTTTTCTGTTATATTTTTTTAATATATTTAAAACAAACTAACAGAGGTACACTACAGACATCATGAAAAAATTATGACACCCGTGAAATTTTTGCATTGCCATTCATAAGAACTAAGACATTATATCTCAGTGCCTTATAATTTCATAATAATTTTATAGAATATGACGAGTATAAAAAATATTTACCTTCGAAATTCTTAAAGAACCTTGCATCTTATGTGTCAACCATCCAATGGCAACTCCAACGAAATAAGGTACCACTCTAGCCCATGGACGTTCTATTAATGCCGAATAAATGTTGTAAGCTCCAGATCGACTGCAAAATGAAAATTTAGATTATCAAGAAAATTCAAATCAAATATATTTAGCAACCAGGACATTTGTTTGCTGTTTATGAATTTATATGCACAAAATTAAACATCAGGTACTATATGAAGGCAACTCCATGGATTGAAACCATTTTTAGGGGAGAGAAAAGGGTTTTGTTATAGATAACATTTACACACAGTCTTCTATACATACCATTCACCATCAGATAGATTGTATACTGGATAGCATACACCTTCAAAGCGTAAATAAATGGGTATAAGTCTTCGGCAAGTTAATTTCTGGAAAATTTGTCACGATGGACATAGTCATTTGATATCCCACACCTCTTTTAATTGATACTATCAGGTTCTACCCTTAATAGAAGCATCATTACGATTCCATCATTGTTAAGAAATCAACTTACATGTGTGAGTATTCAGTGTAGGCATCGGTGACGTCAGCGGCAGTGGTAGCGAGTAAAGCTGCGAGCGCGAGAGCTACCAGCAGGCGGCTGCGGCGACTTGCACCCAGCGCGCACACCAGAGCACCAACCACGTGCAGCTGACTCTCAGTAGACAGGTACCAAGATACTTGCATGCACTATTACAAAAGTGGAATAACAATTGCCGTGACATTCTGCACGTAATATTAAGACATTCCGTAGACACTTAAATTTCTTGGTCTCCAAACTGGTAAACTCTATTGTAAGCGAAAATAATGAATACCAACATTCTAGTTAAATAAAAAAAGCCAGTTGCTTTAAGTTGACATGGAATTTCAAGAAACAGACATATGTAGATCTTTAGTTACGCAAAACAGTAAGTCCTTCACTGCGCTACGGTACTCTATTCGCTTTGTTTTTGTGAATTTGCTCTAAATGTAGTTTTTGTTGCTAACTTTACATTCCTGAATACTAAATGTATATTGCCTCTAAAGCCAGCAGTAAACAAACAATCAACATCATATGTTTAACTGCATAACAAACAATGTACAGAATCTTCCTTTGATGATTGCAATAAATAAAAATAATAATGTAACATCATACTGTCGTATTCCAGCATCAGATATTTTTCTAGCTTTAAATGAAAAGTTAATAATAAATATATAATTTTTCACTGAACCACTAACCCTTTCCTCGGCGGGATAAAAAGTGGTGACATACAGAATATTCCGCCACCAGTAAGACTCGCAATTTTGGTGATCACCATCAGGCAGTACCAATGATGATGTACCCCGGGATGCTCGCGCTATCACGGCGGATAGAAATATCGTGTAAGCATATGATGGTAATAACCTAAACAGGCATAAAATACAAATTTAAGTAAATAGTTTCAAAGTATAACATAACATAAATGAAAAAAATCTATTTAATGAAGTAGCAACAATACCTCACTGCTCTGTTTGTGATAAAGCAGACATATTGAAGTATATGACCCCAGATACCATTAAAACCTACCAGCTCCTCTACTGTGTAATGACTTTTCAGATAAAAGAAATGATGAGAACTGAACAAACCACTGAAATAAAATAAAAGTAATTAATATATACCACTTAATCAATAAATTAACACTTGACTAAAGAAACTTCGCTATCAGCCAAAATTAAAATATCATACCTAACTAAAAATAAGGTATCGAAAGTCATAGTTCCCGTATTTAGTATATTGTAAATATTTCCTGCTTCTTTTACACCACCAGAATTAGCTGAAAATAAAATAGTATTTACAATAAATAATAAACTTTGAATAAAAAGGGAAACAAGTGTTGTATAAACAAGTTATGTATTACCTGAAACATAATCCACTATAACAGAGACGTGCACGAATATTAGCCAAAGCGTTGCTACAACCCTCCAAACGTGTATTACTGACAGATCTTTATTAGCCATGTTTGTGTTAAAAATTCGACTCCAACTATATCTTAAAGAGAAACAAAACAGTAGTCTCTTTATCAAACGCCCTTTCTTTTCTTCTGTACTCAGACTCGCCACGGAGCTATATTTGACTCGTGGACAAGCAGTTAAGTTATTTACTTGCTTCGGATTAGTACACTGTCTTCTGTACTTGCCACATCTTGTGCAGCTTCCCGTCGCTCTCTCCACACCTACTACGTCTAGCGTAATCGAGGGAGTTATATTTGTATTAAAGTTCTGCAGCCCAATCAAATTTATATTGTTTCTATGATTAATATTGTTTTTGGCTAATATTTCATTGTCTACCATATCCGAGTCTTTTCTTTCATCTATTTGCAATTTGTTGTCTTTATCATGTTTGTTCATGGTGTCTGTATTGTTGTATTTTTGTAAATCGAAACTAATAGATCTGGCTCCGCCTTTGCATTTTAGAATATTAATTTCTATTACTGTGGCAGTTATAGATAGTAATAGTAGAAACAGTGTGACGCACAACAACAGTATTGCTCCAAGGTCTTGTTTCATATTATAATATTCTGTCACTTGTCTGAGCGATGCAACTTTCGCTATTCGAGGCACAGTCTTGTTTGATTTTAAATTATCGTTAAGCATTATAGAAAATGTCAACAGAGATGATACGTCTTTTTTAGAACAGGTACGTGGTAAACATAATCCTAATTTAATATCAAATGACTGGAAAAAAGTAAAATATACAGCTTGTACTCGTAGAATTATAAATTATATGCTATTGTATAATAATTATATATGAAGAAGTTGATGTATATATAAATGCAATATGAATTTAATATAAAAAGCTATAGAGTTCATAATTCTTCAGGGTGCCTTTAGCAAGCGGCATAAACGAAATACAATGACTAAATAAAACGTTAACGAAAACTTAAAAATATCTTAAAGAAGCAAATGACATCAAATATAAGCAAATAGAAATAATCTTTATTCAAATAAACTCAATACAAGCACTATTGAACAGTCAATTTTTTCAATTCTATCTCTCATTCAGAACGCAGACTCAACAAGAAAAATAAGCAAGTAACTTGTGTGTTGCTCTTTTGAATAAATTTTATAAATCTTATTTTAAATAAATAATTACATGACAGCACAATGTTAAATCGATTTATTTTCAGATATCTTAGCAGGACCTACGCTGGTGTATTCTATATAAATAGACAAGGGTTAACATACCTGAGGTATTGGTACATTCATGATAGTCAGTAGGACCCTCGCTACATTATATCCTACATGGAGTGGAGGGTTGTCTGACGATATCGCCGGTTTGGTTGTTTCCAATCGCCATTCATGATCTAAAACAGAACTTCAATCAATCGAGTCGCAATGCTTTCATACGTCTTTCACCTAGTCGTCTTCGTCTAGCTATCTATGAGCTAGATATTATGCTGTAGCATATATTTGGGTGAAAGACATTTTAAAATTGGTCAAATCATTTTTTGTTTTTTATGCACCATATTATTATTATACTCTCTATATATGTACATAATAAAATTATAAAAAGGAAACTTTAAAAATTTGTAATAAATAAATTACAAATTTTTAAAGTTTCCTTTTTAGGGTGCATAAAAACAAAAAATATTTACAAAAACAGAACTTAATGCAAAAGTATGCTCAAAAAAGTCGGCCCTATCGCTCAAAGCAACCTCTTATAGACAACCATCGAGACAGAAGTTTTGAAATAGGGAAAGGTAGGTGGCACACTATACAAATAGAATTAGATTATATAAAACAGAAGAGTTGTGGAGAGGACAAATTTCATCTCTTCCCAAATAGATACGACTCTAATCTGAGGGCTGCACTTAAAATCCATTGAAATATTACAGCAGATCGTTTGGAGACATAGTGCTGTATCTTACCTCTGTTGTGGTAGTTTTCTCTGCGAAGTCCAACGGCGGGGCCCATAAAATCATAGTCATTGTTATTATTGTCACTTTTAACTTCATTATCCTGTTCAACAATAAGTTTATTAGTACTCCCAGATTCTTCGTCAACGTTTAGAAATTTATTTACGTCATTACCAAATATTAAGAGTTCAGAATTAACAGGATACCTACACTGTTTACGATTGGCGCTAAATCACATCACGAAACATTATTTGTACATACCACAGAAGAAAAAATACTAATTAATAAATTCAAGTCCAGTCACGAAACAGGGAGTACAACAGTACCCTCCCTGGGACTGAGGGTAATGTTTTCTTTTTAAGAGTGAATGTCCCACTTGATGGTAAATGGTAACCGTCGCCTATATACATGAACAGCACCATAGACAAGAGATTAACATACAAATACATACATAGTAGGTAAATTTCTTTGTTGATTCAGACAGATTTCCGTATCCTGTAATTTCACTGTTTTAACTCATTGTTACCGATACCACAGATAAGATAACCGATACAGATTTTAAAAAATCAATCTTCTTGATGAAGTGACAACAGAAATAGAAATAAAAATAATCTTTATTCAAATAAACTTAATATAAGCACTTTTTGAATAGTCACATTTTTTTATTCTACCGCTCTTTCGGAATGCAAACTCATCACAAGAAGAATGAGCAAGAAACTTGTGTGTTACTCTTTTAAATAACTTTTTACAAAATCTACCTCATTACACCTGTGTATATAGTATTAAAAGCATAGCACCTATTATATCATTAGGATAACTGTCTATTTAATGAACTGAAGTTATAATTCAAACAATAGAGTATTTTATCTATCGTCTACGATATGCGAATTTGGTGTTGTGATTTTTTTTTTCTTTCAATTAACACAATATAAACTTACAACTAATTGCCAACATGTTTATACTTTAAAACTATTCTACTTAACTATATACCAAAAACATTCTTATTTTATTTATCACTAGCTACTCGCCCCGGCGTCGCCCGGGTGTACATGTATTATATATATAAACCTTCCTCTTGAATCACTCTATCTATAAAAAAAATGTATCAAAATCCGTTGCGTAGTTTTAAAGATTTAAGCATACATAGGAACAGACAGCGACAGCGACTTTGTTTTATACTATGTAATGATAGAATTCAAGGCTTCTATGTATGTATACGTCAGCATCTTGGACCTTACCCAAAAAAAAAATTACAGATGTAATTGTCAATGTATTCAATTCATAGGGGCTTACCAATTGCAAGCACTGTCGTTTGGAGCCGAGCCAATAGTTGTTACCAGCAAACCCTCCGCCCTGATAACGACCAGATGCATCCGCCACTGTAAATACGATAATTTGCATAAAAAACGGAATCAGAAGCAACAATTCTATCTTTTAAATGATAGGATGAGCATGAAATTAGGTTGATCAACCTGACCTCATGCTCAACATATCATCCGCCACTAGAACCATGCAAGCGCGTGTACCAGCCATTCGTCCTAAGAATCATAGAGAATTCATGAATGTTATTGACAGAATCAAATACTCGCATGATTTATTGTTTGCGTGTATATAATGAGTCAGTACATCGAACTAATGAATGATTGAAATTGAAACTGAATCAACAAAGAAATTTAATATCTAAATCGCACGTAACAGTCGTTCATAATTTAATTGGTTTGCGTATTTAGATAACCCAATAAGTGCTATTTCTTTATTTATTTAGATAATCAACAGCTTATACAATATATACGAATATAAGGGTCGGCAACGCGCATGTGACACCCCTGGTGTTTCAGGCGTCCATAGGCTACGGTAACCGTTTACCATCAGATGGGCCGTATGCACGTTTGCCACAAAAGTGGTTTAAAATATATATATATATACGCATTATTTAGTACAAGTTGTGTCCGTAGTTTAGCCGCGTTAAATTTCAGTAAAAAAATATAACCTATAAGTTATTCGGATGCAAAAGCTATATTACTATAAAGTTTCATCAAAATCCGTTCTAATTCTTCTCAGACAGACAGCTCGAGTACTTTTTGTGTCGCAAAAACTATACATAAGTAGGAAAAGATCTCTCAATGCGATTATAACCTATCATTTCCACAGAATGACAATTAATAAATTTTCGCTTTCGCGGTAAAAAATGGCGTGCGTGAGTAGCTCGTAATGGCGTAGGAGCGCGGCACGCGGCGGCGCGGTCACCTCGCTCGCTGTTCATTCACATCACACGGTCGAGAAACTTATAATTAAGCAATAATTCATGTTCACAGCTTGATATTATGTTTTTAATTTCATTATTAACCTATTAATCATATAATTTAATAGTCAACACATTTTTAAAATGAAAATACGACTGCTTTTTTTAAATTGTGCGATATATTTTTGCGAAATAATCCGCCATGTTTAAAATTTTGTATGCAAAAGAATTTATAAATAAATAAACCTTTTTAGTTCTCAAACATTTGAGTCCGTCCTTATGATTCCAAAGTTTTACTTTGTTTTCATTACGGGTTTTGAATCCTGTGTAATGTCTCAATTGCAACGCTAAACTTTTAATGTGTAAATGAGAATCTTAATAATCCTATTAATTTTGTTGACGATACTGTATTTCTAGGTATCTCATTAGATTCCAAGTTGCAATGGGGTGCTCATATTACTAAATTGGCGAGTCGACTTAGTACTGCCGCTTATGCGGTAAGAAGAATTAGACAATATACTAATAATGTACAAATAGAACAGACGTGGCAACGGCTAAACTTGTCTATTTTAGGTATTTCCATAGCATTATGTCGTATGGTATTTTGTTATGGGGCAAAGCAGGTGATATAAATACAATATTTACTTTACAAAAGAGGGCCATTCGCTCCATTTATGGTATGGGTTCCAGGGAGTCATTGCGAGAGTGTTTTAAGGAATCAAATATCCTCACCGTTGCTTCTCAATACATTTATGAAAATATCATCTATGCCAGGAAGAATATAGACAGTTTCAAAAGAGTGAGTGATTGCACCAATAAAAGCTTACGTAACAACAACAAACTGATTTTACCTAAATGTCGTTTGGCTAAAGTTAGTAATTCGTTTTATGGCAATTGCATAAGGTTTTACAATAAAATACCAGAGTCTGTTATAAATCTGCCAGAAAAAAGATTTAGATGTCAAATAAAACACTTCCTTTGCAAAAAAGCTTACTATAAAATTGAAGAATTCGTTAACGATAATGTTTTTATAGAAAAACTTTAAATCCATAGCACTAACAATATTATCTGATTACACTAATAATGAGTGCGTAGCGATTTCTATGTTGATTATCGCATGCCTCTTACTTGTTATACTGTAATTATTTGTATAAAAAAAACATATATTAAAAAGAGCAACACACAAGTTTCTTGCTCATTCTTCTAGTGCTGAATCTGCATTCTGAATGAGTGGTAGAATCAAAATATGACTATTCAAAAGTGCTTGTAATGAGTTTATTTGAATAAAGATTATTTCTATTTCTTAATTTTTTTAGTTTGTTCCTCGGTGCTCTTGTAGTCTAGTATACGTACTTATTTCCGATGATCTCTAGTTCGAATCCTTGCACGGTATAAATATTTGTATTCATAATTGATTCTATTAGTCTAGATGTTTTTTTTATATTTACCATGTTATCATATTACATTTACAAAAAAGTATCCATGTATTTATATCAATTGTCTAATACCCATAACACAAGATCTGCTTAGCTTAGGACTAGAAAGCGTGAATTTTTATTATGGTACATTATTGTCTCCCAGTTCGAGATGTAGCACCCATTGCAGTGTACATATATTAGGGAGCCCTTTAAAATACGGTTTATATAATTTAAATATTTCAATAAAATGTAGAATTATATATAATCGACAGTTTTATTACGAGGTCTGTCCGGCGTTTGAGCACGCATAGCCGTATTGTGGGATACGATACGAGGCACACCCGTAACTCTGTAGGTACCGTTGATCAATTATAATGTATTAGTTTTGATTAATTTTGAAGTTCAAACTCGTGAGATATTATATCCCGTTATTATGATGACCTTTACTATTTATTACTGAGTGCTAGTTAAAAATTGAGGTAGTGGATGCTATTTATAGGTATCACACTGTGATTATATACAGTGAGTATATAAGTTGAGAGTCAGTAATTATAGTACAGTAATAATAATATAGTAATAATCTCAGGACAATTCACACAGCGCCATCTAGACCCAAGTTAAGCTAGCTAAAGCTTGTGTTATGGGTACTAGATAACTGATACAAATATATAGATACATTTTTTTTCCTAAATACATACATAATATACATAGAAAACACCCAGACCGACACAAACAATCATACTCATGAATACAATGTTTGTGCCGTGCGAGGAATCGAACCCGCGACCATCGGACGTAAAGCGGTATCCTAGACCGCTAGACCACCGAGGTCGTCATTATGTACTTGTTGTCAATTATGTACTTGTTTATTTATGTAGTATATTATGTTTAAAGGGAGTGACAAACTGACAGTCCTTATAGGTATGTATATATGTGTGGAATTATCAAGAGTGAGACTTGAAGAAAAGTCTTATAATTTTTAATCATTTATTTACGTCTTAAAATCGTCTTACGTCGTTCTGTCAACTCTTTCCATTATTTTTTGTTAAATAAAACTATAATAAAAATGAATCGCATTAATCCTCCTTCCATATATATATACACTAGCTGACCCGCGTAACTTCATCTGCGTTTCATTTCCCCACCTTTTGTAATATTTTTCATTGCAGATCCGCTCCTATTGGTCGTAGCGTAATGTTATATAACTTAAAGCCTTCCTCGATAAATGGACTATCCTAATATATATATACTAATATATTTTTAATTTGAATTAGTAGTTCGTGAGATTAGCGTGTTCAAACAAACAAATTCTTCAGCTTTATTTTTAGTATATCTTATATATAAAATTCTCGTGTCACAGTTTTCGTTCCCATACTCGGGCGGACGGGTATTCTCATGAAATTTTGTGAGCGTATTGAGTAGGTCTGAGAATCAGCCAACATCTATTTTTCATCCCCCTAAATGTTAGGGGTAGACCAACCCTAATTTTTTTTTTTATTTTAAGGCAAAGCAACGTTTGTCGGGACCGCTAGTAACATATAAATAAATAAACAAATGACGATTGGCAAAAATTAGAGAAAAAATTCGAAAATTCGAAAAATCATCGCTCTAGTTTCAACCTCACATAATAGGTACTATATATGTATGTACCTTTAAATTACATGTAAATTAATTAACTACATATACAATTTTGGATTCGTTACAATACCATTATGTGTAAAGAGATGTATGAAATTATAAACACTTACCGCTTAGTGCCCACGAGCGACTTTCTGCCAGATCTCTAAAAAACACACTCAAATCGTTCCAGCAACTTTCTTCCGCTGTTAAATGTACACCATTAGATATTTTTGGCCAGACCACAGACAAAAAAGATGGGTCGTATACATTAAAAAGGTTTTCCAAAACGTTTCCTCGTGGATGCAAGCTCTTTTCTATTTTCAAACGGGATTCTTTTTTCGAAATCCTCTCGCTTATATTATAGCGCTGTTTATATCGTGTGCATTCGGCCAGTGTTAATAAAAACAAAACTGAATAAAAAACCTTTTTATCCATGCTGTTGCATTATATGTTGCACTTCGCGATTTAATTGCTTGTAATGACCAGCGCGTTTGTAAACAGAGTGCGCGTGCGCATACACAGCCGCCAGAAACTTAAATAAATGATACACGATGGATTGTTATGCGCGATGACCACTACTATGTAGTATTTTATACAATACTATTTTCATTTTATTATTGCACTAACTTTTGCCCGCGGCTTCGCTCGAGTTGATTTATCCCTTAGGGGTGGAATTTACCAAAATCCTTTCTTAGAGGATGCCTACGTCATAGTAACATTATGCATGCAAGGTCTCAGCCCAATCGGTTTAAAATTGACAAAGTTTCATACAAACTTTCATGTCCTGTTTTATCCCATTGGGCGTAGAATTAATCAAAATCCTTTCTTAGCGGATGCCTACGTCATAACATCTACCTGCATGCCAAATTTCAGCCCGATCCGTCCAGTGGTTTGGGCTGTGCGTTGATAGTCACCTTTGAGTTATATATATTTAGAAAATAATTCGTATTCTTTGTTTAATAGTTTGTTACAATAGTTTTAGTGTCTAGTACCTATCAAACTTTCTCCGAGGCAAATGTAACAAAGCAGTTTTGTTCAGTTATAAACGTCTGCGTGATTATTACTGTCTAAGAATATACGATTAATTTGCATATTTAATGTACAAAAAGATTTAATAGTGCGCCGCTAGTATATAAATAAAATTGGAGTGTCTGTTTGTAATATTGAAACAACCCTGTTGTACTACATGCATATAATAAATACGATACATACACCAAAATAACATTTTATATAATTTTTGTCTGTCTGTCTGTTTGTTACGGCTAATCTCTGAAATAGCTGGACCGATTTTGATGGGACTTTTTTGGCACGTAGCTGATGTAATAAGGAGTAACTTAAGCTACTTTTATTTTAGAAAAATAATGTAATAATGCGGACGATGTCGCGGGTACATCTAGTATAATATAGATACATATTTGAATACAAAAATCTTATGTATATGGCATGCAGGTAGATGTTATGATGTAGACATCCGCTAAGAAAGGATTTGGATAAAATAGATGATGAAAGTTTGTATGAAATTACTGTAAAGCCGCAAAAACTATACCTAATAATAATACTTCTTAACGCGAGCGAAAGCTAGTTGTACAATAAAGTGTTACAAACAAACAAACAAACTAATATGGATCTTAATGAACAAGAGTTATGACTTATCTACGTCATATAGAATGATGCGACGACTATTGCGCATTCAGTCGCTTACTTAAAAACTTACAGGATAATGGACACAAATGACAGGACAATAGGTCATTGTCTGTGATGGCGCTCCGCAGTCGCTTTCAAGGGTGGTTTTGCCCTTGAAGCGACACCGTTTTTTACCAAGTTGTACCTGCAGCAGCCCATCTGGGTTTGCAGTTTATTAAGCGATTTCCGATCGCTACCTGGAGGTAGATGTTCGGCTGGTTGAGTAAAGTCCAAAGGAGCAGGATGGTTTGACGTTCAAAAATCCACTTTGGCTTTTGTGCGTAGTCGGTCAGAGCTCTTGTCCTTCTTAAAACTCTTCCTGCTTTTTAAGCGGACATGTCTACGTGATCATGTTACCAGGATGGATGGACCACGCTATGGGAGGAGGGAATTGCTAAGGCTGCATGTCCCTGACTCCTCTCCATACAAAACGTGCTACTGTACGTATATTTTCTACAATAACTTATTAATATATTCTACATTATATTATATATTTTCTACAATAATTGATATCAACCTCTCACTTTAGTCAGATTTTCTTTCAGCAAGTTTGTTTCAGAATTACACGTATTTAAGTAAAAACACGATTTTCGCCGAAAAAAGAATCTACATATATTTGGCTCAATAGTATGAACAATCTAAGTCAATATAAAAATTTGAAAAATCATCTAAGACATTGGAACTATAACGAATTTTTAAAATAAGGAAAATATATCTTTATATATGAAAATTACGTGTCACGTTATTTGTCCGCGATGAACTCCCTAAACTGCTGAACCGATTGCAAATTTGATTTGCACATTGTGTGCAATTCTATTTTGAAACTTGCAAATTTAAAAATAGGAGAGCTTACATCTCAATTTATAGTCGCAATATAATTTTATTGCAATTTTTTTACGTGAAGAAACTGTTAGCCACAGCATCGTGTAGCCGGGTCTGATAGTTTACTATAAGAAAAAAGTTATACGAGTAGAGGGTAACCTAAATATTTACTCAAAAAATTGGATTAATTGTATTGCTATCTCGCTGTATATCTGCGGGTGAGGGGTGACGCAAGGACTGAATAGAGATAGAAGGAATGCTGAAGAATACCTACATTGTAATTTTATTGCCTGGACACTGTTGCTGCCATTGCTAGCAATGTCCCATGCCAGTTCGACCTCTGTCCCCCCATAGGTTAGTTCCCACTGTCTTCAAGTTCATATTACACTGCGCAGGCGGGTGTACCAATATCAAACACCAAAAAATTTTATAAGACCCTACGGCATCTTGTGCACGTCAATTTTTTCATCTCTACCGTCCCATTTGGATAGTTATTTTAGTTCAAAAGAATTTGCAACAGACTTGGTACATTTGTTTGCTGCTTATGGCTATGGTCCAATCCAGTGATTGGATTATTTATTTCCTTTTGATAAACATACAATAGCTTATGCTGGTCTCAATATTCCCACTAATTGAGTTTAAAAATGAATCTGCATTTTTGAAATTATTTAAAAAAAATAAACGCTGAATTTCTTCTTGTCAGTTATGTTAGCTCGAAAGCAGTTTAACGGTAGATTTGACATATCATGAGTCTGTAATAGACCTACACGAATAGATATTTTTAATAATAATCCCTTTGCCTGAAAAACACCATTTACATCTAAACAGGCTGTTATTTTTTAAATAAAACACCAATATGTTAGTAATTACATTTATTAATTGTCAAAAAGACAATAGCTTACAATTATTTATTTCATTTCATGTACTCAGTAAATACAATTAGCTAGATTTATCTGATGTCACTGCAGTCTCTCAGGGACGCTCTCTTCACACGCACAAACACACGAACATAGGACAACGACGCACGATATTGGATTTTATGTCTCTGTAATACGGTTACATTCTCCGGACCCGTTTGTTCGGCTGCTGTCCGTCATTCATAAACCCGCCCTGCTGGAACAAAATTACATACAATTATTAATAATGACTCTTATCTGTAATGTACATGAATTTCTGAGCAGAATATTCCTGATAGTGTAAAAATAATAATAATAATAACCCAGGACAATTCACACAGCGCCATATAGTCCCAAGCTTATTGGTACTAGACAACTGATATAAATACTTTTTTTTTTAAATACATAAATAATATACATAGAATAAGCCCAAATAGATACAAACAACCTCTTGAATAAAAACCCCCACTAACCCGTGACCATGGAAAGTAAAGCAGTGTGCTAAACCGCTAGACCGCCAGGGCCGTAAAATAAAAATAAAAAACTCATAAACGGTTATAGTTAAGTGATTAATTATAGTTTAGAATATAATATAGATTCACTGCCTATTCTTATTAAATACTAACATTATATAGTACTGACAAAATGATAATGGTTATAAGGAGTTAGAACACTTTGAATCCTACATATAAGAGCTTATAAGCCACTAATATTAACCACTGCTTAGCTTGGGACTAGATGGCGGTGTGTGAATTGTACTTAAATATGTATATTGTATAGGAATAGTTATTTGTTAGGCAACACATATAGAGTTAAACGCTTCCTTCAACACATCAAGAATATAAACAAGCCATAAAAATAATACTGTTTACTATTTTAAATATATTATATATTTAAAATATACTACAACAGGCTCTGTGTGAACATATCACGTCATTAGCGTATTGGGTTCAATTAAGCATAAAACAGTTAGCTCGGATAGGATTCGATCAAACGTCCAGACAAGATGACGTTATCTAGACCAAATAACTTTTCAGCTGCACCATGAAAAAAAGCAACAATTTTTACAACTAGGGTCGGAATTAACAGATTTGAAATTGTAAAATTATATATAAAATTTTGAACTGTATCTACATACGGGTAGTGGCACGCCCCGGCTTCGCTCGGGTGCCCAAATCTTTGTTATATATACCCGTTTTTATTGAAAGTTTTCGGCTATTGTCAGGTGCTAAGGCCTGTATAGATCTATTGTGCTCGCCCTTTTTCAAAGTTCGCTACCTAGACCCATCAGTACATATTAGCTAGCAGCTAGGTTAACTATAATATTTATTATTTATTTTTAAACTATTATTATTTTCTTGTATATGTGGTGAAAGTGAAAATAAATTATTTATCTGCTTATATACCATATGTCACTTTGAAATAAGGTACCTTTCAGAGTGAAAGAATATCTGAAATCGATGCAGTGGTTGCTGAGTTACTTCCCTAATAACAAATTTCATTGTCTTTACAATGTTATAATGCTTATATTAGTATATAAATCAACATTTGTTAGTACACTTGTTACCTGTATCGTCTGTCAAGTCTACAAATGTTCTACAGGTCTACAGATAAGTCTGAAAAGAATGCACAGAATTTATTAATGGCAAAGAGAACTGCAGACCTAGAATTCAAATATGTACTGTATATACATTGTAATATGTACTGCATTTCTTTGCACATTCCTTCTATGCACTCATTTCCTTACATGAGCATGCAAAACAAAATAATAATAAGCATGTTTGAAATAATTGCAAAAAAATACAGTAAATCTTAAATTTATGAGGAAATTTAACAATAACATTTATTCAAATTTATGTTTATAAATATTAAAAATGATAATAAATTATAATACAACTAAATACTCAAACACAAGCGAAAAATTATAAAGCATAATGTTATTGATACTAAGTTTATGAATTAGTGTGATATACATGCAATGTAGACTTTCTTCTGCAAAACTCCAAGTGAATCTATAGTTAAGTGCAATTTATTTTTATGTTTACTACTAGCTGTGCCAGCGGCTTCACCCGCGTTGAAAATCAATAAAAAATATAGTCTATGTTATCCTGATGCATAAGTTATATTACTGTAAAGTTTTATCTAAATCCATTCAGTAATTTTTGAGTGAAAGTGTGACAATATTTTTGAGATGAAGATTCAGTGCTGAAAATTCACATTTTATGCGAAAATGTTTGCTCCAACAACAATTATTGGTGTTAAATCAGCCAAATGTGCTATTACATATTGTATTGTGTGCATTAAAGTTATAAATAAAAATAAATAAAACACAGTGTTTAAATTTAGGTAAATGATTGCTTAAATTGGTTAAGACAATTGAAGAGACACGACACTCCCTTCGCAACCACGTGTGTACTGACGCTGCAAGTCAGTACAGGTGGAAAACAAAATTAAAAAATTGTATCCAAAACATAGGCATCTACTTGTACGCCGGTAAATGTAAATGCACATTTGTGCCACTATAGCCGCAGTGTCCAAAATGACCGTATCGTTTTAGACGGCTATAGATACAGGTGTCAGTCGACATGTTAACAGTGTGTTAGTATGTATTGTGTGAAATTAGAAAATAAATAAATAAATAATTACAGGTCGGCCCATGTAGCCCTGTGGCATGTATGTGTTGACTGGGACGAAGCCTCCACGGGGGAACGCGCCTCCGCGCCCTCCGAACGCGCCGCGACCACGCGCTGCAAACAAACATATTTATAAATTAAACATACCTTTACCTGATCAAATCAAAAAATTATTCATGTAGGATTTTTTTATGAACGTCAAGTTTTTTGTATTAATATTTTTTCCCTATCATCCAGATCAATTCAGATTCAATTGAGTTTCTCAAGGCAAATTTCTTGTGTGGCAAGAAGCGGCAAATGGCAAGTGACGAAGTGGCAAGAAACTCAACTGACTTTCTTTTTTTTTAACACCCAGTTTATACTTGATAGTATTCAAATTCAATTCAATTCAATTTAATATTATTTATGTCTAATGCTTTTTCTTCCTATTTGTCAATTAGTTAGTGAGTAGTAAAGTCGGCTACGTGATTTGCTCTCTTTATCCATTTCAGCTGCTTGCTTGCTTTACAAGATTATTTTCTTTTGACAAAATTGTAATGGCATTTGCGGGTAGTTACTCTAATGCTGTACTGGCTGTCCTCTTGTTGTACCATTTAACTCTAATATTCTTCAATATTAATTATTATATTAGTAATATCTTCCAATATAATATACCAATATATATTTCAGTTACAATATGTTGTAGTAATAAGAAAAAAGACTTGGTAAAACGGAGAAAATATATTAATAATAGACCTGACATATTATTTTGGAACAGAAATGTCATGAATTGAAACTATCAAAACAAAAATAACAATATAAAAATTGCCACTATAAATTCGTCGTTACAATACAAATTTTTGAATATAAAATACATATTGTTTTGATTTCCGGCATACAACACAATATCGCAAGTTCAATATATTGTAAATGACGCGGTGCAATGACCACCAGAATATACTATTGCATTTTTGTGATAAACCCTTGGTTTACATGTATATAATTATATAAACCCTTGAGATATAGAACCTTACGTCGCGTATTTCGATAACCTAACACCAGTCCCCATAAATTATTAATTTACAATAAAATTCACCTGTTCACGAGTATTTATCCTTCAAAATACATATTGCAGTCCTCGACTTTGTTGTTGGCGCGGTTGGCGTTGGGGCTGTTGTTTGTGGAATCTAGATTTATTTTGGGGTGTTTGTTTTCAGACATGTCAACCCCATTATTGCAAACTAATCGGAACAATTCTTAAAAATAACAAACAATCAAATAATTGCCAACTGTCCCCGACTTTCGTTGTTACAAGTCGCCGAACAATGTTTTGACACTACTCAAACATACGTCAATTGTTTTGATTTCCGGCATAGGAGAATTCACTTGTCGCAAGGTCAATGTCCGTGGGGCCGGCGGGGCGCGGTGTAGGCGAGCGGGGATTACCCCGCACATCTTTGTTTAGTTAGTTCGTGCGATTAATTTGGATAAACCCTTGAGTTTTACATCTTAACATATAAAAAAATGTTTTGGCTTACGTCGCGTATTTCGAGAACATGCCGTAAATACGAGGACTTCCCGTATATGATGACGACCTCGGTGGTCTAGCGGTCTAACACACCGCTTTACGTCCGATGGTCGCGGGTTCGATTCCTCGCAAGGCACAAACATTTGTATTCATGAGTATGATTGTTTGTGTCGGTCTGGGTGTTTTCTATGTATATTTTAAGTTTGTATTTACATAATGAAAAAAAAAATATCTATGTATTTGTATCAGTTATCTTATCCTTCCCATAACACAAGCTTTACTGGCTAATTTTGAAATATGGGTCTAGATGGTGCTGTGTGAATTGTCCTGAGATTATTATTATTATGATAATTATTAATTTACAATAAAATTCATACAAGAAGTCTTTAAGGCGTTTGTTGATTGCTGTATACTTGAAATAAAACATATTTATCCTTCAAAATACATATTATGGTCAAAAATGCATCGCCAAGCTGTACCTTGTCAGCTGGTTGATTTACTGATTGGTTGATCATCAAGTTAACCAGGTCAAATGGTCGTTCGTTCTCGGAAGAGTATAGGTTGAGGTGTGGGGTGAGACAGGGGGGACTGTCTTCTCCCACTCTTCAGTTTATAGTTGACCTGTTGGCGCGGTTGGCGTTGGTTACGGGACTGTTGTTTGTGGACACGTTTGAAGACGTTGTTCCACATGGCCTCCGATACAATGTTAAAAAGAGCGAGGTCTGATATTTCATGGCAAAAATAGCACACAGAGAAGTGCTGCCACACCATTGAATCTTGTTCTGTACAACACCAAATAAGTAATAAGACAATGTGCGATGCTTATTAAAGTAATACTTATTAATATTATTCCTAGAGTTCAAATTACAATATAGGATATAGTCATCCTGATAAGCGTTAAGATTATAAATATTATAGGTATTTTAAAATGTATTTAGGATGGCAAAGCGCAACGGACATCACGTTACCATGGGATATCCGTGATACCATTGCCTTATAATAATAATAATTCTGGAAAATTCACATAAAACCGTATAGTTGCAATTTAAACATAGCTTGTGTTATGGGTACTAAACAACTGACAGAAACTCTTTTTTTGTAAATACATAGATAACATACCCAGAGAAATACAATCATACTCATTGCAACTGTTTGATCATCAAAAATAAAATGGTAAACTGAAAAACTACAAAGTCCGTGATATACATCAGAATCAGAGTAAGGACAATCACCTTGTTAACGTTTGCGGAATGTGCCTTCTGTTCATCCTCGTCTCTGTACTTGGAGACGGTTAAGAGGAATCCATTCATGCGCAGTTCCCTGTCCAGTTTCAGCGCCTTTTCCACAGCCTCCTTAGCGTGGAATGTCACCCGCACTGTAACATAAACAATGTTTAACTCTATCAATCAATATATTTAATTGCGTAAGGTTTTACAACAAACAACCAGTCTGTTCTATGTCAGCCTGAAAAAATATTCAAATGTCTTACTATAAAATTGAAGAGTTTTTAAAATGATAATGTGTAGGAAAAACTTATTTTCATAGCGATGACAATATTATCTGATTGCACTAAGAATGACTGCGTAGCGGTTTCTATGTTGATTATCGCATGCCTCTTACTTGCTTTTGTGTAATTATTCTTCTTGCGATGAGTCTGCGTTTCCAATACGTGGTATAATAAAAAAAATATGACTATTCAAAAGTGCTTGTATATTTTTGTAGTTATAGAAACCTTGCACAAAAATGAATTCAAGAGATGCAATACTCGAGCAGTGATGTCTATACTCACGTATCTTGTACTTGGTCTTGCTGAACTCGTGTATGTGCGCGACCTCGCCGCACTGCGAGAACAGCTGGCGGACATAGTCTGTGCTGGCCTCGTAGGGCACGCCCGCCAGTACTGCGGTCTCGGCACGGGACTCCACCGCCACAGAGATCGGGCTGCCGTCCAGCACCGTGCCCTCCTCCGTCAGGGCCTGAAGTGACATCACAGTTCATATCGCACAGACGGGATCGCGACGTCACAGAGGAGAGCCTAACAGTATCCGGCTCGAAGGACCATTATAATAATAATAATTATTATTAAGTAATGTTAGTAAATATTAAAGAGGCTAACAAATTATTCTAGACTGCAATCTGGATACAGTAAACAGGATACTGTATGCAGGTTGTACACTACTGTAGGGAAATATATTTTTTTTATTGTATGATAATGAAATGGTGCACTCGCCTGCGCTAACGGTTTACGTTGGCGGGGCACCAGTTACTGTATGGAGATTGTTGCACTGTAGTTCTAACACGAAAGACCATAATAATAATTATTATTATTAACGCAGGTTAGTAAATATCAGAAAGGCTAACACTGTAGTATTCATCACACAAGTTTTTCTAGACTACAATCTGGTAACAGTATCCGGTTGGAAGCAACATAGTAATTATTTTTATTATTGACCTAGTCTATTTAATAAATATAGAGGTTACACGGCCACTTCTACCATACTGTACAATTTACCACACAAGTTATTCTAGACTAGACTACGATCAGCATACTGTATCCGGCTCGACGGACCATATTAATTATTATTGACGTGGTTACGTTATTAAACATCATTACAGAAAACGAAACTGATCATCATTGCAATTGTGTTGTACATAATCTTCATATTTGATAGCTTGCTATTTGAGTACCGCGTATTTGATACAAGGATGTAAATGGTACTTATTGTTTAATATGTTGTTTTTAGACCTTCCACTTTGACAAGGAAAATATATTACTTATGTTATTTTTTATAGTCATATAAAACTGGTTTCAATCAATAATTTGCTTTACATTAATAATTAATTTCAATTGTTTAATTTAAATGATCCATACGTCATCTTATGCGGAACTTGTAAGCCCGTTACGTAGAACCGTTGTACCTATACTATAATAATCCTTGCACAATTTCATTACTTACATAATAAAATATTTGTTCTGATTATATAAATATTTTATTTTATAATGTATGAAATTGTATTATATCAGAACGAGGATTCATATGTGTATTAGTACAAAACATACTAATTAGGTTAGTCACTGTAGTTTTTAACTGATCTATATAATATGGGTCTATTTAGGGGTCTATTAATTAATAAATATATTCCGTAAGAGGATTAATTTCTTCAAATAGTTTTACTATGTTGATTAAAGTATAATAAAACAATTTAAAAGATATACATTTGGCCCTAAAATAGATTTTGTGAGTCCAACTTTTAAACCATACAATGTACAGTCAACCCTCCTACAACGCGGTGAGTGCGTACCGCGTTATACGGAAACCGCGCTATAAGAAACTCGAATTTACCATACAAACCAGGCTAATTCCGCAGGGCGTTCTATGGAAACCGGCTACCGCGTTGTATGGAAACCGCGCTATAAGAAACTCGGAATTAGTGCAAATCACATCATTCGTACCGCGTTATATGGAGACCAATAAATAAAAAAGAAGATAAATTGTAAATTATTTTTATTGAAATGAAGAGTTATAAGTAGTATAAAAGATATGGAACAATAATTAAACTAAGTCTGTTTAAAAAAAAAAGAATGAATACGTTTGTATATGGAACAATAATTAAACTAAGTCTGTTTAAAAAAAAAAGAATGAATACGTTTGTAAATATATGTAATATTTCAACATTCATCCTCGCTGTTTATGAGTCGTTATATATATGATTATATATAGACCCAACACGATTGTTAAAACCAATATATAGAAGTGCAATCTTTGAAAAAAATAGTTAGAACATGATGATTAAAATTTACAATAAATTACCAACTGACATAAAAATGCAAAATTTTAGACTTTTTAAATCTAGACTTTATAATTGGTTATTAGAAAATTGTTTTTATAGTATTAAGGATTTTTTTGACATGTAAAATTGTTAGTTTTGACATATTTTAATATATAAATAATTTAATTTAATTATTAGAAATACTTTAAAAATTAATTCAATTTATAAAAGTAATAACGTGTATAAATTTTGCACGCCTGTTAGCAGGCTGAATACATTGAACGAATATTCATATTGTAAGACCTACTTGTAACATTGTATTCTGCAAATAAATAAATAAATAAATATGTATGTGCTATATATATATATATATGAGTCGCCTAACTAGTCTTCTTTTAACACATTGAAAAATCTTATTTGTCACATAGTGATCGGATTACGTATATTATTTTTTAAACATGGTTTTAGTGTACAATAATTTGAGGTAGACATTATTTAAACCCTAGATTTATTTCAATTGAAGTGCCCACGGGTGATCACCCGGTCCCAACGTGTAAAGTAGGTACTTTCGTTGCGAAGTGCACCACCGGTAGGCATGCGGTCTTTAACGTGTTAAAAGGGCAAAATGTCTTCCTCACTTGGTTCATCTTCACATTAGTTTTTGATTTTTACTAGAGTCATTCATAGGCTGCTCGAAATGAACTTATGGGATGCTTTTGAACGGAAACCGCGTTATAGGAGTACCGCGTTATAGGAGGGCTGTCGCTATTTCAGCTCCGCGTTATATGGAAACCGCGTTCTTAGAGTACCGCGTTATAGGAGGGTCGACTGTATATGATAAAAATGTGTGGTTCTGTAACATTCCGTATGATATTATAAGTTACAACTACTATATATTAAAAAAAAATTAACAATACCAGAGCTTCAAAACATCGATTTAAATACATTGTAAATATAAAGAGGCATTAAATTAATATAAAACTTACCTTTCAGTAAATGGTACCATTGAGACAATTTGGAAGAGATTCACAGACATATTAATATTGTATTTAATATTAAACAAATTGAATAACACTAGTCTACAAGTTAATGTAACATTGAAATGCAAAAACAGTAAGTTCATCAAACTCCTGTACATAGTTATAATACATTAATGAAAGCGTATTTAGTATATAGTTGGTGTAATTTAAATATATATGTATTAGTATGTCATCATAACATATAGTTATCGTTAGAAACAAGTTTATTAGAAAATAATATTATCACATATATGTTAAGTTGTTCGGAAAGTAATTTCGGTTTTTCTGGACAGAGAATTGTAATTTTTTAATACAACTTCACACTTAAGCTGAATAATCATTATATATTTTGAGAGTTTTGATAGCAAGGCTTGTGTAAAGATGTACAATTAATTGTATTGCTTTATATGCTTAGTATATATGAAATAGTTTTTGGTTGGTGCCTTTTTAAATATGGAGAACAATAGCAGCATTTTCATTATATTTAACATTTTTACTACAGAAATGGTAAAAATTCTGTTGAAATGTGAAAGTTAGGAATTGAAAGTCTGTCAAGTGAGAATTAAATTAACCAATGTGTAATAGAGTTTGCAATTTTTTTTATATACTACTATGGCAGCAAACAAGCATACGGCCCATCTGATGGTAATTGGTTACCGTAAACACCAGAGGTGTCGCGTGCGCGTTGCCGACCCTTAAGAAACCTTAATATACCCTTCTTGAAAAACCCCATGCTGTAGTCTCGTGAGAAAACCTCGGCAGGAAGTTCATTCCACAATCTAAGTGTACGCGGGAGGAAGTTCCTCTGAAACCACACTGTCCGAGACCACTTAGGTTCCAGCGTGTGGGAATGAATTCCCTGTCGATGGCGAGCGGTGCAATATTTCGATCCGGCAATATTAATCGAGAAGATGCATTATGTTCTGGAAGGATGGTTGAAACTAATATAGGCATTTGTTGATGCAAATTGAATAACACGCTAGATCGGTGACAGGTTAAATTTGTCGAATTAAACTATTTATGACCTCTTGAGGTTCGTAGGTTTGAGTTATTAATTACATGAACATTGGCTTTCATTTTCCCAAAAAAAAACGAAACTACTTTCCGTACAACCCAATATTACATAAAATATAAATTATTAGTTCAAAATATGTAAATTCAATTTTGAATATGATTAAAATTAAAATCAGATTAATTCTATATGAATTACAGCATATATAGCAAAACATTTCAAATGAGTATCCCTAAATTTATTGTATATATGATTATTAATTACATTGTTATAGGAGAATTTATTATTTACACTAGGGATTCCCTCAGTGACTCAATCTCAGCTTGCTGCCATTTTTTTATTCCTGTTTTTTTTTTTATAAAATTTATTACTCTTTGCTTTATACACAAAGATTAACAATCTGATACATGTGATCTACACTTTTAAACAGAATATCATTGGGTGTGATATATTAATCTTGTTACTGATGTTTCCTTTTAACTGTGATACATATTGTAGAAATATAAATACATTGAATTTCCTTTATATAGATTCTATTCATAATGATGAAAATTATATCTTTATAAATTATTTAAATAATGTAATTCATATAATCAGTCAAGACTTAATATCTCACTTGTTGAGAGAATTAACTATTAGTTCACCTTTTGTATCACATAAAAATAGACTAGTATATATAATAAAAACATTAAAATAAAATAAATGCAAAATAATATAATTTAGTACAACAATGTGATAAATAAAATAAAGATTCAGTGAAAATATTAAATTAAAAATTATAGATACATATATACTTTAATAGTGGTTATATTTTATAATTATAAGAATATGATGCAAAATGAATGATATAAAATATTTTTATTTGTTAGGTAAAAATATATTAATATTTTTATTATGGTGTATGACATAATTATCCTCTTTTAGATACTATAAATACCTCCTCCTGTTTATGTAGATACACAAATACACAAACAGCACCACAACATATAGAGAAACATTTCAGCTGATCTACTACATCACAGACAGATGCACAAAATATAATTTTGACTATTAAAATGAGAAAACAAATCAATCCTCTAAAGGGTTCTTGTAAGAGTAGAAGACCAGCCTGATCAAACATTCAAATAGTCACTCGGTCTGCACATGAGCTCAGAGCTACGACTCCAATGTCTCGGGTCTCAGCATGGAAAACAGGTAATTTGGAATAATCTTAACTTACAGTGCATGTCTGCTAGCACAGAGCGATGCACATTTTATTCTAAAATTAGCAACTATGACTTTGAACAGAAATAAAAAGGTTAATAAACTTTTGTTTACCTTGTCCAGAGACTCTTTGTTTTTGAATTCGACTATAGCCGATAATGTCGGAGTTGTGGTCAGTTCAGTAACAATGATTGGACCACGTCTAGAAAGAAAAAACATTTCTCTAGTTAATACTCCGTGCCAGCCGGTGTTAACATTCTGTGTGCAATTTGCATCTCAGAATTAATTCAATTTTATTTTAATTTAAAAGTAAACTAATACAGTTATTGAAAGGAAAAATTATGAAAATCCAGGGACTGATATTTGAATGTTAGCAAATACATTTTAAAACATAATTACTGTTAATAAATAAGGTCATACTCACTTAACACTGACGATTTCTCCATATTTGGAGAACAACTCCTTGAGCTTATCTTGGTAGTCAAAGAGGTAGCTTGAGGGTAAGTTCTCCACAAGCAATTTACCAGATTCCACTTTCTCCTCCTTTTTGTCTTCAGGTTTAGCTTCACCCTCGGCAGCCTCTTGGCTTTGGTCAGCGTCCGCGGTCCCTGTGGCGCCCTCCTGACCGATCGCGTCATCCCCCTGCACCACTTGCTCTGAGTCACCATTATTTTCGTCAATGCCCTCAATGGGTTCCACCTCAGTTCCCAGTACCTGTTCTTCAGCCGCTGTTACATTTTTGGCTTTAGCCGCCTGCGCTTTCGCACCACGACCCTTCTTTGGCGCTACCATCTTCTATAATCCCTAAAATTCCAAACAACTTATTCAACCATACAATCGGTTACGCTCTCCCAATAACTCGTTTCCCGCCATGCTGCTTTATTTATTGCGAACAAAACAGCGACTTTGGCGCCTATTCACCGATTCCAAGGACACGCCTAAAATCGGGCGTTATATATTGTACAATAACTACAAATATTATCTAAAGTATATGATCACAAAAAGATATGATCTAATATTAGCGCGATACACCGCCATATAACGGTAAACATAGTATGAAGCCATACGCGCCATGGAGCATGGCGTTACCACGGGTGGAAAATACCGAAATTCACACGAAGTATTAAAGTTCAATAAAATTTTAAGTTATATGTTGATAAATATTTTATATATTATACATAAAACTTACCAATATAATATTTACACTTAAAATCAATCGTAGCTTAAGTTCAACGAAATAGACGCTAAATTACATGCAATAATAACACGAAACCGGCATCACGCAAGCGCATCCGCCATTAAAAAGTGAGGTTATTGGTGTTGCCATTTTTTAGTACCAAGCCAAGTTGAGTTGCCAGACGATCTGGGAATTTAATTGAATTTTTCTATTTTATATACAACAAATTAGACAAATTCTGACTAGCCTAAAACTGACTGTTTATTGGGATGACTTTTTTTCACATACCATGTTTTTAAACATTAATCAACAACTAGTGAGATTTTTATTTATCCATCCATAGGCTGTTCAAAATTTATGGCTTATTAGGCTGCTCCAAATTTCGCTCTTAAGCTCGATTCCCCCAAATTTCCTTAAATTTGAGGGAATCGAGCTTAAGAACTATGTGTGGGGGTAAAAGGAATTGAGGGCGTCAATAATTTAAACTAAGATTTTTAGATTGATGATTGATGATCTATGTGGGCCATAAAAAGGCAACAACACTGCCTCGCGGGCTAAAACGAAGGTGAACTGGGGAACAAGATTGTCTAAAAAAGTCATCCATTATATATTATAGAAACAGCAAAAATCTGAATTTTGTTCAAATTTCAACAAAATTTGAGAAAAAGTCAGACGTGATCTGGCAACGCTTATTTCAATTTCTAATGCATAAAAAATCCATATTCTTTGTTTTATTATCTATGACGAGCATCGCAGATAATAAAATAAATCAACCAAAATCGATTCACAAAATAATCGCAATAAAAAAGATGGATATCTTATAACGTTTTTTCATGTTTGTTGTTTAAATTAGGGGACGGCGTATCTTGCGAAAAATGTCGATTTACGAATCGATTTGGACAGATAATCAATAAAAAAACTAAAAAAACAATTTTACAAAAATTGGTTTTGTGTTTGGATTTTGGTATTTTAAAATAAATTGAATTCTAAATTGATTTACCTATTAAAACTGCAGAAACACAATAAATTTATAATGTCAATATCAACAAAGAATAGCTACTATCTCTATATAAATTAGTTTGAGAACAGACACGGAAATTAAATTACATACTATACTTTTATTATTTTTATCTATGAAGGAGAGCCGTATAAACGGAGCACGGAGTTTCTGAGTAATTTGTATAAAGAAATTGAAAATAATATGATGTTTCTTATCAACACAAAATAAAATCATATATTGATTTTCTAGACTGAAAAGGTGATTCTCTGAATCGATCAGTACTGTGAATCGACCTTTTTGGTTAATCAATCTCAGATCGCATCCCTAATTTCATTAATAATTAATCTTTTATTATAATTCCCATTCGATTTATTGACAATTTTTACTTTACCATATTGTTATTAATTAATTATGTACAATGAAATCCAAATCATATGACTTAGACCAGATGTCTGCAGATAAAGATAAGTATAATAAAACCTATGATTATTTATCTCTGTACAAATCAGCCGGAGAAACAAACGGTGCCTCCATAAAATCTGGCGATGGAATGGACAAAGAAAATGGTTTTATTACAACGAAATCTGTTAAGCAGAGGCACGAGCGTACTCCGAGTAAAAAGAAGAAAAATAAACAGGAGCTTTTGGACATTTCAAGAATCAATATAGAGGGACCCCACGTGGACACGAGTTTCAATAAAAACACTCCACACAATGAATCCAAGGTGACGTCCACTCCTCAGTCGTCTTCAAAAAAAAAGGATCAAATGAAGTCGATTATTAAGAATTCGTCGGTATTGTATGACTCTTTAGATAGTTCAAAAAAATCAAACAAACCGAAGAAAAGAAATAAGTCTGTAAGCTTCATGCTGGATGAGACAGAAGAGGTTGTCAAGAAGAAGACAAAGTCAGAGGAGTCGTTGAATGTAGACAGAAAGGATAAAAAAGGAAAACGTAGTAAACAAGACATAGTTAAACCTGAAAGAAATCTGGAAGAGAATCCTAAACTTAAAAAGAATAAAAAAGTTAAAAATGTACAGGTGAGAGATGGTTCGGGTGACAGTAATAATATGGAAGTCAATAATGTAGATAGTTCTGTTGGTAGTAGTGGTCAAAGAGCAAACAGTCAAAATGGAAAAGTTCAAAAAACTAAGATATTTTCAAAGACAAAATCAAAGAAAAGTTCTGAAAATACCCCATCCACTGAAACTGAGAGCAACAATAATGAAGAGCAAACAGAAAACAAGCACAAAAAAAATAAAAAGAAAAAACGAGTATTGAAATCAGTGCAGATAAATGAAAATGAGCCAGCGACTAAAACTCGTAAAGTGGATATCAAATCAGAGGTAATTACTGAAAACTTGGAGAATCTTAGAATAGGCGATAACCCTGATACACTCTCCAATCTGCTTGACGAAATGACAGTAGCTGAAAAAGATAAACGCAAAAAACATAAACGTAAACTCAAGAAAGACAACAATAAAACAGTACCACCAAATGCATCAAGCAGTGATAATGCAGAGTTAGAGAAAAATGAGAAGGAGAAAGACAAAGTCAAGTGGAATAAGAGAAAATGGAACAGAGACAAGAAAGGAGAAATAGATGATGAAGTAATAGCTAATTCTGTAATAGTTGAGAATTTGCCATTGAATATTATGTGTAATTATAAGAAGTTGTTAACTGAACATTTTCAGCAGTATGGCATAATTAAAAGAATTGGGTGGGTACATATTTTATTAACATATTTTTGTTTATAATGGATAATTTGACATTTGACGGATTTTAAAAATACTTTCCTCCATAGGCTATATTTTAACTTGATATTGTAGAATAAAAATCAAATCTAATCACAATACTCATTCAGTTCTATTAGAGACACTAAAAATCTAATTTACCTAGCTAACATATTCAAATCCAAAAATAATTCATTCATGTAGGACATTTTAAATCAATCTTTTTATATTATAATTTTTTGCCTACCATCCAGTTCAGTATTTACATCCAATTGAGAATAACTGGTAAGAAACTCAATTAACTGTGGATAAACACAAAAATACTTTTAAATATTCCTCACCTATAGAAAGGTAAGTTGTAATTTAATATCATAGTTGTATTTCACATGGGCAAAGCTACAGAATATGGCTAGTAACTATTCATTCAAATTCAAAATATCTTTATTCATGTAGGTCTATTACAGACTCTTATGATATATCGAATATACATTAATGAGAAGCATAGAAATAAATTAACTAACATTTCTTAATTTTTACTTTACAGTATTGCGGAGATGTATCCTGACAAATCAACTAACAATAACATAACATTCACAACCACAATCATCTTCTATAGTGATGGAGCAGCAACGAAGGTGAGTAGACTAGCATCACTGGTGACAGCATAATAGATTATGCATGGTATTGTGTGACAAAAATGTTTTTTTTAATATGAATAATATAATAATACGATTTATATTATAGACTAGCTGCACTCGCGACTTCGTCCGTGTAGAATTAACTTTATTTTTCTAAAGAACAAAGAATTTTTCTAAAATAAGTAGCTTATGTAAAAATAATCCTGTCAAAATCAGTCCAGCCATTTCAGAGATTAGCCAGAAACAGACAGGTCAGACAGACAGACAAAAATTAGAAAAAATGTTATTTTCTTGTATGTACCGTATTTATATTCATATACATGTAGCAAAAACAGTTATTTCAATGTTACAAACAGACACTCCAATTTTACTTATATGTATAGATATATATTTTTCTTTTTTATATGAATATATAAAATGTTTATATATAAAAATTACGTATAACGTTTGTCCGCGATGTACTCCTATACTATTGAACCGATTGCAAATTTGATTTGCACAAACACAAATTCTGGGAATACCCGAGTTGAGATAAAGGAACGCTAAACGGAAACGCGTTTTTTTATCGATACAAATGGAATGATACACCCGCCTGCGCTAACGGTTTACGCTGGCGGGGCACCAGTGGAGGATGATAAGATGAGCATGAATTCAGATCAGTTAGCCCATCGTGCCAAATTCAAAATTTAATTGTTTCCTGGGGGAACCGCGTGGAGGTCGACCTACATAACATTGCTAGCAATGGGATCATAGTCCACATTACTAGCAATCCCCTTTCTCCCTTGTAAGAGCCCAATTTTTTTTTTGTGGATGATAATGGAATGGTGCACCCGCCTGCGCTAACGGTTTACGCTGGCGGGGCACCAGTGTAGCATGATAAGATGAGCATGAGGTCAAGTCAGTTAGCCCATCGTGACAAATTCACCAGGAATTTAACACGATGTTTTCCAGGAACCGCGTGGAGGTCGACCTGACATGGTACATTGCTAGCAATGGGGTTATCAATCCACATTACTAGCAATCCCCTTCCCCCAAGAGCCCAATTAACGCTGGGGATATGTTCCAATAACTTTCAGCACTAAACGAGACACCGTTAAAAGAGGCAACGTGTAAATCATGGGATTAATAGAAGATGGGTACAAAATTGTTTAAGTATTAAATTTAATATACACAAACTCGAATTAAATTTAATATACACAAACTCGGGAATTAAATTTAATATACACAAACTCGGGAATTAAATTTATTATACACAAACTCGGGAATTAAATTTATTATACACAAACTCGAATTAAATTTAATATACACAAACTCGGGGAATCCCCATGTTGAAATAAAGCAGCTCTAAACATAAACAACACAAATTCGGGGAATACCCGAGATGAGATAAAGGAGCACTAAACGGAAACAGCGTTTTTTTATCGATAAAAATGGAACGCATCATTCGATTTTTGTATGAGGATTACCTCATGACTAGCTACTATGTACCATGTCAGGTCCTCGACGTAGTCCCCTGGAAACCATCACTGGTGAATTTGTGTTGCTATTCAGACACATTAAATAAGAAAGAAGACTCAAATGTATTATAAAACACTTTAAATCTATCTATTTTTTTTTTAATAATATATTTAAAAAATTACAAAAAAGGGCATGGACCTCTAGTCTATGGAAATAAGGGCGTAAATATATATAAAAAAAACTATCAGTTGCAATAACAGTACCTACAACTCTACTGCAAATGAAATAACATGAAAAAATACCTAAAACAACTTTTTACAATATTTATCTGCTTACAGGCCCTAGAAGAAAACAATAGACTGTTTGAAGGCAACAATATCCAAGTGAAAAAGAAACTACCGCCCGAGCAAACGACAGTAGTGGTGCGGTCCTACGCCCCCCTCACTGACCAAAATATCAGCACAGTGTTCTCTGAGGCGGGCTGCATACGAAAAATTCGGCACTTGGTTAAAGGGAAAAAGTCTATGGGTAAGATACTTGTTACAAGCTTTTATTTAGCTTTTATTTAAAAGTCATGCTTGCTGTAAAGTTCAAACTGGCGGTGTGGTGGGCTGGGTTAATGTGCTCCCTCTAATATGGTTGAGTGCAAAGATGGCTGGCCTCCGTCATACTCGTGAACGGGTGCTGCTTGTGGTGACTGATCTGTTCAGGTTACGAACACTGATTAGACTTTTTGCTTTTACTATAGCATATCCTGGTGGTGACTGTATTCTTCCAAATTTGAATTTAACAATGAATCTGTATTATTGTAAACATGTACAACATTTATTTGAAAAGAATACGAGCTGAGTTTCTTGTCAGTTCTTCTCATCTTGAAATCATTTCGAACTGACGGTAGATTTGACATATCATAAGAGTCTGTAATAGACCTACATGAATAAAGATATTTTGAATATTAATTTGAACTTACGATGTTTATATAATAATAATAATTACGCGAATTAGATATCACTATTATTATTACATTATATTATACAATATTATAATTATATAAATAATAACTCGTGCCTTCCTCACCTCTCTGCACTTGCTGTGTCCAACAGGGTCCAGAATTGATCTACTTTGAAACATACCTACCAGCTGCTTACTGTAAAATTATAGAATGCAAAGCTTAAATAATAAATAAATAATAATCCTGGTTAACCAATACAACGCCATTTAATCCCAAGCTAAGCAGAGCTTGTGTTATAACAGATTACTTATTTTTTATGAATTTCGCATGATGTATTAAGTAATAGATTATTAAAGGGACAATGTTTTTTTACAAAAAAAAATTATAAGAAATTTGAATCTTATATCTTATTTAGCGTGTTTAAATAGCGTGATAAATTCGCCAGTAATAATAATAATAATATTTCAGGATAATTTACACAGCGCCATCTAGGCCCAAGCTAAGCAGAGCTTGTGTTATGGGTACTAGACAACTGATATAAATACATGGATACATTTTTTTATCATAAATAAATACATATTATACATAGAAAACACCCAGACCGATACAAACAATCATACTCATGAATACAAATGTTTGTACCGTGCGAGGAATCGAACCCTCGATCAACGGATAGTAAAGCGGTGTGCTAAACCACTAGATAACCGAGGCTGTCGGTCGAGGCTGCCAGTAATGGTGTCGAGGTGTACCTGACTTGGTAAATTGCTGACCATGAGGTCACTAATCCCCATTAATAGCGGGAAGGGTATTAATAACCCCATTGCAAGCTATGTACCATGTCAGGTTGACCTCCACGCGGTTTCCCTTGGAAACCATCATGTTAAATTCCTGGTGAATTTACCACGATGGGCTAACTGACCTGACCTCATTTTTATTTTTTGGTTGTTAATGGAATGGTGCACCCGCTTGCGCTAACGGTTTACGCTGGCAGGGCACCAGTGGAAGATGATAAGATGAGCATGAGGTCAGGTCAGTTAGCACATCGTGACAAGCTCACCAGGAATTTGTCACGATGGTTTCCTGACCTCATATTCACCTTATCATCCTCCACTGGCGCCCCGCCAGCGTATACCGTTAGCACAAACGGGTGCACCATTCCATTATCTTCCATAAGGAAAAAATGAGTTAATGTTTTTTGTACAAAAAAAGTCTTTTATAATAATAATAAAACTCTTTATTGTGTACACATAGAATAATAAGAAAAATACAGTAAATAGTAAAATAATTACAAAAAGCGGTTTTATCGCTAAATGCAATCTCTTACTAACAACCTAGAAGAGAAGACTTATGTACATAGAATAGGGTAGGTGGCACACATAAGACACTATTTATTATACTACTAGATATACATACTTACATTAGGGATAAATATATAAACCTACATATATACTACATATTGGAAGAAATGAGAAAAAATAAAAATACATTACATTCTTAATATAATACATTTGATTCTTCTTTCTTATTTAACGTGTCTAAATAGCAACACAAATTCACCTGTGATGGTTTCCAGGGGACTACGTCGAGGACCTGACATGGTACATCGCTAGTCATGAGGTCACTAATCTTCATTAGTTAGTAACAAGTTAACAACCACCTTTCCGGCAAAATAAAGTACTATATTTTTGACTAATAACTATAAAACTTATTACAGAAACGGTTTTCGTGGAGTTTGATAAACCAGAAGCGGTGGCGAAAGCTCAAGAGATAGCCAAAGAGACCAAGATTGAAGGTAAACGGGTCCACGTCAATAAATATGAGCTGAGGAAGAAAAAAGACAAACCAGTCACTGCTGATAGTGAAAATGGTGATAGTGATCATTCCAGTGTTTTAGTAGACTCTACTGTATAATAAATGTATAGATGTAGCATTTTTTTGATGGTAAATATGTCTAGTCTGTTTTTTAATCCCGGAGACAAATTTGCTTTTTTTTTTTAATTTAATATTTTACGGCTCTGGATACAAGTCCTTTTTAGCCCAACATAAAATACAAAACCTTAAAAAAATTATAATTTCTTCCCAGTGTTAGAAGTAAATTTATAGTGCAGGCCTTGATAAGATCTCTTCTAGAGACTTCGGTACTTCATTAATATTTTAAGACAAATTGACATTTCCAATGTTGCCAGGTTTTTGTATTTTTTAAATAGGGTTGTGGCACTATCGGAATTCAATATTAATAACCCATTTTTATAGGTTACTCAGAAATAATGTGTGAGCGTTTATGTTAAACGCATTAACACAAAATTAATAAAGTATAGGTATTAATAAATATATGGTTGTTGTATCAAAATATTTTTTTTATTTTTCACTTAAGTAAAGACTAATTGACTGTTTTATAAAACAAACAAATAACCTTTTTATAGTGTTATATATCATAAAACAAACCCCTAATTAAAGTATTTTTCTGTTTGAAAGAAAAAAAAGTTTGTTTTTACCTTAATACTGTAATAATTACTATTTGTACGGAAACGACAAAATTCTATTTTTATGCCGTATAATACGACAGTAATGGAAACACTAGTATATGTACGTAAATATTAAAGTTCAGTTGTGGAAACGTCATTTAAAGTTTTAGAACTAGTATGTTAAAATTTTCCGATTAAAGAAATCGCAGGTACACCACTCCCCCGCTACAGGTGGTAACATTATTTGAAAATTTGACATTTACACCTGTCAGTTTAGTCTCCGGAATTAAAAAAGATTATAGATGGAATTCGTCTAACGGAAACCCATAGCATCAAATCGACATTCTATATTATGTTAAACTAGGTTTTGTTAATATGATTTATTGTTAGTTTATTTGAAATATAATTTTAGAATATGTTATGGCCCATAGTTATCTGCATTCTTTGCTATATGTGTCATAATTTATATTTTATTGCAATAATGGACGAGTATCGTGTTTTAATAATATTTAATTCAGATTATTATCTATAGTGTTAGTTACAATGAAAGCATTGGGCTCCCTAAAATATGGTCGAACACAGTGATGACTGGCTCATCCGTCATGCTCGTGCACGAATGCTGCTTGTAGGGACTGGTCTGCTCTTATTACTACGACTGATTTAATGTTATTGTATATTTATATTTGACCCTAATAAATTAGTGCTGGTTAGTAGTTTGTATTCACACGTTTCGACTTGTAAATGTGAACTTACAAGGATTATTTAAAAGAGCAACACACAAGTTTCTTGCTCGTTCTTGTGAGGAGACAGCTTTCCGAATGAACGGTGGATATAAAAAAATGTTATGGCTATTCAAAAGTGCTTAAATTAAATTTATTTGAATAAATGATTTTCTATTCTATTCTATTCGTTATTTGAAACAAATTAAATGAAATTGATATTGATATTTCTTCTGTAAATTGATCTTTATTTTTGTTCTAAGGTAATTTATTGATCCCTAGTAGTAATTTGGATTTACGCAAATTAACATTTAATTCGATAAAAAAAAATATTCGTTTTAATCATTTATGATATTGGGGACTCGAAATAAGAGAGGATATAGTATTGTTACATTTTTGTTATGGATGAAAATGGTATGATGTACCAACCAGCGCTAATGGTATATGCTGGCGTAACCGTTAGCGTAGGCAGCACAATTTCATTAGGGGTCCTTCAAGTATTACGTAAGCTGATTTATTACAATCATTTACCCCCTCCCCCCTCCCCCTTGTCAGCAAAGGTAAGGGGGTAAAACCCCTCCCCCCATGCGTACGTAAACATTTTTCGATTAATGTATTGTTTTTTTAGCAAGGACAATGTGAGGGTTGCCTTTCTTGAAAAAAGTTAATCACTGCCGATGACGTAATCATGATCTAGACTCCCCATGTCATCCCAAATAAGCAAAGCAAAGACCCCAAAAGGCCCCTTATCATCCATAAGAAAAAAATCCCTATTACTAACAATTCCTTCCCCCTCAATAACATTGTACTATGTGTTAGAATTCACATCATTATTATAGAAAAAAATGCGATATTTTAAAAATATATTAAAAGAAGGTAGTTTGTTTTTAGTACTAATGAAGTACCCAATGTAAGGATTATTACGAATATTGTAAATAGCGCCATCTAGTATTTATAGACCAACCTACTACACTGACTTTGGTCTATAAATACGGAGGTCGGTAGTTGAATAATCCTCTTTCGTTGCGTGAGCCGCGGCATTCAGTCGACGAGCGCAGAGCGTGCCAGTTGTGTTTTGGATATTAAAGTGAATTGTATTAGCAATGGGTTTATCCCGGTCTTAGTTGGGCCTGGGGGGAAGCTGCAAGTAGTGAAGGTGAGTGTTAATGCATTGTAAAAGGGCCTTTTAAACCTACACCCGTGTCACAAGTCACGGGCGCTACTTGGGGTTTCCCTTGCGGTAGCCGGCTTCAAAGCCTCAGTCGTCCGTCATAATTAGTGCTTCTTACATATGTAACAATAGAAGGGCTTATAGAAGTGAATGCAGATAATTTATCAGCAATAAATATATAATATAATATTATGTATATAGGGGCTGATAGTGACGTATATTGTATATATGGTATATGGAACTCATGTTAGATAACGTTAATACTGTGCCTACCTCGTCTAAATAAATTATGATTATTATGATGTCATTAAAAAAATATATGATATTTTATATTTATTATTACCCCTTTGTGGAAGACCACATATAATGAAGTACGTGAGGTATGAGCAATGAGCATGCTAATGTAAGATTTGGAAAGAATATTGTTTTTTTTTTCGGACTACTCTAATGCTGTTGGCCGCAGCTGGCCTTTACAGCTTCACCGGACGTTAGGGGGCGAGTGCAGATGGCACTCCAAACCAAGGAAGGACTTATGGAGCGGCTGAAGGCCAACTCCCGCCTGACGGATACGACTTTAGTCTGAGGGCACCACTAGGGGTTCGAACCTAGGCTCAGGCCGTCGTAATTTCGATCCCCGTTTGAATTGGACGGGGGATCGAACGGAGGGGTAGAATATTGTATACAAGATTAATGAATCACTTATAAAATAGAGAGAGAGGGAAGCCTAGAGGGGCCAAAACTTTGAAACAGTATACTGTAAGTATAATAATATCCCTAGACCATTCACGCAACGAGCTTGTAAATACTGTAAGTACTATACAACTGATATAAATACTAGATTTTATTTAATTTTCATATAAAACAGCCAGGCCGATGCAAAAATACATACTCATGAATACAAATCTTTATGCAGCTCGTAGTAATACTATTTCGTATAAAACAATTTTTCATATAGCACAGGAAAGTTGTGGATTAAACTCATATATATTATTTTAATAATAATTTTCATGTCAGGTAGAATATTACATATAATAAACTAGCTGAATCCGAAAACGATTATTATTACTTAGGGCTATAAAAAATTATAGTAGCCGAATCTCAGAACTACTGAATATGCATATAAAATTTTATATGCTGTAGAGGACAGCGTGAAATAACGTAGAATAAGATCAATAATAATGTAAAATTAAAATACAACGCGTAATATCATATAGATAAGTTTAAAATAATGTAAATGATACAAACAGTATGATATATGAAAAAACGAGCAATAATGTATGTAAACCGTATTCAGTTATGTAAATATAAGCTATATGTTAAAATAACTATAACGAACTAGATATAAGTAATGTTCCTGTTATAGTTGTAGTATTTCACTATTGTTAAAAGTGAAAATCGGTGTAAGTTAGAGATAATTTACCTTGTATTTATAAGAAATACTATTGTGATGATTATGTATGTGTACTTTTTAGATAGGGAATTATGCAAAGTTCACATGTAAATAAGAATTATAAGGGGGAAAACGTGTTACAGAGGTAATAACATCGAAAAACTCCAAAAGTCATAATGAAAATTAACTTTAGAATCGAGCTAAAAACACGGAGCTCGCGATAAGGTATTGCCTCCGAATACGTAACCAACGAAATTTGTATGAAAAATTATTCCAGTACCAGTTCAGTATATTCCTACGTAGTACAGTATTATATATTCAGTTCAGTAGTTCAGTACGGTCAGCAAGTTGTAACTATCAAGAAATTAAACCAGTGAAGTAACCCTGGGATTTTATTTACCGGCCATAACATTGTGTGGTCCTTCGAGTAGCCGGATCTACGGAAGAAAAAATGGTCGTTACAAGAAGTCAAGCTGGGAACGAAGAAACGGGAAGGGTATATACGGAGCCCCCACGCTCTCCGTCGGCAGCAGCGTCGTCGAGCCAGCATCCTGCACACGGCGGGATACATACCGAACGAGGGACACGCGCCGCTGAACAAACCGACCGAGAGGCCCGAGCTACAGTTGCCGATCGTGCCGCGAACCGGACGGACGCGACCGCAGCCAGTACAAGAGAAGCGCCAGTACCTGAAGCCCGAGAAACCGTACAGAATGTACCAGATCCAGTGTACACTACTCCACGAAAGGCGATTTCTATACGAACGCGCCGCTCCACTGCAAGCGTTATTGCTCGCATGCAGTATGAAGCTGAAGAAAAACTAGCAGCCATACGAAGACGGGAACTGCAGATAGAAGCGGAACTGATTAAAAAGAAGCTCGCTGCAGACATGGCCGCGCTAGAAGAGGACAGTAATACTGAAGAAGAGGAGCCACCAGAACAAGTGAAGCAACGCGTCACTGCCTGGCTGAATGAGAGTGGCCCCGACCAGGAAACAGCACGGGGGGAGTCAACTGCACCCTACCCTCCGCAGATCACCACTACTGCAACGATGGAATCAAAACCAGTAGATACGCCGCACAGAAGACGAACAACAGAAGGCTATAAAACGCGTGTCGGATGGGAGACACCACACAGAGAAAAATCTCCTACTCCAGCAAGATCACGTGGCCGAGGGGTAGAACAATTAGCGGAGGTGTTAGAAAAAATGATGACCCGCCGCCCGCCGCCTCGTCAAGCCTCCGAACTACCAATATTCACCGGCGCACCGACCGACTGGTTACAATTCAAGACGGCAATGGAAGATACAACTGCCATGTATAATTTCACGCCGATGGAAAACTTAGCTCGCCTTCGTAACTGCCTACGCGGGGAAGCTAAAGAAGCGGTTGCACCGTTACTAGGTGTCGCAACACCGCCTGATCAAATAATGAAGACATTAGAACAATGTTTCGGACGACCGGAAGTCATCATAGATCGATTGATGGAAGACATGAAAAAACTACCGAAACTCAGCGGAACAGCCGTCGAATTAAATACATTCGCCGTTAAAATTCAGAACGCTATATCCTGAGAAGATTAAAGCAAGGATATCTTCACAATATTGCTTATCAGAGACATACTAGAAGCTCAGCCCTCATCAGAAGACCAGGTGGTACGACTACGCATAGAGGCTTCAGAAACAAGTAGCAAGCCAGAAATAATTATGCTGTCGGAATTTCTGATGAGAGAAGCTGATAGAGCCTTGAAGCACGGGTTCTATACAGTGAAGAAAGAAGTACCTCGACCTGTTGTTAAAACCACAGAATTCAGAATTAAGAAGCCGGTTTTTGCAATTATCATGAAATGCCCCGCTTGTGGACAAGGACACAACTTACCTAAGTGTTCTAAGTTCCTCAATCAGAACATACAAGAAAGATGGAACAAAGAACGCTAAGCTATGTTTCAAATGTCTATCCCGAAGACATAGAAGAATGAACTGTCGAGCGAAGAGCTGCGGAAGCAACGGCTGCAAGCGACCGCATCATGCGCTACTTCACCAGGAAACGGTTGCATCATCCGTAACAACCGTCTCAGAAACCGAAGACACCGTGGCAACAGCATCTATTGCTCACGGACGAGAAATAAAACTGAAAATACGACCTGTAACGATAAGCGGACCAAAAGGAGAAACGAAGATCTATGCATTATTCGATGAAGGTTCAACAGTCACGCTGCTGGATAACGACATAGCAGAAGCGATTGGAGCCGACGGACCCTCTAAGGCATTATTAATGCATGGAGTAAATTCAGAACATAAAGAAATGAACAGCCGAACAATAAAGTTGAACATTCGCAGTCAAGACGGAAAGGAACACGTCATGACAGCCAGAACATTGACCGGCATGAATTTATTAAGTCAGTCAATACCTGAAAAGCTATTGGACTTAGAACATCTTCAAGATCTCAAACAAGAAGACTTGTGCTATGAGAATAAGAAACCACAACTTCTCATAGGCACCGACAACTGGCAACTGATCGTGTCGAGAGAAATAAGAATGGGAAAGAAAAATCAACCAGCTGCCTCTAAAACACAGCTCGGCTGGGTGATCCATGGAAGCGTTCCGAAAAAGATTATAAAGCAAGATTGCGAGAACATCCTTCACGTAGTGAACGTCATCTCACAAGGCGATCACTTAGAAGAAATGATAAAGAAACACTTCGAAATCGACGCACTAGGAATAGCGACAGAAAAGAAGTTGAATAAACAAGATCAACGTGCCGTTGACATCTTCGAGAGAACAGCGAAACGAAGAGAAGACGGACACTACGAGGTCGGACTCCTATGGTGCCGAGACGACATCGAGTTACCTGTAAATTATAACAACGCTCTCAGAAGACTGAAAAATCTAGAGCACAAATTGAATAGATCAGCTGAAGAGAAACAACAATACGAAGAACAAATAAAGAACCTGTTGAACAAGAAATACGCTGTAAAGTGTGACGGATCAGAAACAGGCAGCAAAGTGCAATGGTACTTACCACACTTTCCCGTTAGAAATCCAAACAAGCCGGGAAAGGTGCGACTGGTGTTCGACGCCGCAGCTAAAACCCACGGAGTATGCCTGAACGATTTCTTGCTAGAAGGCCCTGATCTGTTGATATCACTGATGAGAATACTCTTTCGATTCCGTGAAGAAGCCGTCGCCGTAAAAGCCGACGTGGAAGAAATGTTTCTTCAAATAAAAATAAGAAGAGAGACCAACCTGCGCAAATGTTCCTGTGGAGGGAAGATGAAAATCAACCGCCCACAACATATAAGATGGCAGCGATGATTTTCGGCGCTACGAGTTCACCGTTTCTTGTCAGAAATAAGAACGCACAAGAATATAATGAAACGCATCCCGAAGCTTTTCGTGCAATAACGGAAGCCCACTACATGGACGATTATGTGGATAGTTACGCCACAAAAGAAGACGCCGAAAAAGTAATAAGTCAAGTGGACTACGTGCACAAGAAGGCAGGCTTCAGATTAAGAGGATGGACGAGCAACAATATTAACATTATGAAGAATATACCGAAAGATCGGCATGCGAAAAACACAACGCAAGCGATCACCAAAGATGAACAGAAGACATTTGTTATGGGACTCAGTGAACGACGTGTTGAAATTTAATACTTCACTGAATAGAGTTCCCAGAGAAGTATACAATATGACTCGTGCACCGACCAAGCGAGAAACTCTAAGCACAGTCATGAGTATATACGATCCGCTGGGATTACTCAGCTGTTATACGATCACCGCGAAAATGATACTCCAAGACCTGTGGCGACAGAAACTGGGCTGGGATGAACCGCTGCCGTCAGAAGCCTCTGAAAACTTCGCCAAGTGGTTAATGAACCTCTATTAGCCGCCTCGAACTAAAGTTACAACGGGGGAGTCCAGTTCGACAGCTGCACATCTTCTGCGATGCCAGCAAGGACGCCTACGCCGCAGCAGCTTATTGGAAACAAGAAAACGGAGACGTTAAGACTATTTTAGCAGCAGCAAAGGCTAAAGTAGCTCCGTTGAAGAGCCAGACGATCCCGCGACTGGAATTGCAAGCCGCACTATCGGTGCGAGGCTAGGAAGCAATATTGTGAAAGATCATCGATGGATAGCCGACGCTGTTTTCTTCTGGACTGACGCTCAAGTGGTTCTACAGTGGATTCAGAACGGGAATCTGCGATATACACCCTATGTATCGCATCGACTGGGAGAGATCGCCGAATTGACGTCAGTACACCAGTGGAAATGGGTAACGAGCAAGCAGAACGTCGCCGACATAGCGACCAGACCAGGATACGTGCCGGAGAACCCCGAAGACCCATGGTTCCGCGGTCCGGAATTCCTATCGAGACCAATGAACGAATGGCCTCAACAACACTCGATCATCGAAGAACGAGATGACGAACAGATCATTCTACACGCAGTAGAAGACGACTGCAGGTTAGATTGCCTACCTGATGTAACACGCTTCTCTAGTTACGAGCGTCTTATCAGGGCGACAGCAATGGCGCTGCTGTTCCCGGAAAAGTGCCGTGATCGACGGGCTGCTCTACACGTCGATCACTTGAGAAGGGCAGAGCTTTTATGGCTCCAGATAAATAGAGCTGATGAAGACGGGAAAGACACTTCCGAGAACCAGTCCACTATACCGGCTTCATCCAATTTATAAGGAAAAATTATTACGGCTGGATGGAAGAATCGAAGCTGCACAAGTGTCCGCGGATATGAAGAATCCCATCCTATTGGACGGTCGCCATCCCTTCACCAAATTATTAATAATGAAGGAGCACAGAAGAGCGGGACACGGAAGCCGAGAGAGAGTGGTGAATGACCTGCGTCAGAGATACTGGATCCTAAAGCTAAGACCGACAGTCAGAAGTTTGACGAAAGATTGCGCCTTTTGTCACGTGAGAAGAGCTAATCCTAAGAAGCCGCCTGTGGGAAACTTACCCGAAGAACGACTGGGAGCTTTCCACAGACCCTTTTCTCATTGCGGGTTGGATTACTTCGGTCCCATGACGGTGACGATCGGTAGACGTCATATATTCACGTGCCTGACAACACGAGCGGTTCACCTAGAGCTTGTAGCATCCTTATCCACGGATTCCGCAATCATGGCAATAAGAAGAATGGCAGCTCGACGCGGATGGCCCATAACCATGTACAGCGATAATGGGACGAACTTCAAAGGAGCAGATGCTGAGCTCCGACAGGCCTACGCGGATTGGACTCCAGCCATGCAGGAACTAGGACTCCATTATCGGATGCAGTGGAAGTACATCCCTCCTGGAGCTCCCAGCCAAGGTGGAGCATGGGAGAGAATGGTGCGGTCAGTAAAAACCGCTTTGATCGCTACGTTGAACGAGAAGGCACCGAAAGAGGAGGTGCTGCAGACCGTGTTGACAGAGGCAGAATACTCTATCAACGCGAGACCCCTCACGCACGTGTCGGTGGATCCTGACGACCCTGAAGCGTTAACTCCTAACCACTTCTTGATCGGGTCATCAACAGGCCAGCCGTACGTGGGACCCTGCGAATTGGCTGACAGACGAACCTGGAGAGCAGCTCAAGGACTAGCAGACGAGTTTTGGAGGAGATGGCTCCACGAGTACCTGCCGACGCTCGTGCCACGACGAGGAACGCCACAGAACCCCCGAGTGATCGCTGAAGGGGACGTGGTCATCGTGGTCGACTCATCGCTGCCTCGCAATACATGGCCGCGAGGGATTGTGGAACGTGTATATCCGGGCCCAGATGGTCAGGTGCGCAGTGCGGACGTCCGAACACGGAGCGGAGTGTTCCGGCGACCAACCTCCAAGCTAGCGGTGCTGCAGGAGACAATCCAGGATGCAAGACTAACCTCGCTGTCACCAGAAGAGGCTACGTCGTCACTACGCCGGGGGGAGACTGTAGAGGACAGCGTGAAATAACGTAGAATAAGATCAATAATAATGTAAAATTAAAATACAACGCGTAATATCATATAGATAAGTTTAAAATAATGTAAATGATACAAACAGTATGATATATGAAAAAACGAGCAATAATGTATGTAAACCGTATTCAGTTATGTAAATATAAGCTATATATTAAAATAACTATAACGAACTAGATATAAGTAATGTTCCTGTTATAGTTGTAGTATTTCACTATTGTTAAAAGTGAAAATCGGTGTAAGTTAGAGATAATTTACCTTGTATTTATAAGAAATACTATTGTGATGATTATGTATGTGTACTTTTTAGATAGGGAATTATGCAAAGTTCACATGTAAATAAGAATTATAAGGGGGAAAACGTGTTACAGAGGTAATAACATCGAAAAACTCCAAAAGTCATAATGAAAATTAACTTTAGAATCGAGCTAAAAACACGGAGCTCGCGATAAGGTATTGCCTCCGGAATACGTAACCAACGAAATTTGTATGAAAAATTATTCCAGTACCAGTTCAGTATATTCCTATGCAGTACAGTATTATATATTCAGTTCAGTAGTTCAGTACGGTCAGCAAGTTGTAACTATCAAGAAATTAAACCAGTGAAGTAACCCTGGGATTTTATTTACCGGCCATAACATATGCATATTCAGTAGGTCTGAGATTCGGTCTAGTCGTAGTAGGTCTGAAAATTTTATAAAAATCGGTCAAACCGTTTCGGAGGAGTATAGTGACTAACATAGTGATACGAGAACTTTATATATAAGAATATCTTATCTATGATATTACTATTCGAATACGGTTGTATAACGAGAAAAAAGAAATTTTGTACCTATAATAAAATAAAATGAACGGAATTATTAATCGTAATTGTCTTATTATCTTTGTTGTTGTTAAATAATTATACATACAGTTGCCTTTTGCAACGCAAAAAGAACAAAAAACTATGTTTCCGCCCGGGATCGAACCGGGGGCCTTCTGCGTGTTAGGCAGATGTGATAACCGCTACACCACGGAAACTTGTTGGAAGTATTCGAAAATATCAATAACTAAACGAGATCCGTAGTTCGTAATAAATTATATATTAAATAGTAGATATATTAAAATATATTAGATATTTTTCTAAATCTGTACTTTTTTTCTACCACCGAAAGTTTATTATATCTTTCCTATCTCCTATTTATTTCTGAAATAATTATTACATTTTCATTCATACGAAATATTTTTTGTGATGCTTATATTGCTTTCTGAATAATAAAATAGTGAACAAATATTATTTAACAACTTTGGAGACATTGCGTATTTAAGAGTAGGAAACATCAAAATAAACCTCTGTACGCAACTGGCTAATATCTTAACAAAATCTGCCTGGTATTTTATTATACTCCTCTACTTGTACGTGGAGATGTGTATATAATTTATGTTAAAGTTTAATGGTTCAAACCATTTGTTTGTTGGCAAAAATGTAAAAACAATTGACTAAATAAATATCTCTGGAGAATTAACACAGCGCCATCTAGTCCTACGCTAAGCAGAGTTTATGTTATAGGTACTAGACAACTCATATAAATACTCACTTTTTTTGTAAATATATATTTATACATAAAAATCCCAGATCGATACAAACAATCATACTCAAGAATACAAATATTTGCACCGTGTGAGGAATCGAACCCGCAGCCATCAGATGTAAAGCGGTGTGTTAAACCGCTAGACCGCCGAGGAATCAAAATTGGTGGATTAATTAAAACAAAGTAAATTTAAATTGAAACAATAATTTATTGTGTTCCTTAGAGTCAATAGTTAAAAAAAAATATCCCCACGACTGCAATCCCAGATGGGGTAGTCAGAGGCGTCGCCAACTGTCCACGTTGTAGACGCAACAGTTGACATGCCCACTATACCGTAGTTATGCTGTAAAATTAACTATACTGTACACACAAGATCCTTATTCGTCCGATATTAAGCTATTAATTATAATTACAATTAATTATTTACAATTACGAATAAATTACACGGATGATTGTGTCACGTTATGGACACAACCATCTAACTGGCACGGCGCACTTGGCACATGAAACATTGATCAAAATATTGTATTCATTGCATATAATACACTACCATTGCAGCATAAATAATATAACCAGCTAAGTTTAATAATATAGCGAACTATTAAACTTCGACAAAAAAAAATCCTATACCACACCCCCTCCCTTGAAATTTTTTCTATACTCGAGAGATGTATGTTGTGTAGTGACAAACATAATGCAAATAGTTCAGTCTCGACGTCACTGTTATCCCAGTTGTCCTTCAACTCATTTACACAACAATAGTAAAATATGGATATAAGGGACAACTGACAAACTCACTCTCTCTCTATCTGCTAGTAATTACTTTGAAAGATAATTTTAAATGAGGAGCAAAGATAAAATTTTGCTTTTTTTTTTTACAAGCAAAATATTTATCTTTTGCTTGCAACTTATATCAATTGTTTAAACTATACATTGTACGTTGAATAACAATAACTTAACAATAAATGTGCCAACTGCGCCGCCCGCATTTATTACTTAAATAATACTTTCAAACACATGCATATTGTTTTATATAATTTACATAATACCTAACTTGCTATAAAAAATAGGCAATTTCTCAAGGAAAATGTCGTTATTTTCAATATAATTCGAATGCATTTAGAGAATGTTCAAAAACAAATTTAGATTTTTTTTTAAATATTGAAAACTATTATACATTACAACATCGGGTGCAATTACACTCTTTTTTATCTCACATTAGTATTTCAGAATACAGAACAAACTAGAAATTATTGTTTATGGCCTAAGAACAACGTGATATCTTTTGTATTACGTTATTTTTGGTCATATCTGGGAGATCACAGAGAAAATAGACCAGAGCCAACTTACAAAATTACATTCCAAAATGCCCTCTTTCCGTGTATAACCCGGTTATAAAAATATACCGGTCCATTAATATTATGCTCTCAACGCGAGAGACCTATTCAATTCAGCGGATTATACTAATATTTCGTATAAAACGACCCGACATAGTTTGCTCTATATTCTGATAATGTTTTTATAGTCAATTAGTTGTCAAAGCAAGCTGAAACAGGACGCCTATATTACAAATAAGGGTAGATAAAATGTACAACTTTTTATTACAATCCAAAATATACAATCATTAGAATTCATTATAAACGTGACCGCGCCTAAGAATTTCAGCCATTATATAATGAATCCACCAAATTTTATCACTCATATTGAAGGATGTTACTCCCACGTTTTAATATAACCACGTAGTTTAGACTTTAGTTTCCCTTCAGATTCAGTGGTGAAGACTTGTTTGTAAGTACAGTAATTTTTAATTACAAAGTAATTATGTCCTAATTATGTAAACGGGATATTTACCATGACAATATTATTTAAGAGGTCCCAATATTAACAGACCCCAGTATAATTCAGGCAATCAAACTTTGGAACGACTTACCACTTCATATCAAAACCGCCACAAGTAGATTTTCTTTCAAACGTAAATTACGAGAACATTATTTAAACTTGTAACCTTTTCTGTGTCCTGTTTTCTCATTGTTTTTTATTTTTACGTATACATTTTTTTTATTTCCATTATTTGTGGCAGTACATGATATTTCATTGTCAGATTATTAAATATGTATTTATGTATGTATATATATATATGTAGTTATTTACTCATATATATTTTTATGTGTATAGTTTAATATATTTTTTATATTTGCACCGCCAACAATTATTCTCTGCACCACCCATGGTTGACTGGTAGATAATGCCGCATGGTGTTAAGCCCGCCATATGGTCTTTCAGTTATGTGCATTAAAGTTTTAATAAGGAATTCAATAATATTCTTCTTCTTAGATACGCTCTTGATATAATGGTCGTTGTCATTATGTAGCGGAGTAAGAGGCAGACGTCATCAGAGACAGCTCGTCATTTCTCCCCACTGGCTGTCATTCTGGTACACTACCACATAAATATATTCATGGTAAATATCCCCTTTTTGTGTTTATTATGTCAATTCATTATCAAAACTTCATTCAGAACGAATTTTGGTTATATTTGCCTATCAGATATATAGAAACGTATATATGTAGCTTAGAGTACGACCATAAACACAAATATTCATAATTTGTTAATTACTATAATATTTTATTTAGTGTATATGATTGTACATCGTCGCTATGAACCGAGCTTTACCATAAACAAGATAGAAATATAAAATCATTACAGTACAACATAACTTAAGATATATAACTTTTTACGTACGTAAATACATACATATTATACATAAAAAATGGCCAGAGCGATACAAACACTCATACTCAAGAATACAAATGTTTGTACCGTACGAGGAATCGAACCCGCGACCATCTGAAGTAAGGCGGTGTGCTAAACGGCTACACCAGCGAGGCCGTCCAGTAATAATATTATTGGCAACTGTTTAATTGCCCTAATTTATATAAATGTATGAAACATTTACGTTTCTATATATTGAATATCGTACTATATATATCCTTACGTGATCATTTTATGCATATAGCAAGTATAACGAAACATTCACAGCAAAGATCATCGACGAAATCAAGTCAATGAAAATTTGTCCATCACAAAATCAAACACCATTACTAGATGCAGTCTTATCTTAGCTTTCATAGAAATTACAATGTATTTCCTATCACATCGTGTTTTATATGGGTCGATCAAGTATTTTATGTACTTAGTAAATAGATATTGGTTTTATGTGGATTTGTCAACTTTTTTTTAACTTAGACAAACTATTATACAACATAAAAAATACATTATTATTCTTTATCACCCTGTATAAAATACGCAATAATTATTATATTGCGTATTTTATTATATTCTGTTTTATTTACAATTACACTTTGTTACGGACAATACTGAACGAATGAAAATTTTATGTATTCAAAAATAGCAGCTAAACGGTTAGCGATATGGTTTACATTCGTAGATACGCCAAATTTCGTAAATAGGGCAAAGGGCCTGTGCCAGTGGGATTTTAAAAATTATGTACAAAACATAAAATATTGTAGAGTTAACAAAATTCTAGAGTGGTCAGTTTGAACTCCAAGTCTTTGAAGTTTATATAACTCACGGTAGTAAATCACAAGTCTATGACTCTCGAGTATTTTTATACCACAAAGAGAAAACTGTTAATAGTGCAAATAAGCAATTTTTTCGTGTCTATTAATATATTTTTCTTTTACTACGATGGTGTCAATGAAGCATACGCACTATCTGATGGTATACGGTTACCGTAGCCTATGAACGCCTGAAACACCAGGAAGGTCTCGTACCACCTCAGTTATATATACAGTAATGCTTTATATTATATATATATATTTCTGTATTTTTATCATTCTCCTTTTGTTACTTTACACATTTAACTTCATCTTCCCAATACCACCATTACTTCATAAATACTTCTAGCAATGAAATCCTTGTCTCGAATATAAATATAGATATTTTCCTTTCAAAACTGGTCCAGTTCCGGAGACAATTAAATATCCACCGTAAAGAGACAAATTACATTTATACATATTGGATCAATTTTTTTCTTTAATACAAATAAAATTCTGTTAACATGATAATTCATTGAATTACGTAGTTATATATTGTTTTCTATTTAGTTTACTGTTCAATATATAACCTTACGTATATTGAATGCGTCTATATAATTTATCTTTAAGGCATATATAGTGTTGGATTACAATCCAGTTTTGTACCAAACTACATTCTTATATTGATTGTAATCTGTTTTGTATGATAATAAATAAATAAATAAATTGGCAATATCGAGTTCTGTTTCCGATATATCCTAAATTTGAAAGAAATTAAATCAAATTACCATAAAACATTGATCGACCCATATAGCATAAACAAAACGAATATCAAGAAATAATAACTAGCAATGATTTAGTTATATACAATTAAAATCTTAAAGTAAAATTTCTATCTCCAAAACAAAAAACGGTAAAATCATTATGGTTTGTATATTAACAATGATGCAGTAACAATTTTGTAGTTTTACGATATATTCGATTTCACTTTTAACAAAATTTTAAAGGAAATCCCATAAATATGAATCGACAAAACCGATTCACAATTGATGAAATCCGCGAACCTATTACAACTGGAATGTTTCCTCACTTTCTCACGAATTAGGAAAATCGCGTGAAACAAACGGACAAAGCATTTCAATAGCTAAAATAGGTATTATATATTAGACTAGCTGCTCCCGCGACTTCGTCCGCGTAGAGTTTAACTTTATTTTTCTAAAATAGAAGTAGCCTAAGTTACTCCTTATTACATCAGCTACCTGCCAATAAAAGTCCCGTCAAAATCGTTCCAGCCATTTCAGAGATTAGCCAGAACAAACAGGCAGATAGACAAAAATTGTAAAAAATATTATTTCGCGTAGTACATGTAGTAAAAAACGGTTATTTCAATATTACAAACAGACACTCCAATTTTATTTATATGTATAGATAAGAAGAAAATAGTAGATTGTGATTTCTGTGACCGATATTAGTAGAGTAGAAAAAATTGTGTCCAACTTTTAGATTTTTGTTTTCCACGCAAAACTCATATGCTCAATTTACACTCAGCCCAAGTGGGCAGGGAAGTGAGCACGGAAGTGAGCAGCGCGAGAGTGGAAACACTTCCCATGCCATTGGCGCTGCCACTCGCGCTGACCGGCGCTCCCTCGATTGTCGGTTTTTCGTGCGCGAGTCAAAGGACTGGCAGCGCGAGTGGCAGCGTGTTTTTACATTCAGCCCTCTCGCTCAGTTGTCGCCCGGCAACATTTCCAGCAGCGCGAGTGGCAGGGGAAGCGGCTGAATGTAAACGCAGCAACAGACTCCCACACGGCATGTTCTATATGCAGCACCATAATTACAGCGAGCGGAGTTTCAATAGAATTCGTTTTCATACCCATTTGTTCATAAAAAACTCGGATATGAAACTGTTTTGTCCTATTCTTACGAGCTATCTCCTTAATTCGAAAGTAGGTGACAAAACATAACAGGCGATAAGCGTGTCTGTCTTTTAATTAAATTAATAAAGAGGATAATAACATCCGCAAACAAGAAATAAATATATTGCCTTTCTGTGAAAGAGCAAACTTTTTTTATCAAACGTATGTTACAAGTCCAATTAGAATAAAATAAGGAGAGATAGAGACCGACTAAAGTGAACGGGAGCCTCTCGGTGAAGCGAGAGGTGTGCGGTCGGTCTGCGGGCGACGTGCGAGCGACGAGCGGTCGATCAGCGGGCGAAGGGCGGGCGACGCGGTGGGCTAGTCGTAGCCCTTCAGTAAGCCCTAGGGATGCCGTTGGTTCGGTACAGGGATGCTGTAATGTAAATATTTTTTTCGATTAGAATTTTATAACCAATCGTCGGTTAAATAGAAAAATTACACTATTCAAAATATACATTTTTTTACAAATCAAGCATTAAAGTTTTTAAAATTATTTAAATCCTTTTTTCTTTTAAAGTTTTAAATTTACATAGTATTATATATCGTTTTAAAAGTATTTAAATAATGATTAAGACGGCGTGGTTAATTGACTTATATAAGAGGAGGCAATTCTATCTTCTAATTGAGAAAAATGTCTTTTTTCTATTGCGTGGATACCTATCGGATACATCTTGGGAGATCTTGGCTGGGTACTTTAGTAGTTAGCAAAAAGCCCTAAATGAGAAGTTAAATGCGGAGAATAGAGTCCAACATACAATAAACAAATAAATAAATAACCGCCAATAATTAACACAGCGCCATCTACTCCAACGGTAAGCAGAGCTTGTGTTATGGGTATTAAACAACTGATATAATTACTTACATTATTTTTGCAAATAAATACAGAGAAAAGATCCAGGCCGATACAAACGTCATACTTATGAATACAAATGTTTGCACCGTGCGAGGAATCGAACCCGCGACCATCGGAAGTAAAGCGGTATGCTTAAACGGTAGATCACCGAGACCGTATAATAAAATCATCAGGTAAGTTGTGAGCTAGTTACATAATAAAATACCATCCTGATCATTTAGATCATCATGTGTTTTTTAGAAACTTTTTGCCATGCACAACCACACTGTGGAATCACCTTCCAGCAATGGTATTTCCGAACCGATACGATATTGAAACCTTTAAGAAAAGAGCTCACTCTTTCTTAAAAGGTCGGCAATGTACTTGCAATTTCCCTAGTGTCACGGGTGCTCATGGGCGGCGGTAATCATTTGCTTTTGCAATAGCATATGCTGGACTACCAGCATATGCTATTGCAAAGGCAAATGATTAAATTCTCCCAAGTTTGAATTAAAAAAATAATCTGCATTATTGTAAACATGTATAATATTAATTTGAAAAGAATACGAGCTGAGTTTCTTGCCTGTTCTTCTTATCTCGAAATCATTCCGAACTGACGGTAGATTTTACATATCGTAATAGACCTACATGAATAAAAATATTTAGAATTTTTGAATTGATACCGCCGTCCAAGAGCTCCCGCAACACTAGGGAAAGTGCTATATTAAAAGAACAGCACTTACCCGTAAAACGCTGGGAAGCTGGTGTCGGTGTTGAAGTGGAAGTTGACTGGCGTCTTGGGCGAGGCGCAGGTGTAGGCGAGGTAGTCGTCGGAGGCGTGCAGGTGTCGGCTGAGCGTGGGCTCGGAGGCGCTGCGGGTGATCTTGGGCATCGCGCGCAGCATGCTCTCCAGCGACGTCAGGATCTGACGGAACTGCGGGCGCTGCTCGCGGTCGAACTTGGTGCAGTCGTCCGACAGACGCTTCAGGGCCTGCGGGGCGTCCGCACGCAGCCGCCGCGCGTCCGGACGCAGCAGGCCGCGCCCCACCAGCCACAGGATCTGAAACGTACGCACCACGACCATGACACACACACACACACACACACACACACAGCCGCCGCGTCCGGACGCAGCAGGCCGCGCCCCACCAGCCACAGGATCTGAAACGTACGCACCACGACCATGACACACACACACACACACACACACACAGCCGCCGCGTCCGGACGCAGCAGGCCGCGCCCCACCAGCCACAGGATCTGAAACGTACGCACCACGACCATGACACACACACACACACACACACACACACACACAGCCGCCGCGTCCGGACGCAGCAGGCCGCGCCCCACCAGCCACAGGATCTGAAACGTACGCACCACGACCATGACACACACACACACACACACACACACACAGCCGCCGCGTCCGGACGCAGCACACACACACACACACACACAGGCCGCGCCCCACCAGCCACAGGATCTGAAACGTACGCACCACGACCATGACACACACACACACACACACACACACACACAGCCGCCGCGTCCGGACGCAGCAGGCCGCGCCCCACCAGCCACAGGATCTGAAACGTACGCACCACGACCATGACACACACACACACACACACACACACAGCCGCCGCGTCCGGACGCAGCAGGCCGCGCCCCACCAGCCACAGGATCTGAAACGTACGCACCACGACCATGACACACACACACACACACACACACACACACAGCCGCCGCGTCCGGACGCAGCAGGCCGCGCCCCACCAGCCACAGGATCTGAAACGTACGCACCACGACCATGACACACACACACACACACACACACACACAGCCGCCGCGTCCGGACGCAGCAGGCCGCGCCCCACCAGCCACAGGATCTGAAACGTACGCACCACGACCATGACACACACACACACGGCAGCTGTAACACAAACACAGCATCTGTAACGCACGCACACAGTCTGTAACACACACACATACACACACATTTGTGCGTGTAAGAGCGTACATGTAAAGGCAACTAAAGTAGACATAGAGAACGACACGCGCTGCCTCTTTCTCTCTCTCTCTTTATATATCTATATTAATAATTTAAAAGCCACACTCTTGTCGGTGGAGTTCTTGCCAATTTCCATCATCCTTCTTATACGACGCGACTTCAATTTCGTCTTACTTTGTAGTTGCTCAGTATAAGTATGTCGTATGCAATGAGTGAGACGGAAATATGAGTGCGTTCATGCTCGCACCGAAATGATTAATATAACCTGCGTATGTGATGCTACAGCGTGATATATTGATATGCATACCTGGTCTTTATTATTGAGATGCGCGTATGGCAGCTCGCCGGCCATCAGCTCGTAGAGCACGATGCCGTACGCGTACACGTCGGAGCGGAACGTGTAGGGCGCGGGCTCGTCCATCCGGATCACCTCCGGGGCCATCCACAGGATGGAACCCGTCGGCTGCTGCCACACCACGCCGCCCGCAGTTGATGTGTCTGCGGATACACTCATGCTACAACTCTGACGTTCCACTGTATGATTAGTCTTCAGGAATGATAAGATAGGGGTGTAATGTGACAACGTGATGATCTTGCTATTTTATGGGCTATTATTTATGTTAAGGCCTCCCCTGAAAATCAGCGCTGTAGATTTAAATGCTGAGCGGAGTCCTTTTTAGTAAAAATTTTATCGTAGCATATTAGTTACAATTGTTTTATTGTGCTGGTCTGGCTGTGTTTAATTAGGGTTTCTTTAAAGTTTACCTACTATGTTCAATGCACAGATTCAATATTCTTAATGCTACAGGAAAAAGTCTGTTCAACCTCCATCCACCTGGGGATGGCCGAGGTGCTCGCCTTGTGGGAGGCAGCGCCCAATTAAATGTTCTCGTAGGCATGCGCGTGTACCCACACGCTTCCTCAATTGAGTAGGGCGAAATAGGTCGCCCTAACAACGAAATGGGACCTGCCTTACAAAAATCTGTTCAACCTCCATCCCCCACTGAGACCGAGGTGCTCGCTTTGTGGAAGGCATCGCCCAATCAAATGTTTCCGTAGGTATGCACGTGTACCCATACGCTTCCACAATTGAGTAGGACGAAATAGGTCGCCCTAACAACGAAATGAGACCTGCCTTACAAAATTCTGTTCAACCTCCATTCCCCACTGTGGCCGAGATGCTCGCCTTGTGGAAGGCAGCGCCTAATCAAATGTTCCCGTAGGCATGCGCGTGTACCCACACGCTTCCACAATTGAGTAGGACGAAATAGGTCGCCCTAACAACGAAATGAGACCTGCCTTACAAAATTCTGTTCAACCTCCATTCCCCACTGTGGCCGAGATGCTCGCCTTGTGGAAGGCAGCGCCTAATCAAATGTTCCCGTAGGCATGCGCGTGTACCCACACGCTTCCTCAATTGAGTAGGGCGGAATAGGTCGCCCTAACAACGAAATGGGACCTGCCTTACAAAATTCTGTTCAACCTTCATTACCCACTGTGGCCGAGATGCTCGCCTTGTGGGAGGCAGCGCCCAATTAAATGTTCCCGTAGGCATGCGCGTGTACCCACACGCTTCCTCAATTGAGTAGGGCGGAATAGGTCGCCCTAACAACGAAATGGGACCTGCCTTACAAAATTCTGTTCAACCTTCATTACCCACTGTGGCCGAGATGCTCGCCTTGTGGGAGGCAGCGCCCAATTAAATGTTCCCGTAGGCATGCGCGTGTACCCACACGCTTCCTCAATTGAGTAGGGTGAAATAGGTCGCTCTAACAACGAAATGGGACCTGCCTTACAAAATTCTGTTCAACCTCCATTCCCCACTGTGGCCGAGATGCTCGCCTTGTGGAAGGCAGCGCCCAATCAAATGTTCTCGTAGGCATACGCGTGTACCCACACGCTTCCACAATTGAGTAGGGCGAAATAGGTTGCCCTAACAACGAGATGGGACCTGCTTTACATCTATAGGGCGGGCTAACACCGCCGGAGCTGCAGTAGTTATGGTAACTCGTACCCCCGGCAAAGTGTAAGTGATTTTTTTGTAGTTAACAATCAGGTGGGGGTGGTCTTTTGAAGATTTTTCTATACGATAAAAAACAGACAACCTCAGTGGGGACAGCTAGTTGTTCATAAAATGTATGCAAATAAGCAATGCAACTCACCTGACCATCGCACCTTCGCCGTCGCCAGTCCAAAGTCTCCAATTTTGACGGACCAGTCGTCTCTCAGGAAAATATTATTTGACTTTAGATCTCTGCAACATTAAGATAAATACATATAGAAAAATATGTAGCCTAATAGGCACATAAAGACAAAATATGATTTGTTTGATTACAAAAAATTACAGCAAGATGTTATTTAACAGTTTCTCTCAATTATAGCTACTCTCATTACCTCAGATCGGAAAAACTAACTAATAAAAAACCAGTTAACCTGTGTATAATATTCTTGGCGTGTAAGTAGTCCATTCCCTGCGCGGTCTGCCGCGCCACGTCAATCAGGTAGAGCATGGGGAACGGCGTCTCGAGCACGTGCAGGTGTTGGTACAGAGACGAGCCCTCGCACCACTGCGTCACGATCGCCAGCGACGGCTTCGACACGCACCCCATGAACAGCAGAATGTTCGAGTGCCGCGTCTTGCGGAGCACGGCCACCTGTTTCATGTTATTTATTTATTACTAGCTGTACCCGCGACTTCGTCTATGATATAGAACCGTTGATCTAACATCGATCACTTTTTATTGTAATACTAGCTTTTTCCCGCGGCTTCGCTCGCGTTAATTTATCCTCTTAGGGGTTATTAAAATCGTTGCTTAGCGGATGCCTACGTCATAACATCTACCTGAATGCCAAATTTCAGCCCGATCCGTCCAGTGGTTTAGGCTGTGCGTTGATAGATCACTATGTCAGTCAAAAACTGTTTATTTGGGTCTTCCGCCAGTAACTTTAAAAACTGCTAAGATTAATTTGTATTTTTTCATATCAATGTAAAACATGGTACTTTCGACCAAAGAGATAATAGTCATTTTACAATCATAATTAATTATTACAAACAGCACGTACCATGAAAAACGCGTGAATGCGTGAGCTGGCGGCGCGCCCGCAATTTCTCGTTAACTTTCATTACATCTTTGTAAACATACAAGAATAACCATGTAGGTCATTCTTTCCTGCGTGAAAGCCGATACCACAGAACTCGTACGTGAAAAACTATTGTTAACAGTCGATGTTGTGGTGAGACCAATACAAACAACTTTCTTTAGTCGTACAGAGTGATCGTGGCTTTCATGATGGTGTCTCTTCGTTGTCCTCTTTGGCGACAGAGATGCAATCCTTGCAATTTATCTGGTACAGTTTCTGGTTGTACGTGCCTTGTGGCTTGTGTAGCCGTTTTTATAGGGGAGAGAAACTCAAAGCAGTTGGGGGGAGGGGTTTGTTAGTAATGTGGACTCCTGATCCCATTGCTAGCAATGTACCATGTCAGGTCGGTCCACGCGGTTCCCCCTGGAAACCATCGTGATGAATTCCCGGTGAATTTGTCACGTTGGGCTACTTCTCTTTTTAATATACATAGTCTATGAGGAGGATTAGAGGATATGATAAGAGGATTGTTAGTAATGTGGACAGATGACCCCATCGCTGACAATGTACCATTCTCACCCCTGGAAACTATCATGATAAATTCCTGGTGAATTTGTCACTATGGGCTAACTGGTCTGACCTCATCATGCTCATCTTATCATCCTCCACTGGTGCCCCGCCAGCGTAAACCGTTAGCGCAGCGGGTACACCATTCCATTATCATCCACTAATAAAAAAAACCCCGAGCAGTTCCGGGGAGTTCTTTAAAAAAATTAGATATTATAATATTTAGTAGCGACAAACCTCGTTTTTGAATGCCTGCAGCTGTGCGGGCGTGGGCGTTTTGACGTTGAGTGTTTTGACTGCGACGGGCCCGTGCCAGTGCGCCTTGTACACTGTTCCGAAACTGCCCGACCCTGCACCGACAAATATTACCAATTAAAGTCTTGATCGATTCAAATGGGGATTGAAATTACAAATTCAAATTCAAAAATCAGTTATTCATGTAGGACATTTTAGCCGCTTACGACGGCCTGAGCCGAGGTTCGAACCCTTAACGGTGCCCTCAGACTAAAGTCCTTCAGACGTGAGTTGGCCTTCAGCCGCTCCATAAGTCCTTCTATGGGTTTGGAGTGTGATCTGCACTCGCCTCCTATAGTCCGATGAAGCTGTAAAGCTCAGCTGCGGGCAACAGCATTAGAGTAGTCCGAAAGAAAAACCGATTAAGGATATTTTTACAGCTATTACTTTGCTGTACTTAGAGGATTTTAAATTAGTATTTGTTCAAAATCTACCCTGTATCATCGTAAGCACAGATTATTATATTAGAGTCCGTTAGTTTCTGTTCCCGCGCTTTTACTTCCCCTCCCTTACCCAGTACTGAACTGACCGTACAGCGGCCTTGACGCGCGCGCGCATTGTGTTGTGAATTAAAATAAATTAGAATTGTGTTAAACCTACTGTGAAACTGGAAAGCTAGCGAAGATATCTTCGAGACCCTGAAGCCCAAGAAATCCGCAGAACCATACAGGTACGTGACAGACGTTTCCACACATATTTTTCCCTATATATATATATATATAGTACTTTCCCTAAAATTTTGGTAGCAGAGAATATTTTCCCTAACAGTATTCTAATGGGAAGCCGCTGAGATGGGGCTTGTTATAAAGTGGGTGCCATTTGATCCCGTGATTCTGACATATGGCGTTGGATGAGAGACATCTTGGAGTTTTTCGTGAGTAGGTGTCACACATTAACTGTTTGCCTGCCACGCAGACGACATTGTAAAATGTCGCTTGCATGGATCATACCACCAGGTACCCAATCGTACCTATTTCAGGTAATCGCAGGAGCCAGAAATAGAAATAATCTTTATTTAAATAAAGTTAATGTAAGCACTTTTGAATAGACATATTTTTCATTCCACCACGCAATCAGAATACAAGAAGAATGAGCAAGAAAAGTGTTGAACTTTTAAATAAATGTAGTTTAGAATTACATTTTTAATCATTTACTTGAACATCACCTGAAAACGCACTGTACAAACCCACTTAGAAATAATATTTATTCAAATAAATTTAATTTAATATTTTTTTTATATATATATTTTGTTCTATCAATAAATCAGAACATAGACTCATCAACGAGGAAGAATCTTAGGTTTCGTTATATAGAGATGAATTATCTGTGAGTGTACTACATTAAGCGATACGTTACCTATCCTGGCGCCGATGAGTATCTCGTCGGCGTGTATGACCCAGTCGTCGTAGCTCTCGCGCGGCGACAGCGCGTTCTTCCAGGACTCGTCTGCGGAGCGCGCGCGGGGGCGGCGCGGCCGCAGCGTGCCGGTGGGGGAGGCCTGCGTGCTCTGGCTGTGCGCCGCGCCCCCCGCACCCCCCGCCCCCGCCGCGCCCTCCGCGCCCCCGGCGACGCCCGCGCCCCCCGCCCCCGCCCCCGCGCCCGCCGCACTCGCCGCCGCCGCCGCCGCGCTCTGTGACGACAGGTAGTTGGACGACTGCGGCGAGCTGGTGCACTAGCGATGCGGAGAAGCGATCGAATATAAACAATAGTTTAACTCAATTTTCATATTCTGTGAAATAAATTGTTTTTATAGTCGTTTCGACAGGTTTTTAGGGCGAGAATTGTTACTAAGAGAGGGCTCACATTAGCAGGTCGGTCTACAACCTGAAAACCTGACCTGAATTCTTGGTTGAGTTTACCACGATGGGCTGACGTCTGGTATACTCTTTTTATCTTTTGCTATCACCCTGCCTACATATACCAGTAGCACACCATTCTACGCTCATCCATATAACTAAATCCTAAATATCTTATTACGCTAATTCACATCAACAAAATATCAAATTCCTGTAATAACAGCGATCATACCTGACTCTGGTTGTACTTCCGTTGGTGTTCGGCGAGCGTCATGGGCCGCTGCACCATGTTGATACACACGTTCGGCGCCGAGTTGGACCGGTCCTGCTGGTTCAGTGAACGAGGGTGCTGTTGCCTAGTAGGGTATTGAGGTACAATTATAAAATTTTAAACCAAAAGCGAACAATGTTTTGTTAAATATTATTAATGTTTACATAGTATGAAATGAAATTACTTTCTCCGTCTATTCGCTTACATCTAGCTGCATATTTTAAAACTACAATTACGCCTGCGTTAAAATCCGTTGCGTAGTTTTAAACTAGCGATAATTTAGCAATAGATAGAGTGATTCAAGAGAAAGGTTTATATGTATAATACACTAGCTGACCCGCACAACTTCGTCTGCATTTCATTTCCCCACCTTTTGCAATATTTTTCATTGCAGCTCTGCTCCTATTGGTCGTGGCGTAATGTTATATAGCTTGAAAGCCTTCCTCGACAACAGGACTATCCAACCCAAAAAGAATTTTTATCTCTTATATTTTAATCTCTTCAGCTTTATAGTATATAAGTATAAGTATAGATATACACCAGTCCGAAGCAGTGATGGTGGTTAGAACACCACTTAATTTTCGATGTTCGCAGGTTCGATTCCGCGTACGTTGCCAACATTCAAGAGCAATTTTGGTAAGTCTAATTTAACTAATTTAAAGCCGAAATTAATGTATTCCCTGAATGATTGCTCTTATGCATGATATTAAGAAGGTTCCCTCTTTATATTTGATGTCTCGTTCTCATACATGGGTGGAATGACATGAACAAAAACGGTAAGTGTTAATAACACAAGTCAATGTGCCTTATTAGGATATTGCCAGTTATTGCGTTTGATCAAAGCCAGTCCAGAAGCAACCGTCAGTAATATTCACCAGTGAACATCATAGTACTTGATCTTTGCTGGCGACAGACCCCTGCTGGCGCGACGGGGTCATGTCATTTGATTAGTTCAGATTTATTGTTTTATATCATTACATAGTATAAAACAAAGTCGCTGTCGCTGTCTGTCCCTATGTATGCTTAAATATTTAAAACTACGCAACGGATTTTGAAGCGTCTTTCTTTTAACAGATAGAGTGATTCTAGGAGAAGGTTTATTATATATAATACATGTACATTAGTGTGAAGCCGGGGTGGATAGCTAGTGTTCTTTATAACAATGACTAAGTGACACCTATCTTTATAAATTCAAAGGTTTTTTTTAATTAAGAATAATAATTTATTAGGACTGTTACAATTACATTTCATAAAATAAAACAATCATTATCCAAAGCGGCACAACGAGGTTGCGTGCCCAAGATACGTTCCCTTTTTGAATCTTTATTGCCTTATTTTTTTTTTAATTACATTAATTATTGACCCCTGTCTTTAGACATTCTGATATTTCATTTGATTTAGGATAATGCTTTATCAACACTGTTAAGGAACTTCAATAAAATCATTATTTGCCAAGCAGTTTTGAGTGAAAATATATTTTAAAATATAATTATGTAATGAATAGTATAGTATATAAAGTACTACGGAAGACATACAACAGTGAATCATAATTATATAGTTTGTTGTGAAGTGAAGTTTGTGAGTTTCTTCAGTTCTTCTCAATTGGATTTATATACTGAACTGGACGATAGGGAAAAACGTTCATAAGCGGCTAAAATGTCCTACGTGAATAAATGGTTTTTGAATTTGAATTACTAACTTGCTCTGCTCATTCCTGTTCATCATGTGGTGATAGCCAAAGTGCGGGGGGAAGTGCAGGATCCCAGCTAAAATGTCCTACGTGAATAAATGATTTTTGAATTTGAATTACTAACTTGTTCTGCTCATTCCTGTTCATCATGTGGTGATAGCCAAAGTGCGGGGGGAAGTGCAGGATCCCAGCTAAAACGTCCTACGTAAATAAATGGTTTTTGAATTTGAATGACTAACTTGTTCTGCTCATTCCTGTTCATCATGTGGTGATAGCCAAAGTGCGGGGGGAAGTGCAGGATCCCAGCTAAAATGTCCTACGTGAATAAATGGTTTTTGAATTTGAATGACTAACTTGTTCTGCTCATTCCTGTTCATCATGTGGTGATAGCCAAAGTGCAGGATCCCAGCTAAAATGTCCTACGTGAATAAATGGTTTTTGAATTTGAATGACTAACTTGTTCTGCTCATTCCTGTTCATCATGTGGTGATAGCCAAAGTGCGGGGGGAAGTGTAGAATCCCAGCCTGCGTCTCTGGGTTCTGAGCGAGCAGCGCTGCGTAGTACGTATCCGTCATTCGCACCTATAAAAATTACAAGACTTTTGTAAGCCATAGACGATTTATGAGGAAAAGAGAAGACAATGGCTGCTACCAATTGTGATTTCACACCAAATTTGATTGACTTTCCGATTGTAAAGTATATGATTTGAACAATTGACTTCTTATCTGATTGGACACATTATAACAATACTCCTGGACAATTCACACATGACATCTAGTCTCAAGGTAAGCAGTCTATGTTATGGGTACTAGAGAACTGATGAAACACTTGATACATTAGTTTTTGTAAATAAATCTAATATATAAAATTCTCGTGCCACAGGTTTCGTTTTTATACTCCTCCGAAATTATATGTATATTCAGTATATCTGAGGATAGGTTTATAAGTTATTTTTATACCAATACGTATAAAGGGTAGCACGCCAAAAAAATTTTTTTTATTTTTTCTATAAGTTTTTTTTTTATTATGTGGCATTAAAAATACATACATCCTTTAATTTACACGCTTCTACTACCAACCCCTATTTTTTAATAGCCATATTTATTTATATAGCAAAACAACATTTGCGGGGACAGCAAGTACATAATATACATAGAAAACATCCAGACAGATATAAACAATCATACTCCGAAACACAAATGTTTGCATCGCGCGACAAATTAAAGCCGTAAATTGGAAGTAAAGGCGTATGCTAAACAGCTAGCACTGAGGCCGTCAAGAACTACGGCTTCACTGTTCTTGGGGGCCGTTCAAGTATTATTACAATTATTTACACCCCCCCCCCATCCCCCTTGTCAGCAACAAAGAAACATTTTTCAATTAATGTATTGTTTTTTTAGCAAAGACAATGTGAGGGTTGCCATTCGTGTAAAGAAGTAAATAACTACCGATGAAGTAAGCATCATCTAGACTCTAGGAGTCTAGATTCTAGACCCCCCCCCTCCCCTAGCGATTATAGATATAGATAGATTCTAGACCCCCCGGCCCCTTGTATGGGGAATTCTGCTTGTTATATTTTTACAGTTGTTACCTGATGACAAATGCTAGGCACTTTATCCGCACACCGCTGGTGGAACTTGAAGTTGCACTGCGAGCAGTAGAAGCCATTGAACAGCAGCCGTCTGCAGCACTCGCAGAAGGCGAGCGTGAAGAACGTCTTTCTTGTGTACTGGTGCGATATGTGTGACATTATTGGCAGCTTGTCCAATGTTCGTACTGTTACCTGCAATTATTTATTATACCATTTATTACAGGACGGGTTATAAATGTCGAAACTTGACAGATGAAATGGCGCTGGGTTGGGCACACGTTAAGTGGAAAGGATAAATGACACAAGATCATAACTACTTGGTATCCAAGATAAGGACAAGGGAAAAGAGAATGACCAAATATAAGATGGGAAGATTGTATAATTAAAACAGCAGGGAAACTATGGACCAGAATCACTTGAGATAGAACAGGATAGAAAAGAGCATCCTCTTCCTTCCTCAAAAGAGAATGCCTTTGCTTGGAAGTAAGCAGATGACCAAGAAATATTAAATATAGTATAAACAGAAAAAATAATACTCTGAAATAAAGGCTATAACAATAATTATTATTATTATTATTACAATATATTATTTGCCATGTAGAACTAACCGATGAGAAGATATGAATACTGCAATAAGTCCATAATGTTGTTGCGATGACCATGTTGACAATGGTGTCATTGAAAACTGTACATATTATTACAACTTTGGTACATTTGGTGATGTGTTCTTAATTATGACTACATTGTAAATAATATGGATATATAAATAGATAGCCAAAATCTTTATTGCCAACAATGACAAATTACCAAGAATACACAAAATATGAAAAAAGAAACAAAGTTGGCAATAAGATCTACTTCAGCTGGTACTGATGCACAACCTCAATTAGTTACAATTAGTAAGGATGTTTCAAATATATAATAGTAATTTTACCATGACGAAAACTATTTGCAAATACCTATAGGAAGGTTTTTTTTTTATAGAGGGTGATAATGGAATGGTGCCCGTGCTAACGGTTTACGCTGGCGGGGCACCAGTGGAGGATGATTAAGCTATAAGATTATAGATGAGGTGGAAAGATGATATACTTTGTGGTGGGGTTCAAATGGACCACATTAGCCCAAAATAGAATAAAGTGGTGAAGATCGAAAGAGAACTACACCAAAAAAAGGATTAAGAAGAAGATTTGTACCATGAAATTTTGATGAATGATCACAGTTTCTTAAACATCAATTCTTAATACAGTTACACTACTATTATTATATCATTTCTTTATACAAATTAACAAATTTCAATGTATTTTTTTAAACTGATTAAAGAGTTATGCCAAAGTCCCCAAATAATTTAGCCAGTAGTTTGTATAGTGGTCTAAAGTGAAATTATTGGTTTTGGGATATGACTCATAATTAGTAGGATCGTTTGTGCCGGTTCTGGTGGCCTTTCCATTCCTGATGATATATAGCATTCTAAAATTTTGGGTTCTCCAGAGACCCAACACCGATCACTCCTATGGTGCAACCTAAGCGCTGTGCTCAACTCACACCATCCAAAATAGCCTACCTACTTTGCATTGTAGCTGGGACCGATCTGCAAAATGATGGCTCCCAAGTTTTGGAACACTATATCTTGGGAAGACAAAAGTTAAACCCCCAAAACTGGTAGTTAGAAAAATGATTCTAATAATTATGAATTTTAGTCCAAAAGAAATAATTTCCCTGCATGGTCTGCAGTCCAGTCCAGTGTCTTTTAAATGTTTTATATTAATTTATTATTTAATATTTTTTTATAGTTAACTGTAGACCTCAAATCTATCATTAACTTTATTATTACCATATACACATACAAATTTTGTTAGACATTTATTACCATGTTACAAATTTTCCATTAATTTATTAACAAACAGTGATATCAAAATATAAACATTACTAAATCCCATTCTCTATATCTATTCTAATTTTCCACCATTGTATGCATTGTTCTGTTCAGTTACTAACACTGATTAGACTATTTGCTTTTGCAATAGCATATGCTGGTGGTCATTCTATTCTCCCAAATTTAAATTTAAACATGCATCTGTATTGTAAACATGTCCTTTTATTTTATTTTAGTCAGTTCTTCTCATCTCGGAATAATTCCCAACTGATGGTAGATTTAACATATAATAAGAGTCTGTAATAGACCTACATGAAAAAAGATATTTTGAATTTGCATGTGTATAAATATGTTTTAGATAAAATACATCATCTATAACATATAAATATCCAGATTCTTGATGAAAAAACATAATATGGGTTGGCTTTACATAGTTTAGTTCTCCATTTTCTGAATCAGGAACTCCTTTTATCAAGATTTTATTATTACCTAAACTGAGTTTGAGATTTTTTCTCTGAAGATTTTATCAAGCTGAATTTGTGTGTTTGTGGATGCCACATTGGATGCTGTTCTTAACCATTAATGTGGAAATCTATGTGTATAACTACACATAGATTTATCTTAATTAAATTTGATGTGAAAATAAATTATATTCAATAGAATATACTTTAATTCAGCATACAGTTAGGAAAAGATATAGTCAATATATTTACACCTAGTGTTTAAGGGTCCTTTGGCTATAGTAGTCAATTATCATCGGAAAGGAACTTATTTATGTTTGTTTGCCAATGACCTAGTATTGAAAATAAATAAAGAAAATAGATATAAATACAGTAATTAGAATGCACTTAAATTACCTTTTATCCAATGATATTGCTGATAAAATACAGAAGTCATATAGAAAGAATATTTATTCAAATATCTATATATATAAAAATTAATTGCTGTTCGTTAGTCTGACTAAACCTCGAGAACAGCTGAACCGATTTGGCTAATTTTAGTCTTGAAATATTCATGAAGATGATAAAATATGAAGAAATTGCATGTAAACTAGTAAAAACAACAATTTTATTTTTTCATACAAACTGCTGATACCTTTCAAACAGGGTGTTCTGAAGTTTATTGACATATTTAATTTTGAGGCGAACAGAGTTCGCAGGACCAGCTAATATTTAATATGAAAAATTTTTAATACTCTATTTTTTACTTATTCTACAATTCATTCAGAAAGCATACTCAAAACAAGAAAATACAAGAAACTAGTGTAGATTGTTGTATAATTGAATGAATAAAAAATAAAAAATGCCTTGAATTATTATTATAAATATTAATTGCAAAGTTGATACCCATTATTCAAATGATTATATTACTACATATTTCAGTAATTGTTATTGTATTGTATATCATAGAATGTTCATATGTATAGGAGCAGATTAAAATTGTAAAGGAAAATTAAAACCGACAAAATACATAGTGATAACAATACTAATAACAACTATTAAAACAAATTGTTTATGGTATAGGTATACTATAATACTTAGATATAATAATACACAAGAAATTCTTCCCAAATGTGTAACTGTAAATTGTAAACATAAACAAAAAATATTTGGAACTAACCTCCTCTGCATCAATCATTGTAATATCCATTTCCCATGGTATCACTTGGTTATTGCCTGTCCTCACCACTTCACACATTTCACACGTCAGGTTGCGGAGTTTCAGCGCCTTGGAGAGCGCTTCCCGCAACGTCACACCCTCCTTGACCTGCACACTGGTGCGCTGCTGGTTCGGCAGGTGCGCTCTGAGGAACACCTTCGGTTGACGTGTAAGCGTATCGTATTTTTTAGAATCATCCTGCAATGAACACTCTTCACTTCTGTCCGGCGATTCAGACTGCAATAACTCACGCAGAGTCCGCTCCCTAAGCTCTAAATTATGTAACTTCGAAGTTAATTCCTGATATTCCGAAAGATAAAGCGACGGAGGATGTTGGAAACCAGCGAATTTTGCATTCAAAGCATCAATGTTTTCACGAGTCACGTTAATAATACTTTGAATGTTCCTAATTTCATATGTAGGATCCGCTACATCATCACTATCAGTGGATGTCGACATATTATCACTATTGAGAGATAACGCAGGAATATTTCCATTAATTTTTCTTGAACAATTTTCTTTCTCTCTAGTAACTGCCATTTCTTTTCCTACTTAATTTTTTATTTTTCTTTTCTCCAATCTCCTCGCGCAGACAGTAATTATTGCCATAGCTGAAATAAATAAATGAAGGAAATCATCCAAACACATTAAAAAATAGAATGTCTGCCTGTCACAAGACTGACAGTTAATATTATCTGTGTAAAGTTCCAGGTGGCGTAGACCGAGAAACATGAAAGACTAAATTATGAATCCGTTCAACACAAGTAGAGAAGGTACAGAAATTAGTGTCCTTAAAAGACTACTTTGGTAAAAAACAAAAAATCGAATATCATCTCATTCAATCTATATAATATCTATACAGTTTGTGATCTATTGTTGAGAATCGAATCATTGAATCAATTTAGATTATATCAGAGTAAAGTAAGCAAACCAGAGAAAGATTAAATCTTTCTCTCTTGTTCAGATTAGAGATGTGTATTTTCAAATTTTATGTTGTTGGACGCAGCTGGCCTTGACAGCTTCATGAACCATGGGGGCTAGTAGAAATGGCACTCCCAAACCCGCGAAAGGACTTATGGAGCGCATACATGGCCGCAGGTCAACTCCTATTTGAGTGCTTTTTTTTAAATATTTTTCAATAACGAGCTGGTATTTCTTACATATTTAAAATTAATCGAACTATTACTACATTTACGCGACCACTCACTGGCGATTCGAAAATGTCCAAAACAAGGGATTTCGTCTTAAACCCGGTATTTAAAGTGAAAATAGTATGTATGATCGGAAAACGTCATCGTAGGTTTAATTCGATGGATGCAATGGCGGGATTATCTGTTAAGGCATAAATCCAACGACGAATTACGTTTTCACTCTTTGATTCGTTCATTTACTGGTTGAATAGGCATGACGAAAGATTTTCTACTTACCAAAAAACTTTTATTACGGTAATAAGCTCAAGTTCATCGAAGTTTAAAGCCATTTTTCTATTTTTTTTAAATACCGCGCGAATATATCTTGCACTGTCATGGCGTCAGCTGTGACGTCATGCTTAGGTAAACATCAAACTATGTACGCTGTGCATCAAACGTTATAGGTACAGCTAGAGAAACAGTGAACGTATTTCGTGTGATAAAAATGAATTCCAAAGTGTATAAGTGGTGTGCAGTACCTCAGTGTAAAAACACATCAATAAAAACACCCGACAAGGTGTTTGTACATGTGCCAAATAAGAAAATAATAAGAGATAAATGGTTGAAGCTCGCACGGCGTAACCCGAACGACGTAGTCACTAATTCACCACTTTATTTCTGTGAAGACCACTTTGATGTGAGTATGTTAACATGAATTTCTGGGTTATGAACTTAAACGTGAAACAGTTGAATTATTGAGGCTATAAAATAACCTACCTATTATTCATTGAAGTTATGTTTGTTCTTGGTTATCATTCTTATTATCAATTTTAATTGTTTATATTTATTTTTCAGTTGCCAAATGATATGGAAAATTATATGGAGTATCATGTAATGGGGTCCGTATCACAAGTTCGCACGAAACCAGGATGTATGCCCAAAAAATTTATTTGCCAATTAGCCAGAAGACAAACATCTGACTCAACAGATCAACCCTATATAGCTAAAAAACGAAAAGTTATGATTCTTGAAGAATGTGAAAGGCAATTTAAAGAGAAAAGTATAGTTTCATTTAAAAAATTTTTAATAAGTGCAACTGTTAAATTAACTTTTAGATTCTATTGTTGAGTCAATTGGAGATAAATTACACTTAAACTAATAAAAAATCAATCCAAATGCGTAATCAGTAGAACCACACAAGTCACAACAGTGCAGTTTGTTTGTTTACCTAAGCGTGACGTCATGCGCTGTGATTGGTGTTTCAGATAAAATGGCTGATTGCAATATTTTAATCTTTGATTTTATTGAGACTCTTATTAATCTAAATTTTTTTAAGACCTCATTATATGATTATTCCCCTAAACTCGTTAAATCTTTGATTATTTCATACTATCGTCAAGCCAATTCCCAACTCGAGTTGAGAGAATTCAATTTGAGTTAACTCGAATTCGGCACAACTCGAGTTAACTCGTGTTGAACACTTCTAGTTCTGAATGTTCAGATTAGAAAGCCATCTGTGGTGTCAACTCAATACTCTGTTTTTTTTTATATTCCTCATAAAACTGATATAAACAAATAAATATTTGAGAATGATAATTTTAATATAGAAATAGAAAATGAGAGGTAAACATTTGTTAATTTTCTGTTCATTCCCCATATTCATATAAAACTAACCGATTTTATGTCTATTTAAAAATATATAAACAAAAATTTTATAATGTTATACCTAATCAAAAAAATATTAATAAAACTACTACGTGCCAACTGACTATATTCAAATATTCAGGTGTAAATATCTAAATTATTTTAATATGATCGGTCCTACATAGAACGAGTTACTTGAAGGATTTATAGAAGGACGGGCGTACATGAAAATTATGTTCATGCACGGGATTTTCGTTTAATATTAGACATAGACACATATAAATATACATTGTATATAAACTGGCATTTAAAAAGAAAAAATAAGTAATTCATTTGAGTTCCTTGCCAGTTCTTCTCAATTGGATCTATATACTGAACAGAACGGTAGGGAAAAAATTATAATATAAACAAATTGATGTTCATAAGCGGCTAAAATTTTGAAAAAATGGTTTTTGAATTTGAATTTCGCATTTCAATATATAACACAGATATAAACTTATTTACCGATTCACAAAACTTGTTCACCAGATACAATGGGATCCTCACGTCATGTCTCGTTGGAGCAAATGAACGCATTGATCGACTTTATGGGGCAGCATGTAGGATTTGCAACGGGGAGTTTTAGATCGTTCGAAGCGCGGCACATATCGAAACGTCTTTGGGAGGAGCTCACCAATACCCTCAACGGTTGTCGCGGCGGCACAAAGAAGAACTCTGATGGTTGGAGTAAGGTAAGGAATTACACATTAAGTAAATTTACAAATATATATTTTTTGTGAACTAGGTTACTAGGTAGAGTAGGTAGGTACTATTTTATCAGGTTGACCTCTATGCAAACACCTCTGGAAACCAAATGGTTCTTTCAATGATGATAATGGAATGGTTCACCCACCTGTGATAATGGTTTATTCACACAAACCTCCAGTGGAGGATCATAGGATGAGCATGAGGGTAGGTCAGTTAGCCCATCGTGATAAATTCACCAGGAATTTATGATGGCGGTGTGGAGTGGATGGATGGGGAAGATGGAATATCACACATAGTGAAAGCCATTGGGAAAGGCAAATTCAACACTTAATAAACATATGCTTAAATAATAATGATATCTATACATATAAATAAAATTGCAATGTCTGTTTGTAATATTGAAATAACCGTTTTTTACTACATGCATATGAATATAAATACGGTATATACACCAAAATAACATTTTTAACAAATTTTGTCTGTCTGTCTGTTTGTTCCGGCTAATCTCTACAATGGCTGGACCAATTTTGATGGGACTTTTTTTGGCAGGTAACTGTTGTAATACATAGTAACTTAGACTACTGTTAGTTTCAGTTTTTAGTTTGCTCTGGGTAATCTATGAAATGGCCAGACAGATTTTGACGGGACTTTTATTGGCAGGTGCTGTGATAAGGAGTAATGTGGGATACTTAGAAAAATTATTTTATTTTAGATGATGAAAGACAGCTAGCCAACAAAATAATCAACCCATTGAACTATTCTTAAATCCATATAAAATTTACTAATTGAAATGATTAAACTTATTTTCAGTACTGGAGTGATTTTAAAAATAAATTAAAGAATAAACTGAGAATGCTAAAGAGGAAGGGTTCAGCGTCAACTAAGAGTGTTAGGCCATTAACAAAACTGGAGAAGAGGGCTCTTGTGATATTGGGACCACATTTTGAGAGGAAGATATCTGGAACAGATGCAGACAGTGATGTTAGATATCCTATTTCACTATTATTTATCAAATTAGATAACAAACACTAATCAATTTACAGCAATAGTTAAATAATATATTTTAATAAAAAAAAAATACTATAATAGTGGTAAACAAGCATATGACCAATCTAATGGTAAATGGTTGCAATACCCTATGAATGCCTAAAACACCAGGGGTGTCACATGCACATTGCCGACACTTAAGAAACCTTAAAATACCTTTCATGAAAATCCCCATGCCGTAGTCTCTTGAGCAAACCTCGGCAGGTAGTTCATTCAACAAACTTAAGTGTGTTTGGGAGGAAGCTTCTCTGAAACAGCACTGTCCGAGACCACTTAGGCTAGAGTGTGTGAGGATTCATTATATATGAACTAGTTATACCTTAAGGCTTTGTCCATGCGAATTATGATAAAATATGTTTAATGTGTCAATTTAGGATTGTCTCTATACTCTCCTGTATGTAGAAAACATACTAACTGTACTTAAAATCTTTATAGCCATTAGACATCTTAAGAAACTTAATATATAATGTAGAATTCAATTATGTCTTTTTAAATCAAAACAGATTAAGATATATTTATTCCTGTGGGTCTATTACAGACTGTTATCTTATGATATGTGAAGTCTACTTGACTCATTAATCTGTATTAGTTAATAACATCTGACAATTCTTTTGTGGACTCCTGCGATACAAGTACGCCTAGTGCGGGGTCCAATGTATAAACAAATATAAACAAAAATTGTAAAGTTAAAAAGTAAGTAAATCAAATAAGAATTATAAGATGGCCTCAGTGGTGTAGCGGTTTAGCACACCGAATTACTTTCGATTCGGTCGCGGATTCGATTCCTCGCACAATCATTTATTATTTATGATTGTTTGTAGCAATCTAGGTGTTTTCTATGTATAATATATATCTATTTACGAAAGAATATATATCTATGTATTTGTATCAGTTATTTAGGATCTATAGCACAAGCTAGCTAGCTTAACTTAGGTATTTATGGCGCTGCGTGAATTGTCCTGCGATTAAGTTTTGTCCTAAGATAAGTAAATTTTTTAGAACTGTAGTAGTGTAGTAAAATTATATTTTTTTACCTTCATTACTGTTATTAAAATTAAAAAAGGTTTTAATTTAATCTATAGGAGATTGATCTATTAATCTGTAGGATAAAAATGCAATGTATGTGATGTTCCAGAATATTCTTCTCAGTGAAGTGGAGGTGAAGCTGGAGGCATATCAAGAAAATGTATCCAATGACTTCAATAAAACAATGAGCGATGCCAGTGATAGGTTGTCAGGTACAGTAAAACGGTATTTTAAATAGCTATATAGTTTATTAAATAGATATAAATGGAATGGTTTGCCTATTACCTGTTAATTTGGTTGCCTGTCCAGTTAACAAATTAATTTATATATTAATACTAGCTGTCCCGGCAAACTTTATTTTGCCTTAACATAAAAAAAAAATTAAGGGCTGGACTACATCTAGCCGATTCTCAGACCTACTCAATACACTCACAAAATTTCATGAGAATCGGTCAAGCCGTTTTGGAGGAGTATGGGAATGAAAACTGACACGAGAATTTTATATATAAGACTAGTAGACCCGGCCTCGCGTTCCTGTGGCTAAGGTTAAATCATATTGCAACTATAAATTGGTATGTAAGCTATCCTGTCTTTCAAGTAGGATCAAATTGCACACAATGAGCAAATTAAATTTCCAATCGTTTCAGTAGTTTAGGATTCCATCGCGGACAAACAACGTGACACGTAATTTTTATATATCACTATATAATATAAAACAACGTCGCTGTCTGTCCCTATGTATGCTTAAATCTTAGGAACTACGCAACAGAGTTTAAAGCGGTTTTTTAATAGATAGAGTGATTCTAGAGGAAGGTTTATATATATATAATACATGCACACCCGGGCCAAGACGGGGCGAGTAGCTAGTAAAGATTATAAGGAAAGAGTTTGCATGTTTGTTTGGGGTAAGATTTGGTTCTACTGAACCAATTTAAAAAAAAAATTAACTTTATAAAGGTATATTATCCCTGAGTGCTATAGGCTATATAACATCACGCTAACCAATACGAGTGGAAAGGCAATAATAAAAATTTCTAAAATATATCAGTTGTCTAGTACCCATAACACAAGCTCTTGTGACTAGATGGCGTTGCGTGAATTATACAAGGTTGTTATTATTGTTGTTACAGGAGCCGAGAGGGAGATTGATGAAAGTGTGGAATCTAGTGATGACGAGCAAGTTGAGTTATCAGAAAATAACTACAGTGAATCATTAGCGCATAGTAAGTATATTTATTTAAACCAAACACTAATATTTAAATATATATAACTCAATGGTGACTGACACAGTGATCTATCAACGCATAGCCCAAACCACTGGACGGATCGGGCTGAAATTTGGCATGCAGGTAGATGTTATGACGTAGGCATCCGCTAAGAAAGGATTTTTATTAATTCTACCCCCAAGGGCATAAAATAAGTAAGAAATAGGGGTGAAAATTTGTATGAAACTTTGTCAATTTTGAACCGATCGGGCTGAGACTTTGTATTCATAAAGTTACTGTGACGTAGGCATCCTCTTAGAAAGGATTTTGATAAAATCCACCCCTAAGGGGATAAATTAGCGCGAGCGAAGCCGCGGGCAAAAGCTAGTTATTAAAATAGAGGGATTCATTTTAAATTCCATTATGTTTACCTTAAAAATAATTATTAAACATAGATGTAATATCTATATATCTTATAGATATTACATCTATGTTTAATAATTTTTATTTATTAATATAGATCTATATATTTATTAGGTCTACAAACTTGGGTCATTTCAAATGTTTGTGCCTACTCTTGTAATATTTCTGTCAACATTTGAGACCTTTTCAGACAGGTACTACTGTCTAGATAACATAGATTAAGTTCAATGTAAAGTCAGTCTACGTCCCGACTCTGCCCCGAATGTACGCGTTAACAATCTGTGTAATACACTATCAAATAAACTTACTAATGTACAATAATTTAATAAACAAATAAATTATGTAGCGACACCACATCACGTCAAACATAACGTCATAGGGGTAGGTGAAAACACCATATTTAGTACCACAAATGGTCTTTAATCGTTAACAAACATAGCTAGGAGCTAGCTAGCGGCGGAACTAAGTTTCAGATGATAGTGAAATTTTAAAATTCACCTCTTGTTCTACTGAGTTTTGAGATAACAAACACAAAAGATACCTGAAAAAATCATTTTTTCCGAAGTCAATAAAAAATGTAGTAAAATTTGTATTTTCAGATTTGTACCCCAAATGGTTAATAGAGATAGAAAAAAAGCGCGCCAACGCCGAACTGTTGCGAGCGAAAGCCGAGGAGCAGAGAGCGTGTGTGGCAGCGAAGACGGCAGACGCAGCCCTAGTGCAGGCAGAGGCTTTGAAGAAACTAGCTGATGCTACGTCAACGCAAGCCGACGCCCTAATGAGAATAGCTATGGTATTAGAAAATAGAACACAAGGAGACATGCTGTCAATATAGTCTAGACATGTATAGCTCGGTCTAGAATACTCGGCTGATTGTCTATGGTTAACCTAAAAGGTAAAAGCGTATAGCTAGTTCAAGGTATAATCATTCTCCTGTTTGGACTAACGGTATATGCTAGGGCACTAGTGAAAGATATGTTGATGATGTCAGCCAGGTGTCTGACTATATACAAGTGCCCAAATTAGAGGCTAAATGCAGAAACTATGTTGTTGATGGCCAAAACCAACCTACAAAGCAAGGGTGAAAGATAAATGCCGTATTTGTGACGGGAAACTTGTCCAATCTGAACAAATTATAATACTCAGGACATATATATATACTCAGGACAATTCACACAACGCCATCTAGTTCCAAGCTAAACAGAACTTATGTTATGGGTACTAGAAAACTGATATAAATACATGAATGCATTTTTTTTTAATAAATACATATAATACATACAAAACACCCACACACAAACAATCATACTCATCAATACAAATGTTTGTACCATGCGAGGAATCAAACCCAAGACCATCGGATAGTAAAGTGAAATGCTAAACCACTAGACCACCGAGGTTGCCACTGTTATATAAAATATAAAACACTATGTAAATAAATGATTATATATTGTGAAATTATCAAAGAATAAAACTTTTATATTTTTTTACGTATATTTTTAATTTATACACATTCTTCTCAATCTTTTGCTCCTTATTTCTAATTACAATTAATATATACATAAACGCGAACATAATATCAGACTGGATCCATTGTAGAGTCTCGTACTGAACTTACACCATATCATAGTCATCCCTCTGAAAAAGACAATTTTATTTAATATATTGGTAAAAGTTTTTTCAAGATTCTTTAATTTTATAACTTTTAAAATATACTCCTTAATATAACAAATTGCAAAATGACAAACGTTGAATGGCAATTTTATACCTTCAGTTAAATTTTTTATGTATTAGAAGGGATCCCAAATTTTATCTACTAGTAAATAGAGCCTGGCAATTAGAAAGACTAGCATTCTAATGGTGAAAAACTGTAATCGGTTGAGTATTTTTTTAGTGTGTTTTTTGCAAATGAAAATATAAATCTTTCCTCTTTATAATGTATTCTTTATTTCTTTATTATTGTATATTATTCCTGTATATAGATGTGTGTACACAATCGGAATAAGTGGTGTGATGACAGGAGCGGTGGTGAGAGTAAACACATACAGTAGGGTAACTTGTATATTAACTGTTACATCTTGAATTACTCTAGCTTACACTAATTGCATAAACTATATATATGGCGTGACCTACATGTCGTTATATAAAATATACACTGGCACACTGTCTACTATCGAACGTGCTGATTTGCATCACTATATTATTATCACAGTGGTAAAAATAAATATAAGAATTTATATCAATTTTATTTAAATAAAGATTATTTCTATTTCTAAGAATTAAGTTTTCATAGCTATAATAAGTCCTATATAAATATAACTGGAGCAAATTTATTGCAATTATACTGACCATTTCATTATACTCCATGACATGTCGCTTGATAGCAGAACTGTCTACCCATGTGACAAAGTCCTCAAGTGACCGTGTGACGAGGAAGGCTGGATCTTTCACCACCTCCGGACCAATTCTCACATGGCCCTGCTCTATAAATTTTGTGGCCTCTTTCAAATTCTCTGACATTTTATCTGAAATATTTGTGAATATAAATATGCAAATTATTTAATATATAAATAGAAAATAAACCTAATTAAAATTATAAGTAACTGTGTGTAAGGTACACACACACAAATTTAAACAGCATAAGAATTATAAAAATAGAAATTTAGTATATCTTAATAATATTATAAACACAAAAGTTTGTGAGTATGGTGCGTGTTTGTTATTCTTTCATGCAAAAAATAATGGAATAGATTTTGATGAAACTTTACAGTAATATAATTATTACTGTAAAGTTTCAACCTATAGATCTGAATAACACATAACATGTGGGTATAACGCATAATCATTTGAGATGAAAAAAGGTAACAGATACACAAGCTACCAATTACATTTCAAAACATAGACAAATTATTACTCCTACTATCACAGAGTCACTGCTAAAATTTTGTGTCACAAATTTGACACAAATTTGAGGAAGGAGATTGAAAAGAGATTGAGGAAGAAAAAAGACAAACTGGTCACTGCTGATAGTGATCATTCCAGTGGTTTAGTAGACTCTACTGTATAATAAATGTATGGATCTAGCATTTTTTTGGTGGTAAATATAACTATAGTCTGTTTTTTAATCCCGGAGACAAATTTAATGTTTCCAATGTTGCCAGGATTTTGCATTTTTTAAATAGGGTTGTGGCACTATCGAAAATAATTATTAATTACCTATTTTTATAGGTTATTCCTTAATAATGAGTGAGTGTTTATATAAAATGCATTAACACAAAATTAACAAAGTATAGGTATTCAATAATAAATGGTTGCTGTATCAAAATAGACTTTATATTTCACTAAAATAAGGACTAACTTTTTTATAAAACAAATGACCTATTTATATATACTCTATGTAGTCATAATATTATTTTATTCAAGAACCATAACCACAACCAGTGGCCGGGTCTGCTAGTCTTAATATAGAAAATGCTACGATTACTCACTTCTAATCATAACAACAGGGAGCCGTCTTCTACAAAATGCACTCGCTGACACTGTGCTGGCCAGTGACAAATCCCACCTCGTGGGTATGAGGCCAATTTGATACAGCTTCTCTAATAATTGAGCACTTGAATCTGTCCTAAACTCGTTATTCGCATCCAAATCTTTGATTTTATTCGCTAAATCACGAATTTCTCTAGCCATTTTTTTATACCTGTACAAAACGTTTTAATTAATATCTTCACAAAATTTATAATCTGTGTACAATTAAAACTATATTTGTATGGAATACTAACTTTGTATAATCTTCTCGCTTCTGAATATAATATTTTTTCATAATCTTAACCTCGTGTATATTGTTGTCGAGCTTCCATGATATAAAATCAACTTTTTTGAGCAATTTTTGCTCGTGAAATTTGAACTTGCGTACCATTGTATAATATTTTCAAAGTTCTAAATGGTATATAACATTAATATTATTATTTTAATAAGAAATAAACAAAAATAACCAAGAAATTAAATAACTTAAAAACTTCGACAGACTGCGATCAAAATTGTTTTGATTGACAGTAGCTGACATTGATAGTGACAGTGACACATAACTTTGATATTTTTTTAATTCATTAGGGTTCAGCTTCGAGGTACGAGTTTTTATGTCAGTGTATATTATGTATGTAACATAACACACACAGACATAAAAGCACACAAATACAAATGTGTGTGTCGTACGAACAAAGTGGTAAGTGTACTAGAGAATACGTGCGAGTAGTCGAACCGGTCGGTGTATTAAACTGCTAGACCACCGATACCCTAAATTTATTTTAAGTCTGGAAGAAAGCCGTTGCATGATAAATTTGTAATAACTGTAACTTGTTTAACTTCAGAAATGAATAAAATTTTAATTGTCTTTACTTCTTATAATCCTCCTAATATAATTATTGTATCTAAAGTGAAGATTATGGAGATCTTTGGGGGAGGCCTATGTCCAGTAGTGGACGTCTTCCGGGCTGAGATGATGAAAGTGAAGATTATAGCAGCGAAAGTAGTACTGAATTGTAAGCATAAAGAAAACACAATAAATTTTATCATCTGACAATTTTTATTTTTACTAATAATTATTGCACTACTTATTAAAGAATACCTCAATCCAGTCTTGTTCTTTCGTGTATTCTACACGATGACTTTCGTTCTTCGGAGATTTTGCATACTTCTCTATATCGTGACCTGAATCACTATGCTTTTCTTTATTATTGCGAGTTTGTCTATGCCTGTCTGCATTATTAAAAGTTTCTCTATCCATCTCTGTATCATTAAAATATACATTTATTTTTTCATTAGTAGGTGATTGTTTATGTTCCTCAATTCCAGTAGGGTTTTCTCCATGGTCCTTTGTAAGAATTTCTCTATGTGCTGGTATACTGAGATTTTCTGTAGTTTTCGCTTTGTGGAATGTGGTAGCGTCATTTCGTTGCACTTTATTCTTCAAGTGTACCAATTTGTTATGCGTGTATAGGGATGCCTTAAAACTGAAAGTGGCTTCGCATAATTTGCAAACGTACGGCCGATTACCTGTATGTATGTTCATGTGATCCCGTAATGCTGTCTTACTCTGTAATATTAAAAAAAAAAGTAAACACCCATAGACCATAGATAGAATAAAAAATTTGTATGATGAATAAAAAAAGAATGAAATTACATTATTATTTTTCAGAATAGAATTTTTATTTCTAATTAATTAGTTTTCTCCACTGCAATAGCCAACGCAGTCCAAGCGTGTTTTATTGAATTGTTTTATGGTTTTTTAGAGTGCAATGCATTATAAATATATTCTTGCCGTTAGATGGCGCTAAAGGTGTAAGGGGCAAAGTAATTTTACCGTAAACTCCTTGTTGCAGGTATGACAACCGACCTTCTTTCTTGGTTTGCCTTCATGTTTTATACTTATGTGAATTTGAAGTAATCTGTTTCTTTTGAATACCTGTGAAAAATTTAATAAATTATTTAAGAGAGATTACGGAGTATACGTATTATTAAACACGTTAAACACGGCATGTCTACCGGTGGGTCACTCCGCAACGAAAGTAAATTTACACGTTGGGACCGGATGATAACCCGTGGGCACTTTAATTGAAATAAATCTAGGTGTTAAATAATGTCTACCTGAAATTATTGTACACTAAAAACATATTTCAAAAATAATATAATGTAAAGTAATTAACAATAAAAAATGCCGGTTTCTATGTGAGAAAATGCTCAAATAAAAGGATAATGATCAAATTTATAATTTAAATTAATTATAGCCGAATTTCGACGACTATCTCTCCCCCCGATCTCCCCCTCCGATTCATCCCCCGTCCAATTCAAGCGGAGATCGAAATTACGCCTAGCCTAGGTTCGAACCTGTAGCGGTGCCCTCAGACTAAAGTCGTATCCGTCAGGCGGGAGTTGGCCTTCAGCCGCTCCATAAGTCCTTCCGCGGGTTTGGAGTGCCATCTGCACTCACCTCCTATCATCCGGTGATGCTGTAAATGCCGGCTGCGGCCAACAGCATTATAGTCTGAAAAACCTGTTCCTATCAACTCACCCTGTCACACATAGTACAAGGATACTTCTTCCCCAGGTTATGTGAGTGTCGCATATGTGCTCTCAGGTACGATGAGGTTGGGAATCGACTGTTGCATTGTGAACACGGGAACCTACAGACAAGAAGGCATAGTGGGTGATTTATTGTTCTAAGATCTTGACTTCCTCATTTTAGTTAGACATATATTTTTTCTAAATACAATCCAAAATTAACAAATTAAGTTTGCACCAATCTGAGTTGTTATTTGTAAAAACGGTTTCATGGTTCTTAGTGAAGTATATAGAGTGGTATGTAGGTGAGTTCAGAAACGAAAACGCAGGCGTCTTTATCACGGATATAATACGTTGTCCTTATATTAAACTAGCTGTACCCACGACTTCGTCCGCGTGGAATTTAACTTTATTTTTCTAAAATAAAAGTAGCTAAGTTACTCTAGTTACTTATTACATCAGCTACCCGCTAATAAAAGTCCCGTCAAAATAGGTCTAGCCATTTCAGCGATTAGCAGGAACAAACAGACAGACAGACAAAATAGATATGTGTGCATAACACACCTACAGCCTGTTTTATAATTGGGAGAAAATAAGATATTCTTTGTGTAGTACCTAAGCAGCTGTTTAAGTGCCACGGCTTACCGTGGCACTTAAACAGCTGCTTAGGTACAGAGCTTGTGTTATGTGTACTAAACAACTTATATAAAACTTAGATATTTTATTTTTTAAATACATAAAAATCACCCAGACCGATAAAAACACTTAATCATGAATACAAATATTTTCACCGTGCGAGGAATCTGTAAAGCGGCGTGCTAAACTGCTAGACCACCGAGGCCGTCATAATGAAATGAATATTACCTAAAATCTTGCTTGGATACGTGTTTCAGGGACGTCCTGAGATGTACTCTGTAGATGTTGACAGTTTTGAACTGTATATCACACTCTGTACAGTATGCGTTTTCATCCTTCTGCAAAACAAACAGTTTCTTCTTTAAGTCAAAGACTAGAACTTTTATTTACCAAGTATTTGAATTAATCAACATACATATTACCGATGTGCTAGGGTGCTCCGTAACCGTAACTGAAACTATCGGATATCCGATATAAAAAATATTCGTAACAGTAACCGAATCTGAAATAAAAGTTTCTGGATAATATCGGATAGGGACGGAGCCTAATTGAGACATGTTATGTAATCATTTTATTAGCTATTTGTATTTTACTTTTGAAAGTAACGGATAATCTGAAATAGTTACATATCCGCATCCGTATCCGTATCCGGAATAATAATCATTTCTATATCCAAAACCTATCCGTATCCGAAATTTCATATCCATAATATCCCTGAATACTACCATATAATTTGTCCAATTAGAAAATTGCTGTTAATTATTCTGGCAAATTCAATTTAAAAAATCATTTATTAATGTACGACATTTTAGCCGCTCATGAACGTCAAATTTTTTAAATTATAATTTTTTCCCTACCGTCCAGTTTAGTATACAGATCCAATTAAGAATAACTGGCAAGAAACTCAATTGAACTACTTTTTTTTTGTGACATTTCAAATAACATAATTACAAACAATTTACTGGATGTCAAGGTCAAGTTGTCAAACATGTACTAATGATGAGATTTTAACTTGGCACCTCCGAATAGAATAGAATAGAAAATTCTTTATTCAAATAAACTTAATTTTAGCACTTTTGAATAGTCACAACAATTTTTTTAATCTACCGCTTATTCGTAAATCTGTCTCATCACAAGAAGAACAAGCAAGAAACTTGTGTGTTGCTCTTTTAAATAACTTGCCGTCAGGGACATGAGCACTGTTACCTTTTCACTTGAATCGGTTGTGTTATGGCCGTTGGCTGGCTTACCTTGTACACGTGGGTGGACTTATGGGTCTGCAGCAGAATGTCGGTGCGGAATTTTTTTGAGCAAATGTCGCATTCCAGGTTTTGCGCCTGCGTGTGTATCCTGAACAAATTTGTCAGGAAGTAAGTTAGTAAAAATGTACTATGTCAGGTTGACTCCTCAAATCATCATCATGTTCAATTCCTAGTGAATTTGTCACGATAGGCTAACTAACCGAGCTCGTGCTTATCTTATCATCCTCCACCGGTGCACGGCCGGGGGGAAAGAGGATTGTTAGTAATGTGGATTGAATATCTTATTGCTAGCTATGTACCATGACAGGTTGACCTCCACGCGGTTCCCCCTGGAAACCATCGTGATAAATTCTTGGTGAATTTGTCACGATGGGCTAACTGACCTGACCTCATGTTCATCTTATCATCCTCCACTGGTGCCCCGCCAGCGTAAACCGTTAGCGCAGGCGGGAACATCATTAAAAAAAATCTCACAAGAGGTCCAAGTGTATATCTTATCCTCGCCATCTAGACCCAAGTTAAAAGCTAGCTAAAGCTTGTGTTATGGGTACTAGATAACTGATACATATACAACGATATTTGAAAACACCCAGACCGATACAAACAATCATACTCATGAATACAACTGTTTGTACCGTGCGAGGAATCGAACCCGCAACCATCAGAAATAAGGCGGTGTATTAAACCGCTAGACCACCGAGGCCGTCAAAATAAGAATATCTATCTTAAATTCAAATGACGGAATCCGAAGAAGACTTATCGTACCTTTACGTGTATGATTGTAACACTTACAATATATGTTTCTTTAAACTACTATTGTAACACTTACAATATATGTTTCTTTAAACTACTATTGTAATGATTAAACTACTATTGTAATACACTATATATTTCAATATATGTAATCTTTATATGTTTCTACTATTGTAATACTTATATGTCAATATATGTATTCTCCTTAAACTACTATTGTAACACTTACAATATATGTTTCTTTAAACTACTATTGTAATACTTACAATATATGTTTCTTTAAACTACTATTGTAACACTTAGAATATATGTAACACTTATATGTTACAATCTATTGTAACACTTAGAATATATGTTTCTTTAAACTACTATTGTAATACTCACAATATATGTTTCTTTAAACTACTGCTGTTACTCGCCATCTTGTTACAATAAGGGCAGGCCACCATTTTGCCGTGTACTGATCGTCGGTGCTTTAAATACGATCGTTTATTACTGCAACAAATAACAATAAATAAGAAACGCCAGAAAAGAGATACAACTATTCGAATTCAAAATATCTTTATTCGTGTAGGTCTATTACAGACTCTTATGATATATCAAGTGAACGAGTCTTATGAACTAACTAGCTTTTGCACGCGGCTTCACACGCGTTAATTTCTCCCCTTAGGGGTGGAATTTATCAAAATCTTTTCTTTGGGGATGCCTACGTCATAGTAGCTTTATGCATGCAAAGTCTCAGCCCGATCGGTTTAAAAATGACAGTTTCATACAAACTTTCATCCCCTTGGGGATAGAATTAAACAAAATTCTTTCTTAGCGGATGCCTACGTCATAACATGTACCTGCATGCCAAATTTCAGCCCGATCCGTCCAGTGGTTTGGGCTGTGCGTTGATAGATCACTATGTCAGTCACCTTTGAGTTATACATTGTATATATTTAGAGAAGGACTCAGCTCGTATACTTTTCAATACCAGTCGTTATCAAGTAGTCAAAATTACACTATTTACGTCCATAATAACAAATACAAATCTCTTTGTCCAAGATCTTTGGACCAGCAATAACAATTAAACAGAAGAGTGTGTGTCAAATACAACATAAGTTGTGTGTGATGTTTTTTAAACATAATAAAAAAAAAAATTTACATTCTGCACTCTTTCCCTACATAAACGAAATTTCATACTGCTCCATTCGCGCAAAGTAAGATAAATAATAATAATAAAAAGAGGTAGAAAGTTTTTGCTTCACGTATCAAGTGCTTACTAATATTATAAATGTGACAGTAGGACTGTTTGTTACGCAAAAACTAATGAACCGATCATCATGAAATTTTATACACATGTTCTTGGAGGTATTAGAAATAACTTAAATAATAACTTAATAGAATACTTTGTATTAAAATATATATATATAAAAATAAAAATCAACATTATGCTACTTCAGCACCATCTAGCAGCGAGTAATGAAGTTATAAATCATATATTTATTGTTATTTTCTTCTGTCACTCACAGACAATACGATTTGATGCGAGAGAAGCCGCGGGTAAAAACTAGTATTACATATTGCTGGTGGCTTACTCGCTTCTTATATTATTTTCATATGCCTAAAACTTACGGTAATGTTGCGTCGCAGTCCCCGCACTGGTGTCTGGTCTCGTCGTGTTCATCTTGATAATGAATATCCACAGAATACTCGTCACGGAACTCCTCGTAGCATGTTTGACATACGTAACTTCTGCAATTCATGGGAAATACACACTTAATATTATAAAAGTTCAACGGATCTTAATTAAATTTCGCGTGTACCACAATCATAGACATAGGACTTTAAGGTATTTCTATGAAATTTAACGTGAAAGTATATTGTATAAGGATAGGTATAGGCTGCTTTTATTTAAAAAAAAAACTGAAGACTAGTAAATAAACAATGATCATACTCGTGAACGAGTGCAGCTTGTAGGGACTAGTGCTAGTTGGTAGTTTGTAGTGTTGTTTATTAAGTTAGTGTGTGTACACACTAACTTAATAATGTAAAGTAATCACAAAATTATTTAAAAAAGCAACACGCAAGTTTCTTGCTCATGCTTCTTGTGATGAGACAGCTTTCTGAATAAGCGGTAGGTAGAAAAAAATGTGATGATTATTAAAAAAATGCTTGAATGTAAGTTTATTTGAATAAATCATTTTTTATTCTAATCTACTTTAATGATTCTATTTTTATACTGCGTTAAATATCGTTTAATTTTAATTATACTTTGTCCAACTAAAAGTTTTACAAAAAAAAATAATTTGTATAAAAACTTTTGCACTTTTTATTTATTATATTTATCAAACACAATGAACGAAGTTTTACAAATCTATGCCTTGCTTACTTTTAATATTCCGTGAGAATCGATGCCTACAGAAATATCTACCCACGTTTCACCCGAGCGAAGCCGGGTTTTCATCCAGTATGAATATAATGTATATTAATATAATGAGTGTTGAATTTTTTTTTCAATACATTTTTAAATGCACCTCACCTATAATGCGTCTGTGTGTGATACTCCAATGCTGCCTCGGTAGGAAACCGCTGATCACATATCGTGCAGACAAATTTATTTTCCTGCATACATGCAAAGTTTTATTGTTATTTTGTTGTAGAAATATGTAATAAAACTATTTATAAGAGGATAAATGTTTTAATGGTAAGATGGTAGACAGTGAAGTAAATTAAAAATTAAAAACAGTAAGTAAAAATATTATATAGAATTTGTTTTGTATGTTTTTGATTAAAGAATACAAAAACAAACTTTGAATATATTATCAAAAGAGTTTCTCAACGATTTTGTACCTGCTAATTTACAATACTGGCATGTCGTATATAATCTGGATGATTTTTTTTTAATTTTATTTATTGGGGTGTGTGGGCTGTTGTCAGGAGCTTGGATCTGTAGCACTGACCTACATAGATCTAGTGTGCTCGCCAGGGCCAGCTCTCGGGTCCTCAGAGCTCGCATGCATTTTTTATCCTAGCGCTCCCTGTTATTTAAAAAAAAATTAACTGTTTCTTACCATTAAAATTATATATAAAATGACATGAAATTTTTTAATTACTATTTAATAAATCTGGATTTAGTATACAAAATTAGATATAATGGTTTTAACATCTAATTCTGTACATACATCATTCTCAATGAGTTAAATTATTTATTATAATTTATTAAGTATTCTGTAGATCCTATATTTTAATAAAATTATATTATTTATTATTATTATTATTATTTAGATATATATCCGAACTTCGTGATGGCGCCCCCTTTGACGAGGCGCTCGCATGCGTTACATGCCAGTTTCCACCGGCCCTGGCGCTTTTTCAGAGTTCGCTATTTAGACCCGCTTGTGCTCGCCCTTTTTCAGACCCGTTAGGGACAAGAATTGAAAATTGATTATTATTGACAAAAATTGTTTACGATTCGACGACACAGGACAGATGTCTAAGGACTCTTTTTTTAATGGATGATAATGGAATGTTGCACCTCCCTGCGCTAATGGATTACGCTGGCGAGGCACCAGTGGAGGATGATAGCATGAGCATGAGGTCAGGTTAGTTAGCACATCGTGACAAATTCACCAAGAATTTATCACGATGGTTTCCAGAGGGCACCGCGTGGAGGTCAACCTGACATGGTATATTGCTAGTAATAGGTTTATTAGTCCACATTACTAACAATCTCTTCCCCCTTTCTCTAAGAAGGACTAGGAGAGTCGATCCCAAATGAAATGGGAAATGGCTAGGCAGAGAGAGAGAAATAGAGTATATAATTTCCAAAGGAGATGGGGTTACATTCGCCTCACCTTATCATGTTTCTTTTGATGCTCCTCCAATATTCTTTTCCCTTTAAAGTACACAACACAAGTTTCGCACTTGTTGCGACATTTCTGGAAACTCTTGTCGTTTCTTCTGTCTTCTCTGAATTTCATCATCTCCTTTTCACTAATAACTCGGACCGTAAATATGTTCTGACTTTTGTTGATTGTTTCTACATCATATTCTGATGGTGGTGCAGATTCTACAAATAAAATATACATAATCTAGAAAGTTCTAAACCTAACTAAACTAAACCTGTGATTATTATAAATAGAAATGATTGTGACATTAGATGGATGTTTTTGACTATTTCATGTAAAAACTACTGGTTGATTTACAGTGAAAGTTAGTGCACAAAACATGGTACTGTTTTAACCTGTAATCTCACAATCAATGGCACGGGATACAGCTGATATCAAAATTAAAGATGTGTTTGTTTTTTCTTTACATATTAGTGACTCAAATAGTCAAGAGAGACAGTGCTTGTTGATCCCACTGCTGGCAAAGTAGCATGTCAGGTTGACCTTCATGCGGTTCCCCCTGAAAGCCATCGTGATAAATTCTAGGTGCATTTGTCACTTGGGCGAACTGACCTGACCTCATGTTCATCTTTGCATTCTCAACTGATGGTCCACCAGCGTTAGCGCCGGCGGGTGCACCATTCCATTATCATCCATGAGGACTCAAATAATAATGAAATTTAGCATAAAGGATGTCTATGGAATGAATACTCAGTGTATACCTAAGATCTTTAGTTACAAGGGTAGGTTAGTTACAAAATTCTTGACTACCTTGTTCGGCTTCCTCATTTTTATCAACTTCTTTCTCCATCTCTTCATCATCACCCTCAAGATTATCACAATCAACATGTTCTATACTATATTTTGTGATATCTTTTGTTTGCCTATCTTTATTAACCTTGCTTATAAATTTCTTTGCATCTATATCTTTCCGAATTACAAATGGTTGCTGTTCTACAAGACTACGATCAGAGTGAGGCTTAGCATCATTCTGGATGTCCACTGTGGCAACTTGGCACATCTTGACTTCACTTTGAATCAAACTGGACAAAGTTTCGATGGACGTTTGTGACTGCAATTTTATGTTAACTTCAAGAGCCAGCTGTAACTTGTAGCTTAATCTGCCATTTCAATTAACATAAAACACTTTAAAGAGCATAGGTGCTAGTGGTCTCATAAAAATAAAGGTTTGTATTGTATGTTTGTGCTATCCTTTTCTACTTATGAAAATAAAACAAATATTTTGTACTATTGTAAAGATTTGTATTTTCCCTCCAATGATTCAACATATTAAAAATTCAATAGCTCTGTATTCTTTTTTTGTAATAAAATACATACTGTATTTGCAAAGCAAAGTGGTTGCATACTCTTGTAAATAACAATATCTAACATCTTAGACATTGTATCAACTTAAATGAACAATACAAAACATAGTTTATTTAACTAGTAGAATTTCATTTAAAATATAGGGTAGACAGAGGTAGTCTTGCAAATGAATTTGTACAAAATATACCTCAAGTAATACATATTGTTAAGAGATTGTATACATACACACATTATCACAGGTTACATGCATTTATATATTTGTAGAAGGCCACAAATATATAAATGCCATGTACAATAGAAAATTAATAAATAAATCTTACCATATTTGCTTTTACTATGTGATTGATAATGTTTTGAGCCTTTATAGCTTTCTCCCTGAACACAACAATTTTCTTCACTATAGCATCACATTCCCAGCATATGTGGAAGACACTCACATCTGATCTCTGCCAATTAAAAAAATCTAATGTACTAATGTAAGAAAAGAATAGACATAAACTTCATTTCAATAAACCCTATACAAAAACATTTTTTATCCCCTATGATGAATCCCCTGTTCAATTCAAACAGGGATCAAAATCACAACTGCTTAAGCCAAAGTTCCAACCCCTAGCAGTGCCCCCAGACTAGAGTCACATCCACCAGGTAGGTGTCGTCCTTCGACTTTCATAAGTCCTTCTGTGGGTTTGGAGTGCTATATGCTCTCACCCTATCCTTCGGTGAAGCTGTAAAGACCATCTGCAGCCAACAGTATAAGAATAGTTCGAAAGATACAATATAATTTAATATAAAAAACGAATTACCTTAATTTTGGAGAACTTCATAAAATTTCTCACATCCTTGACTGCTATCAACCTTCGATCAGAGCTTAAGCACGTAGCGCATACGTTTAAATATTTACTAACGTCCATGGTTAACTTACTAGGATTGTACTTAATAATTCCTACGTAGATTAATTTTTATTATTCAGCAGTGGACGTCCTCCGGGCTGAAATGATGAAGGGGATGAGATTTTCTAATGATTTAAAATCATAGTCAAAGATTATTCAAAATATATTCCTCCATAATACTTTTTTATTTATTGAATTTAATAATTTATTTCCTTTATATTTATTATTGTACATAAAATTATAAACAACAAATAATAATAATCGTATAGAAATGTCATAAGAAGGACAATGTCAAATTACAGACAGATGTGTCTGTTGATTGGATTATTTTGAGGAATATCCAATCTGTGATCACAACCACTCTGTGCAACCACAAGGATTTCTTATCTGTGGCTGTCACTGCACAGCAAAAATATTTTTTAAGCTGTACATGAAAAAGAAAAAAAAAATACAAAATATCAGTTTTATGGTGGTTATCGGATGAATGTTACTGTTTTAAGTGTTTTATATTTTTTAAATAACAATTTTCTCGAAATTTATTAACAGCATCTCGATTTAGACTAAGAAAATGACTCACAACAATCCATCTGATTTTGCGGCATACCTACAATCTATGGTAAGACTAAATGCTATTGAAAAAATTACACAAGATTTGGACAAAGAGCTAGCCGACTCTCAACGTATAATGCGAGAAATCAAAATTATTTTCAATGGTGTGCCCACTGCCCAGACAACCCAACAACCGGTTAGTAACGGCCCTAGACATGAGGATCTGTCTCAGTTCCTAGAAGCGGATGTTCCTAAGTTACTTCCACTGGACATGACGGAAAACACCCCTGATATTGATTTAGATGATGTGATAGCGAAAATGAAAGGTTACACTGAAGATTTGAAGAAGAACTTTGTTCTCACACAACAGAAGTTTGAAGGCAATTTAAATATAAAGAAAATGGAGCAATTAGATTTGGAGCAGTATGCTAAAAGTTTGGAGAAGTTAGGGAAACGTTTGGAGAACATTAAACTATCCAAAGATGAAAATAACAGGAATAATGATCTTGAAGAAAAATTGACTACACTTTGTCAAGATGTCAATATGTTCACACAGGTAACATAATTTGATTATGGTCTATAAAAAGATTTTTTTATGTACCAATGGCTCAATAGAGGTTTTAGAATTCTCATACTGCAGTTGAAATATTGGCTAGCTTCATACCTAACTGCTGTATCTACCAATTGTTTGCTGTATTTGATACATGATGTTTACATTAAATCCACATACTTAAGTATAATAGAAATTTCTACATTAATACTTAGAAAATAATGAGTGTTTACTTTATACAAGGCAATAAAAATTAACATAAGCCTTATGACAGCCCCAGTGGTCTAGCGGTTTAGCACACTGCCTTCAATTGGTTGGAAGGTGGTGTGCTAATTGGCTCGGGTTCGATTCCTTGTGTGGTAGAAACATTTGTATTTATGAGTATGATTGTATGAGTGGGTGTTTTCTATATATATTATGTATGTATTTACAAAAAAATATATCTATGTATTTATTGCAGTTGATTAGTACTTCAGGACACATTCTAGCTAGTTTAACTTGGGTCTCAATGGTACTGTGTGAATTGTTAATGCTAAATTTTCAGATGGTGCAAGCAAAAACAACACTGAGCGAAACTAACAAAAACTGGAACACAACCCCGCAAGAGAGCAGTGCTCTGCATTATGGAAATATTATCAACAAATTACTATCTGGCATCAATGAAGTGACATACTTACTGCACAATAAAAATTGAACTCTTATTCAGTGATTAGCTCAAGCTGTGTAGATTTTGAAGTATAATGACTTGTTTTTTAAGTTGTTAATTGTATTGCTATTGCTTCTAAGTCCTCTGTAATTGGTATAGATAGACCCAGTCTACAGATGTAGACATTGTCAGCATATTTTAACTATTTATTTATTATTGATAAAGATGAGTGTAATCTAGGAAAATACTTATCTAAGTATTGAAGGTTCTTTAACATATTATAATTTGTCTATTGTAGTATCTACAAAATTATGTCAAAATTCTTCTATGTGTAAATATCAGGATGAATATCCGGCCTGAACTCTCAACCTTTTAAGAAATTTGGCTTGTCATATCACACATCTAGCACAATGCTGATATAAGTAGAAAATTATAAACTTTAGAAAATCCACTCTAAAATTTTAACTTTAAAGTCTAATTTAAAAAAAATAAGCTCTTTAGTTAATACAGTATTCTACTAGGTGTGGAGTATATAACTTGGCCTACTGAAAAGATAGGATAGTTTTTATCCTATAAGAAATTAACTTTTTTTTTTATAAATAGGCAAAGTAACATTTTCCAAGTCAGCTAGTGTGTTATAAGATAGGCACTTTTTATTATAGTCATATCAAACGCTACTCAATGTATTCACTGCCAATACTTTTAATTCTGTTAGTTTCTCACATTTATATTAAAAATAACTTTGTACATGTATTTGTAAAAGTATTAAATATTATCATTCATTATAAAAAATCTCTGTCAAGGTACCTTTCTATAATAATGTATTAACTCTATATACTTCTCTATGTAATCATAGAGTAATAAGGTTTTGACTATGGGACAACTTGTGATGTAATATCAAATATTGGATAATATATGCATTTTATTCATAAATATAGGTTAGAAACGAATATTGATCTCACTATATTGTTCTTTAGCTGTAATAATAAACTTGTATTAAAGTATATAATACATCAATAAGTTATGTAGTTTTCATGAAATTATTTGATAATGCAGGTGTGTTAATACAGGAATTTCTGTGTTATATTGATAATGGGCTTATTGGCCTGACCTCATGCTCACCCTATCATTCTCCACTGTTAATATTCCATTATCATAACACTAGCCCAGTTTCACCCAATAAAATTTATAGCCATGTGTTATTCTGAAGCATTAACTATATTACTGTAAAGTTTCATCAAAATCCATTCAGCAGTTTTTGCAAGAAAGAGTAACAAACATCAATATTACCATCCATACAAACTATTGCGCTTATGATATTAGGACATTATAAATAGCTAGTTGTTTCCTAACAAAAAAAAAGTGTTCAATATTATAGTTATTATCAATCGAATTCACTCTAGGTCCCTGTGGGATATGCATACAGTTAACTCTGATATAGTAAAATGGCCATTTTCCATCTTTCATCAGTTGAATAATAAATAGTCTACTTTTGTCTCTGCTAGTGGAATGTAAGTAATTGTAAATAGCTTTTAATGTCATGAGTAATATCTGCAACCACTGCAGCAATTTTTTTTTTCGGGCTATTCTAATTCTTTTGGACGCAGCTGGCCTTTACAGCTTCACCGGACGATAGGGGGCGAGTGCAGATGGCACTCCAAACCAAAGGAAGGACTTATGGAGCGGCTGAAGGCAACTCCCGCCTGACGGATACGACTTTAGTCTGAGGGCACCACTTGGGGTGAACCTCGCGAACCTCGGCTCAGGCCGTCGTAATATCGATCCCCTTTTGTATTGGGGGAATTGATCGGAGGGGTGCAGCTATTTGGATAAGGCTGTCTATTTATATTATTTTTATATTTACTTGGAATAGGTTCATAATAATAAAAAAAATACCATAGATAAAACGAAATAAATAACCATAGATGAAATAAAATATATAACCCATGGATTATTTGACTTGGATAATAATGGAAATATGCACCTAATTGTGCTAACAGTATATTTGCTGGTGGGGTCCATTGAAGGAGGTTAGATGTGATAATTTCACCATGAATTTATCACTATGGTTTCTTACAAGTCATAGTGTAATGGACTTAATATTAATAATCCTACAAATATATATATACATATGCATATACTAGTTGCAATACACTACACAGAACCAGTCTGTAAGCATACTCGGGTATGTAGTCAATGTATAGTCAGCAAAATATCTAAATAATGTATTCAATATTTCATTCAAAGTATAGCAAATTCCATTCAATATATTTATTTGTCACAACACTTATTCCTTTCGAATATGTCTTTAGTAAGTCTTAATGTTAAAATTATTTAATTGACAGTCAAATCATGTATCAGTCATCAGCTAGCAGTCATTATCAGCATTTGAGTCTTTGTCTTGGATTTTCATTCTCTTCCTTGTCTCTTTCTCATAATCAGGATAGTTATCGTTAGATTCTTCTACAATCATTTTATAGTCATCATTTTTTGTAGGCTTCTCATCAGCCTCCATAACTTTAAGTTTTATACCAGAGAGGACTGCCCCATTTAATGTTGTGATGGCTTCCTGAGCTGACTTTATAGAGGCATATTTAGCAAAACCAAATGTTTTATTTGGAAAAGTACTAACATCTATCAGATCTCCAAAACGGCAGAATGCATCTCTCAATACTGTGTTAGGGGGAGGGCATGGCTTACATACTATGAAACATCTCTGAGCAACTCTACTGTTACTGTTGACAATTGGCTGAAGAGGTGGCAGTGGTACACTGCAGAGACTGTTCTGTTGATCCACTTTTACGTCTGCTTTTCCTGATGTAGCTGCTTTTATTAAAGAAGATGCTTGGGCAATAGCATCAGCCAGTTGCAACAGTTCTCTACCAGAGCTCCCAGCATCTATAGAGTTCCTGAAGCTGTTCACAATTGTCGTCAAAGTGCTTGCAGCTTTGTTCAAAGGATTGTCATCTGGTTTCACAGAAACTATTTCACCAGATGGGAATTCAAAGTTGTTAAGTCTCTCAACTGCATATGCAGCTGCCTTCTCACACTCATATGTAATAGTTGCCTTACAAACACCATTGTATGCATCTGTAGTGTATTGACATTGTGTCATTCCAGGGACAATATTAAACAGTTTCTCAATGTGCTTCTGTGATACCTGTGGACTACAAGTTACATTTACAGTGTCATAGTTTTGGGACGGAACTTTTATTAAATTTAAGTTATCCTTATGAACACCATTGTGAGCCCAATTATACTTCTCAAATGAATTATCTCTGGTATTATTAATATTCAGCTGTGGGCTTTCAACAAAATTCATTCCTGCTTCCTCTAAACTGTTTCTACTTCTTTTCAGTTCATCTTTAGGCGTAGCAAATACTGGTCTATATTTACGGTCACAGTTTTCAAAAGCTTTAGCAGCATCTAGAAAGTTTGCATAGTTGACGTAAGCGAAGCCTTTGCAAATGTTTGTGAGTCTATTTCTCTGCAAGTGGACAGAATCAACATTGCCAAAATTTGAGAAATGCTCCCTGATTTCACTCTCAGATGCCTCTTTATGTACTTTAATGAAAAGTCTCTTATACTTCTCTTCGTTGTTGGATTGTATATCGTTTTTGTTGGCAGCAACCATTACCTTGATGGGCTTTTGTGCATTTTTTAATATTTTCATATGCAATTCTTCAATGGCCGCTGCTGCTGATGATGTTTTATTGTATTTTATATACGCTACGCCCTTCGATTCTCCGGTATTACGATCTCTAGGTATATACAAGTCCTCGATATCGCCAAATTTTTCAAAAGGCGCTTTTAAATCATCCTCCTGCAGTTGTTTACTGCAAACTACGAAAATTCGGGAATAAGGCGGTTTATCTTCTTTGCGTTCTTCGTTCTTCGTATTTTGATTCCAGAAATTAGTCTTCATTGAAGTCATCTCTGTAACTTTGAAGTCGTCACAAAACAACAGTCAAGTCACGGTCTAAGTAACTTAAGAATAGGTCACATTACGAAGTCAAACAGAACTGAAATCAATTTGTTTTATCAGTCATCTACGTGACTGATTACTTAAAACAAAATTCTGTTAAATAGCCGGGACGCGGGACCGTTATTTTTACAAATTACAAACAATAGTTATCATAAATATTACTTATTTTTAAATACATGTGTAGTAGTAATCTATACTATAACAAATTGACATACCAATGGATAATCGCAGATTACTTGTAACAATCAATGCACAGAGTAATGTATACCCAGATACCCATAGTATTCGGGAACACGTTACGTTTGCAATAAAATAATTTGCTACTACTAGATACTATTGATGCTACTCCGATAGAGCAATATCTAATTCTTCTTAATGCTCGCTACTAATAATAAATTATATAAGGATTTATATGATTTTGGTTCAAATTTGTAAGTCGCCATATCTATAAAATAAGTCTTGCAACAAAAAAAATCTAATACGTGATTTCCTTATTTACATATTTTAGGTTTGTAATTAGCTTGCTGATTGCAAACCTGTCATTTGGTCTAATGAGTTTTTGTTTACGGTTTTCTATACTGAATGTCGCATTTTATAACACGGTATTGGACAAAATTTACGGGGAAAGTCAGACAGGAATCTAGTAACACTGATACGAAGCCACAACACTACCCTTTGTTTATATGAAATCTAATCTATAATTTTCAAACGCATTTTCGAAAAAGTAAAGAATTGAAACATGAATATCACTGTCTTTCATTCTAGTTTATCTCTTGTAATGAGTCCTTTTTACAATATTTAAGACGTGTTTAATTATTGTACTTTTAGATAACTGTTTTATTATAAAAATGTAATAGTGTCGCTCAATTTTACGAATTTTTCATAGATGACATCTAAAATAAAAATGAACAGTGGTCCGCCGAGGCCAAGGTATTCGGCCGTATTGAGGGACGAGGAGTTCGAAACGGAAATCAATGAGTTATTCAGCAAGAAGTACAGCTTTAGATTTAACAGCAGCTGGAAATTACCGGATCGTAAACTTTGGTTCTCGTCGCCGCCATGGAAGGCTAAAGACTTAGAGGTGTTGAAAAGCCGTTTGAATTTCCACAAGAGCCAGTTGAACGACTTCAATATTGAGGAATGGAGCAGTCACACCCGCCGGCGGAATCCTGCTGGCGATGTGGGTTGGAAATTAAGATGTATTGTAAATCCTGAGTTTCCTACGCAGGCCTGGACAAAATTTTATGAATGCGCAAGCACATATAATATTATACCGAAAGAAGTAACGGCCATCAGAAAATTCGTATCACTGCACTTGTGCGAAGCTCCCGGTGCATTTATAACATCACTAAATCATTATTTGAAATTGAATCATCCCGAAGTGAATGTAAGTTATGCTAAAAACATTTTGTTGTATACATATATAATATTTTTACTCTGTGGATTGATTTAGTGCAATTTGCTAATATGTAATCATAGAACATCTTAAACATGTGATTATTAATTTTATTGATTTATTATTTATGTTATTAACAAAAACATGCCAGTTTCTTTACCATTCAGCTCAGTTAAATTACCATAGAAATATATACATCAATCACATTAAAGGTGCCTATATTATTTGTTACTTTTAGTTTTTTTTACATTGTTTTTATTTAACCATCACAGCCAGGAATTCAAGTCTTTCTGCTTTCTCAGTTTATACAGTAATAGTAATTTGTTCATTATTATTATTTTACAGTGGAAATGGGTTGCAAATACTCTAAACCCATACTATGAGGGTAACTCACCTTCAAACATGATTAGTGACGACCGGTTCATGTTTCACACGCTGAACAACTGGGACTTTGGTGTGGACAACACTGGCAACCTCATGGACTGGGACAACTCACAAGCGACTGTGAAGAAGGCTACATCATTGGGGAATGTAATTATTTTTAATTTAATATATTTTTACTCAGTTATTATTGCCACTGTGAATAACTCTGAAACAGGCTGTTAGTTTATAATGTATTTAGATGGAGGGTCTTTTAAAATGGAACTGGGCAGGGCACTTGGTACAATACAAAGACAAAAGATGGACAATTCTAACTTTCTAACAAAAAAATGGCCTAGCTCAATAGCCAAAAGAAGAGTGATAAAAAGATGACAGGAAAAAGGATGGTCAAATAAAATAAAGAATAATCAAAAGCGCAGAAATCTCAAGATGGTAGCAAGAAAATTATAATCATCATCATCATCTGCTTCTTCCTTATCTCATTTATGTGGGGTTGGCTTAATGTTGTTCTCTTCCATTCAACAAAAAAATTATAATACATGATTAAATTATTATTTAATTTTAATTGAATTTGAACATAACTCACACTTAGTTTGCAACTCAATCACGATGTGTGAATTGTATTCTTATTTATTTATCTTTATCTGATCTAGGTACTGTTGGTGACGGCTGACGGCTCAATTGACTGCATGCAAAGGCCTGATGCTCAAGAGGAGGTCACATCACCTCTCCACTACTGTGAAATCATCACTGCTCTCCAAGCACTTAGTCCAGGTAAATAGAATACAATAATAACAATATCTCAGTACAGTTCACACAGTACCATCTAACCTCAAGCTATGCTAGGTAAAGGGTACAAGTCAATTGATATATACATACACAACACCCAGCATGGTGGGAATCAAACCCAAGAACAGAAAATTATCTTAAACTCTCCTCCCTAAAACTTGAGAACAGCTTTACTGATTTTGCTTAATTTGGTTTTGAACTATTTATAGAACTCCAAGGAAGGGTTAAGTGGTGAGATTAATGAAGAAATTGCATGGAAAAGTAATAACTATTTTATTTTCCCATACAAACTGTTTAACAGAATTATTATATTAATTATTGCATAACTAAACATCCAAAAACATTTGACATATTTAATTCAAAATGAGTGATTCTAAATACAACAAATACTTTGTTTATATATAAGTTTATTAAAGTATTAACCTTAAGCTTTGCTGATATTTTCAGGAGGGACTTTCATATTCAAGCTCTTCACATTATTCGAGCATTCTACTGTGAACCTGCTTTACCTTATCAACCACATGTTTGGTGAAGTCAATATATACAAACCTCTGACTTCCCGGCAGGGCAACTCTGAAGTATATGCTATATGCATCAACTATAAGGGCAGTGTTTACTTAGAACAGTACATACCAATACTGAAAACTGCCTATGGAACTGAACAGTACAATAATATGTCTCTGTTCCCACAAGACTCTATCCCCGAAAGTTTCTTAAAACAGATTCATGAATGTGCTTACTACTTCTGCATAATGCAGTGCCAGGTCATCAACAATAACCTACAAGCTTACCTGATGCAGAACAATATCTCCTTACATCGGGATATGAAGAGAATCCGCGGACTTGTCGCCACCGAGTTTATTTGGCGGTACGGATTGAAGCCGTTAGATATGGAACACGAAATATTAAAAGGTGCACTCCATGAAGAGTGCAAAACCAACATGAATCCTAGATACCATCGTGGATCATACACGGAACGACAATTATACTCAAAGATGTCCATGAAAGAAAAATCAAAGACAATACACTCACTATTGCAAGCTGAAATAATGTCAAATCCTGCAATAATAATAAATGAATCTGTGAAATGGTCCCATAGTTGCGATGGAGAAACAATACCTAACCTCGTATTTACATATGGTACACCTTTACAGAAGATCAACAGTTCCAAGTTTATCTTTGTGCCCATATTCAGATTATACCAGCAGATCTTAGCCGAAGATGAATTTAAGGAGATCATATTTAGCAAGAACTTTAAAGAATGTGAAAGTTATCACAGAGATTTGGAAATGCAAATCGACAAGGTGTTGAAGTTACCTGAATTTGACTATGCTGAGATTTATAGTGTATATGAAAAGAGTTGTTTTTTTAGACTTCACGATACACTGAAAGAACTAAGTTTGGGAGACACTTTGCTGGTGAAAAATTTGAATACACTAACCCATTTCAATGTGGGTCTTCTGTTCATTGTGTCTAAGAGTTTTGAGAAGATTGGCTTTACATCTTCAGGCATTATATTGTGCAAACTGACTAACAAGGAGTCCGTTGTCTATTTAGACATTATTAGGAATGAATGTGAGAAACTGCAAACTGAAGACGGCAAAGATTTGTTAAATTCTTTGCCAGTACAGACGACAAATGTTGGCCCATTCTTTGACAATGTTGTATTGTATAACAACACATTTTATCAGAACAAGTGTACAGAATATTTGTACGCCATAGAAAAAAGTCTGTAACTGAGTTATTACCTAGTAAGTCGATGTTTTTTATTAAATATAGGTAAATAACTTCTTTCGAAGCAGAACTATTCCTATTATTTTTTTAATGCTATTTATTGTTACTATCATCTGTGAATCTTAACTTTACAGTATAAATAAAGACTTTCTGAATGTTGCAGTTTGTATTATTGTCTATATAGACATTAATAACTTCGAGTACATTGTTAAGTTTTTTTTATGTAATTGTAATAGTAGGCAATGTTTAAGCCAATCTGGACATATGGGATACAAATATGGGGCTCTGCTAGTGACTCCAACATAATGACAATACAACGAGTTCAAAACTATATATTGAAACAACTTTCGGATGCACCATGGTTTATAAAAAAACTGAGATCCACAAACTACTTGATATCCCCATGGTTAAGGATGTAATTGATGACTACAGCAACAAATACAAATCACGACTACACAGGCACCCAAATAAATTCGCTGGGCAACTTACAATACCTGGGGGAAGGGGATTGTTAGTAATGTGGATTGATAACCCCATTACTAGCAATGTACCATGTCAGGTCGATCTCCACGCGGTTCCCCCTGGAAACCATCGTGTTAAATTCCTGGTGAATTTGTCACGATGGGCTAACTGACTTGACCTCATGCTCATCTTATCATCCTCCACTGGTGCCCCGGCAGCGTAAACCGTTAGCGCAGGCGGGTGCACCATTCATTATCATCCACAAAAAAAAAAAACTTACAATACCTGAAAACTTGCGCCGATTAAAGAAAAGACGTGATATATTTGACCAAGATAGTCAGACAGGACTGACTTTTTAAGAGCGAGGAGCTGTTCTACTAAGAGCGGCACTCTACCTGTTACAGACGGAACACCACATCTGCTTATAGTCCATGTGACTGATTGCAAGATCTAAAAGGAAAAAAAAAAAAAATTGTAATAGTAAACGACCTGGCATTCTACTTGATATTAAGCTTTAATCGTCGCCTATATACATGAACAGCGTTATGGACGTCACGTTATTATGTGACAACAATGATACCATTCATGCCTTGCCATTCCAGTGAACTAATAGGTCATTACCTTTTATTCACTGATCCTATAACCGACACACAGTTTACAAAGCAAGCTGTAGCAATAGGTGAGACTAAGGTGCCGTACCATGGGCGTAGCCACCTATAGGCTTGGGTTTAGATTGCTATCCTATAGCAATCTAAACTTTTATGCAAGTAGCAAACTATACCCGTAGTCTTTAACTAGTTTAATTTTTCATACAAAATGGTTACACTCTGTAGCACCCTTTATCTGCATTTAAATTTTTGTGTCGATATCGAGTATGAGCTTTCTCACGGATATTAAGTCGTAGTTAGTACTTAGATCATTTATTTTTTAGATTTGGTTAAGTAACTCTAAGTTATAAGTTTTTACGTTATAGTGGAATAACGTCCTCTATCGGAGTAATTTGCCATACACGGTCCCATGAGTTCCGCCACAGATCAAAATATTTTTTTTCTGTAACTTGTGCTGTACTGTACTCTGTACTACAAATTCAAAACAACTTCTAACCGTACATTTTGTTCTTGTCAATATTGTCACTTGTCAATTCTTGTATTGTAATCTAGTTTCTCCGAAACAGTGTTTTTATTACATTTCTTAAATTTATATAAAATTTAAAGTAAATGTGAGTGTATTTAAAATTAAGGCCGTATAGGTGTATTTGTTACACAATGGATATTAACGAAGGTATTTGTTTAAATTAATTTATAACCTAACATTTTGGCGGTACATTTTTGATATTATTGTATTCAATATATACGCATTTATTTCGCGGCAAATTGTATTTTCTAAGTTTACTTTATTTGTTATAATCTAATTTATTCGTATATATAACATTCGGTAATCTCTGCGTTTACTTATCAATTATTTCGGTAATAGTGAGGTTATATCAACAGAATCTGGAAAATGTTTTGTAAGTTCTAAGTATATTTAAAAAATTATAAGTGAATCAGTAACTGTAGAAACAGAAATTGCACTTTATACTCTATTAAAAACCTTTACATCAGTTTAAATAGTTTAAACAGTAATCCTTGTAGAATATAAGTCATAGGTTATCCTAATTTCTAAGTATGTTATGCATATACATGCTCTAAACACTGGACGTTTGATCAGTCTATTCATCTTTACTAAACTCTTTTTGCGGTTCTTATATTCAATTATTATCTTTGTGTGCTATTTTTTATTTGATACTATTTTTGTATGATATATACTCATGAATACAAATGTTTGTAGTGTGCAAGGAATCAAACTCACAACCATCGGAAGTAAGGAGATATGCTAAACCGATAGACCACTGAGGCTCTCAAATTATGTGTAGTCATATAATAATAGCTTGGAATTTTAATTTTTAAGTGCAGAGCAGTGATACTGACTTGAACTTTTTTTTTTCCTTTTCTCTTTAATGCTGTTGGCCACAAGAGGCCTTTACAAATTAGATGAAAGGGAGATTATTCAGATGAAAGGGAGAGAGTGCAGATGGCACCCCAAACCCGCGGAAGGACTTATGGAGTTGCTGATGGCCAACTCTCGCCTGATGAATACAACTTTAGTCTGAGCCCACTGCTAGGGGTTCGAATCACAGCTCAGGCCATCATAATTTCCATCCCTATTTGAATTGGATAAAAGTCATAAGGTCAGCTATTTAAATTAAATAAATTTTCAGGTACAACAACAGACGACTTATGGACACCGTTCAAGGAACTGGTGGCCGTGGTGGAGGGTTACCTGGCTCATGAAAGTAGGGGAGCACCATATGCTGTACACACATTCGAGTCTGTCCTCAGGCGACATAAACAGACATTCTTATCACTGTTTAAGTATCCTGTAAGTGTTTTTATATTATATTTATATGACAAATTCATTAGAAACCTGTTTCCTAATTTTTTTTTGTTTATACAATTCAATATTATTTATAATATTAATTAAAAAAATATATAGGTGCCAATTGTCTAAGTTGTCATATAATATGTCTAAAAGAGTTTGTTTGATTTATTATCTTTAAATTTAACCTCCAAACCATAGCCAGAGCTCCTTGGTTCATAAAAAACATTGAAGTACATACACATCTAGAAATTCCAACTGTAAAAGAAGAGATTGTGGAAGATATAAACACAGATTACAGAACCAGTTAGCTTACATATAAATAACTGTCCCTCTAGATTAAAAAAGAGCAACATCTAAAGAAAGTAAATGAGATGGCACCTTACTGGAGGGGCCTCATCTCAAAAAGCCAATAACTTCAAAAAATCTGATTATAGCCGGAAGGGCTGATCGCAGATAGAGAGAAAAAAAAAAAAACTTATTAGAAAATTTGGTAACACTACAGAGGCATACAAAAATAAATACAGTCTGAGTCAATAAATATTTTTATGACCAATTACCTTTATGATTTTTGTTATTTGTTGTTTTATTACAATAATTAGTTTTATTTAAAAACTTTAGGATACTTTTAAAATAACGGAATGAATTGGTAATTTTATTATTACAGGCAAAAAATCCCGCGAGTCGAGAAGAAATAAAACGAGGCATCACAGAGGGTGTGAACCTGCCCAGTTTAGGGAGAACTTTACTCTCAAAGGAGTTGGTGGATGAGGCTATAATTATATCTGGTATATTGGGTTTAATTAATTTTTTTCTCTTTTTCACTTCCATTATAGTAGTTTTATTATATCAATTGAAAAATAACAACAGCACATTTTATTATTGTTATGTAGGATAAAAAGTCTACATTTCTGCGGAAGGGCGCAAAAAATACCAAAACATATTATATATTAAATTTAATTGAAATATAAAAATTACAATTTAACTTATTAACTATTATGGATGCCAATTGGTTGATGATAGAACCAAGAGTGATTCAACTCCGATCGCATTCTTTGGTAGATTTCAACTCTCTGACGCTGAGTTGAAATCGACAAAACACTGATTCGACGGCACGTTTCTACCTCTTTTTCTTTTTGTTTCGCATGGGCATCATACCATATTATTGAGGCCGCTGCCTATACAGCGGTTTTAACGTTTCATGATTTCGTAACGTGTATGTGTCATACTCAAGTTCATCAGGAAGTTATCACAATAGTCACACACCAATAAGTACTACAGAAACTTACCTGATAAATGATATTGCTAGCAATGTACTATTCCCTAATATCAACTATATCTTCTCTTCCCATACTTAATATTTATCTCTAACAGTATCTAACTAAATGATGCTCTATCATTATTTTTCTATCACAATTATGTTATGTAATTTTCAATGTCAAAATAAAATCTCTTAACCCTTCTATAGTAGGCAGTATCCAACGTCTATATATATACATGAACAGCAGTACTCGAACCAGAGGTTTTTCGTTAAATATTTTCTCAGTGTCTCAGTGATAACAGGGAGAAAATTTTTCTTCTTTTGTCAAGGGTAAGTATGTTGAGTTATGAAGTTTAGTCAAAGTCAGCTGCAGTTTTGAGGGCGAACCCTCGCAAACATGTAGAAAAAATAGTTATTTCCTCCCAGTTTAATTGAGCAAAGCATCTACCTCACTGAGCATCATAACACAACTTTCTCCAACATCTTAGTTTTGACAGGGAGGAAATTGGTCACCTTTACATGTTCCTAGTTCCTTTACTAGTTCCATAGCCAGAAAATTACCATATAGGCTGTAGTGTTAAATACTTTATGTACTAGAACAATTTCTACAGATATGTACAATGTCAACGAGTACTTGGCTCTGGAACTTTTGCACACTGCGCAACGTCAGTCACCCCGACACCCCGGCCTGCCGCGGGGGCTGGTCGCCATACTGCTACTGTACGACGGGCGGCAGGCGCTGGTACAGGCATTGAAAGAGTTAGTCATGGCCAGGGATGGTGTTTGCTGGTGAGGACTTAATCTTTTATGTTTTATTATTTAAATATATTGATTTGGAATAGCATAAATATCACAAATGTTACGCCATAACAGGAAACAGCTAGATACGGACGCTCATTGATCTGTCTTTTTTTATTTTATTATGTCTAAAGTTATCGATTTGTAATAGCAAAATTATCGCTAAGGTCAGTTGCTGGAATCAGCTAGACACGAAAATGCAATAAAATCCATACAGCTTAAGCTGGCCAAATGGTAACCAATGTCACATATTTCCTTGCGTAGTTTGGTTACAACTTCTCTCGTGTTGTCCTTCCAGATATAAATTTAAATTACTCTACCAGTTGTTCTTAGTATACCTATTCGTTGTCTAGTACACAACATAAGCTCTGATTAGCTAGGGACTAGATGGCGCTGTGTGAATTATCCAGTGCTATTTTAATTATAATTTTTGTTGTTATAGGTCTATAAATGCACGCGAGGAGATCGTAAATTATGTGTCGCGGTACGTGGAGCAGCTGGTGGGCGACGGGCTGGAGGGCAGCGTGCTGGACGCGCTGCGGCGCTACTCGCTGGAGGCGGAGCTGCAGCTGCTGCAGGCCAACCGCGCGCTGCCGCCGCACCGCCACCACGTGCGGCTCGTGGCCACCATACACCACACCAGGTACCTGGCCCCTGATCCCCGCCAGCAGGACGCTCCTGGAGGACAACCGCGTGCAACCAGGGGGAAAGGGGATTGTTAGTAATGTGGACTGATGACCTTATTGCTAGCAATGTACCATGTCAGGTTGACCTCCTTGCGGTTTTCCCTGGAAACCATCGTGATAAATCTTTGGTGAATTTCTCACAATGGGCTAACTGGCCTAATGCTCATCTTATTTTAATTAATATAACAAAACAATGTTTGCGGGTTCAGCTAGTTTGAATTGTAATTTCTTTACAGAAAACTGCTAGCTGGTGTCGTCTTTGCAGCTTCAGCGCAACGTGGCCTCAACAGGGATATTCTGCTACGGTTGCTTTCAGAGGTACTACCTTTTTCATAGTCCTCATTACTAACAATGCCCTGCCTCACTCAGGTATCCAGTTAGGCGACAAGTGTGGCACTTGTCGCCTTACTAGACACCTGTGAGAGCGAGAGGAGACGAGCGTATCTAATAAACTGAGTGGACTATCTTTTTCTTGTACTTCAATGGGGTTTACTATAGGTTAAAATGTATTTATATTCTCGTCTCTTTCCAGCAAACAACGTCGCCATCTTTAGGTCCGACGGGCGCGCTGGACGAGGTATCGTTGGCTCTGCAGATGGCGCTACTGTATGCATTAGACTTGTCAGTACTACATGGGTATGTACCATAGATTTATAAATCGTTTATTACTAATTTTAGATAAAATCTAGATTACAAATTTAGATAAAACCAGTTGGTTGTATATTATATTACTAACTGTACCCGCGACTTCGTCCGCGTGGAATATAACTTTATTTTCTAAAATAAAAGTAGCCTAAGTTACTCCTTATTATATCAACTACCTGCCAAAATAGTCCCGTGAAAATCAGTCCAGCCATTTAAGACATTAGCCGGAACAAACAGACAGCCAGAAAGAAACTAAATTTATTTGAATAAATGATTTTCTATTCTATTCTATTCCATTAAATAGGCACAGAAATGAACTGGCCGCACAACTGTAGGAATTGAGGAGTCTAAGATTAAAAGGTGTGACATCCAGGGACTAGTGGAAAGATTCATAGACTGCGCCTGAGAGCTGACTCATTGCACTAGCCTCATGAATTTAAAACAATACATTCAACTTAAAAAGACATTGAATTGGACTATCGTATGACAACAGATTGCCAATGAGCAAAATTCAAAAGTAAAAAAAAAAAACAAAATTTCTTACTCTATTAACTGTTATATTTATTCTTCTTATAATGAGTCTGCTTGAAAATATATAAGTTCTTATATTTCATTATTTACATTACTTTCTTTATGTTAATTTTATTTACAAATTGAAAATGGATGGTTATTTTTTTTTATATAAATATTTTATTAATGTTATACTGTTTATGAAAAATATTGCAGACGGGAAGATGGTGAAGAATTAGCAAAGAAACTACCCTTAATACAAAATCCGGAGCTGATCTCAGTGCTGATTGACGAACTACTGCCTGCACAGGTACCCCAGACTGGAGGGGTTGTACAGGTAATTTTAGTGTGTTTATCTTTCATTTAGCTATTACAGTATATAGAGAGATTGGCAGATAATAGGGCTGATTGGAGAGCTCTAGTTAAAACTAGAGTACAAAATGATTAGACAGTTGGTCTTTATAGTTTTGTCCAAGAACTGTAACACTGTAAATTAAATAAAGACATGGCAAACTATTGCAAAAATTTTACTAAAATTGAAGAGGAATTAATTTTTGTTTACTATTATATTACCAAGTAAGCGTATGGCTCATCTGATGGTAAACGGTTGCCATACCCTATGGACCCTGAATCACTAGAGTGGTTTATTTTACTGTATTGAATATGCTCAAATAGATATTTCCTGCAGCCGGCGACGGACGGAGGCGGCGGCTCGGGCGCACGTGCGCTGTGTCAGCTGGCGCTGGGGCTGGCGCTGGCGGCGCTGCGCCGCGGCCCGCACTCGCTGCAGCGCCGCCCCGACCTGCTCGACCGCGGGGACGACCTCGTCGACGCCGCCGTCGCGGCCAAGGTACGTCGCCACACACCAGCTGGCGCTGGCGGCGCTGTACGTCGCCACGCGCATCGGCGGCGGTGAGGGCGAGCCGGCGCTAGGGCTGCCGAAGTTGGTGATCAAGAATACGGCCCATCTAATTATAACTAGTGACCGTAGCCGTATGGGACCGTTCCGGAATAGGGTTGCGGAAGACAGAGTTCAGTGGAGAGAGCTGGATATTTTATAAACATCAAATGTACCGCAACTTTCGGAAAAAGGGCTATATTATTATTATTATGAACGCCTGATACACCAGGAGGATCACGTGTGCTGTGCATTGTTGTTAAGAAACCTTAACATACAATTCTTGTAAAAGCTCATGCTGTAGTCTATAGAAATAATCTCCTCAGGTAAATCAGTATATAATCTAAGTGTACGCAAGAGGAAGCTACTCTGAAACAGGACTTGGCTCATTGTTGTAATATCACATACCAAGAAATTATTACGGTGATTGATATAAATTTTTCTTGTTTAACTAATTTAGTTAGTATTTAATGTTGTTTTAATAATTTCAGGTGTTTGAATATCTGGACGAAGCGATACTTTCAACGGACTTTGTAAGCAAAGAGGAGTATTACCAACGTCGAATACACACGCTTATCACAGACTTTATAGTGCTAATGCACTCCAAGCTTATAGAGATGAGAGTCAAGTACGTATTCTATTTATACTTTAATATAATTGAGAGGTTTCATTTGCCCTCTGCATTTAAATTGTTGCTAATAACTTAATATTCTATAGTTTAAGTTTTGAATTTTTGAAACGATTGACTGAACAAAAATTGAATTGATTGAACACCAACGGTCTTATTACAAAAAATCTGTTAAAACTCGGACGAAACGTGGTCTTTAATGGTCGTGGTTTAAACCATTCCAAAGTTAATACTTGGAATAAACCTAACATTATTACCAAGTAATCCAGATCTAACAGAGGACTACTTAGTACTACAGTTAAATCGTTCATTATGTATTCCATATCAATCACTATGTCTGTCACCGTTTAATGAAAAGATCAAAAATAATGAAAGAAAAATGTATAAACTAAAAATAAATTTATTTCTATATATCTATGTCTTCATTATAACTATTTCATTAATATATAATAGTTGTTAATGTACTATTAGGCTGAAAATCAGTTTTAAATTACAAGTAGGAGTGGATATTTTATAAGTAAAGGAACTTTCGGAAAAGAGATATTTTTTATTGGATCATTGGATCGTCGAATGGTGACTATTTCAAAAAAATGAGTGAAAAAATAACAAATAACGTCTTTTATATATTTTTATTGTCGTAAAATTTGCTTTAAAAATTTTTATTTAATATATTTTTAATTTTAGTTAAAATATTTTTCCAAAAACTTAATTTACAATAGAATTTTTAAAATGGAGTATGACTTTTTATTTAGACCACTGTTGCAAACTAGGGGCACCGCAGGTCTAACTTTAGACCATAGACGAATCACGGTTTAGAGATAAACTTCGTTTTGTAATAAGGAATACTTTGGTCAATGGTTTATTAATAGTGCTAAACCAGGTTTATCTTTTTGTAATAAGGCCAAATGTTTTAGCTTGTTCTTATAGTGATGAGACAGCGTGTCGAATGAGCAGTAGATTGAAAAAAATAAGAAGAATATTCAAGGGTGCTTCAGTAAATAAATGATTTTCTATTCTATTGTAAATGAAGCCAAACAGTCTGAATTGTATCACTAGAATTAGAATCAAATATAAGACAGGGTGTATGTTATAAATTATACACTATTTGTTACTGTACTCTTGTTCTTATTGTAATTTCATTTTCTTTGTTAATTTTACAATGTGTTGTTGCCTTTATGCATTCAACCAAGGCGATTATATTTATCAAAAACTTCTCATCAATCTATCAATCAATGTATCAACTAATATCATTATTACGGAACTGATAACGGGCTTAAATCCCTACATACATTCTTTGATCCATCGATCCGGACAAATTTATCAGAATTAATCTGTTGTAATTTGTGAAAGCCAGTGGCTTAGTATGTCGTTTGTATTGATTCTTATATATGGTATTGTGAATCGTGTTGTCGCCGTCGCTCCCCAGAGCGGACGAGGCAGCGCGTGCGGTGCAGATGTACGCGGCGGAGGGGCTGGCGCCGCCGGCCGCCGCCGCTCAGCCGCGCACGCACCTCGACGCCCTGCTGCGCTGCGTGGAGCGGCTCTACGCCGCCGACCCGCGCCGTCTGCGGGACGACTACTGGCTCGCCTGCGGACACCACCCGCCGCACCACCAGCCGCACCACGCGCTCAGGTACACACACACGCAGCGACGAAGGGAGTTTGTTGTGTATGGCGACCACATACAGTTTGATTGAAAGAGCGATGCTCTAGATGCAACCCTCTTTGTCTTTGTTCTGTGTAACATTAGCTTGTAATTGTCACAGGGCGGGCGGGCGCGCGGCGACGCTGTATAAGTTCGTGCGTCTGTCGGGCGAGCTGGTGTCGGCGCGCCTGCTGCCTGCGTACCTGCGCGCGCTGGCCAGCCTGGCCGTGCCGCGCCACACGTGGGCGCTGCTGGCGCGCCGCGACGCGCTCTCCGCGCACCACCTGCTCGCCGCGCTCGCGCGCTACTACAGGTGCGTGTACTGTGTACTGTGTACTGTGTACTGTGTACTGTACGCTGTACGTACCTGCGCGCGCTGGCCAGCCTGGCCGTGCCGCGCCACACGTGGGCGCTGCTGGCGCGCCGCGACGCGCTCTCCGCGCACCACCTGCTCGCCGCGCTCGCGCGCTACTACAGGTGCGTGTACTGTGTACTGTGTACTGTGTACTGTACGCTGTACGTACCTGCGCGCGCTGGCCAGCCTGGCCGTGCCGCGCCACACGTGGGCGCTGCTGGCGCGCCGCGACGCGCTCTCCGCGCACCACCTGCTCGCCGCGCTCGCGCGCTACTACAGGTGCGTGTACTGTGTACTGTGTACTGTGTACTGTACGCTGTACGTACCTGCGCGTGCTGGCCAGCCTGGCCGTGCCGCGCCACACGTGGGCGCTGCTGGCGCGCCGCGACGCGCTACCACCTGCTCGCCGCGCTCGCGCGCTACTACAGGTGCGTGTACTGTGTACTGTGTACTGTACGCTGTACGTACCTGCGCGCGCTGGCCAGCCTGGCCGTGCCGCGCCACACGTGGGCGCTGCTGGCGCGCCGCGACGCGCTCTCCGCGCACCACCTGCTCGCCGCGCTCGCGCGCTACTACAGGTGCGTGTACTGTGTACTGTGTACTGTGTACTGTGTACTGTACGCTGTACGTACCTGCGCGCGCTGGCCAGCCTGGCCGTGCCGCGCCACACGTGGGCGCTGCTGGCGCGCCGCGACGCGCTCTCCGCGCACCACCTGCTCGCCGCGCTCGCGCGCTACTACAGGTGCGTGTACTGTGTACTGTGTACTGTGTACTGTGTGCTGTACGCTGTACGTACCTGCGCGCGCTGGCCAGCCTGGCCGTGCCTGTGTACAATGCGTGTACAGTTTGCTGTCGCCCCAGGAAACCAAGCTTCCTGGCAACATCATATGTACACTGTCGTGTTAAATTGTATTCAGATGTACTTATGTATATACGCACAAACTGTATTGAACATCCAGCGTGGTATGTAATAATATATTATATTTATTATGAAACCTGAACATCATGTAATTTACGTTACATGCCATAGTGATGTCCATATGTGATCCATAATAGTCATTTGCAATAAATTCAAATTCAATATTCATTTCTTCATGTAGGACATAATTTTAATAGACAATTGTGTATTTACAGCAACCTCCGCGCGGACCCGGCCCCATTCTCCGACCACTTGCATTCGTCGTCTCTGGGCGCATCCGCCATCATCACACCGGCAGCGCGGCCTGGGAAACTGCTGGTTAGGCAGGAAGAGGTAAATAAAGAATTGTTCATATTATTTCATTTAGACTTTTTTGCACTCTTCTCATCTAATTCCAATAATTTTATTTTTCTTCAGTTTAACGTTATATATATTAAGATCTTTTTTTCTTCTATTTTTTATTTCTTTCTAAATTTAGGAGATTAGCCGGAGCAAACAGACAGACGGACAAAAATTTTAAAAAATGTTATTTTGGTATGTGTACCGTATTTATATTAATATGCATGTAGTAAAAAACGGTTATTTCAATATTACAAACAGACACTCCAATTTTATTTATATATATAGATTAAACTGTTTGTAAAAGTCTTGATTTTCCAAATATTACTTATTTTTATTTATTTATTAAAGGAAAACCAATGCTAACTGTACTTTGAATCAATATAAAAAACATACTATGCCACTGACAAGCTTTCACAAATAACATCATATTTATTGTGTTAAATTTGACATAATATCATATAAAAGCAACAGCACATTATAAAATTAACAAATTTAAAATATAAATTATTGTATATGTGTTAGGTGGAAGCAACAGCACATTATAAAATTAACAAATTTAATATATAAATTTGTACGAGCTAGCATCGTACATTATTTCGCAACATTAACATTTTATTTTACATTTCACATTTCATTAAAATCAGTTCGCATTCGGTCATCAAGATTACAATCATTAATCAGTTATAGTTAAGTTTCAATATACAGTTTTAATCAAGTTTCTATCAGTATCATTTATCAGTTTTACCTATCAGAATCTTTATAGTTTCGGTACAACCCGACCATTGGTCCTTCGAGCCGGATCTGAACCAGCGACCTATGGATTTACCGACAACAACAACAACAAAATTATTGTATATGTGTTAGGTGGAAGCGATGATAGCAGCCCTGAAGTTGATTGCGGCGGTAGCGCGGGAAGATGAAGCCGCTTGCGCCAACATCTGTGAGAACCTGCAGTGGGACGCCGTTAATAACATGTTCGGTTAGTACTACCTTACTTTACAGATTAATACTGATAAATTTGATATCATTACATATAAAGACAACAACACTTATTATTACTTGAGTAAAGATTGTTTATTTATTTATTTATTTATTGGCTTTTTTGCCAACAAATTGGTACACAAAGTCAACCTTTGGGATGTGCAGAGATACTTGAATGCGGTTAATAGAATTATATAATAATAAAAAATACACATAAATACGTACATACATTAATGGAATTGACCTACTTTTTAATGCAATAAATACACTTACATATTATGTATAAGATTTCTATTAGATTTTGATTAGTATACAGTTTTTTCAGTTTACTTGAATGAAGATTATTCATGTTCGTGTGGTAGGTCTGATCTGCTGCCACATCCCGCTGCAGCTGAAGGCGCAGCTGTGCGTGACGCTGGCGGCGCTGGGAGCCACCGCCGCCACCGCCGGCCGCGTGTGGGCCGCGCTCGACCACGCGCGGCTCGTCTCCGCCGCCAACGACAAGCGCGCCCTCTACGCGGAGCTGCAGGAGGTACTTACCCTTGACTTGACTTGACGCTGGCGGCGCTGGGAGCCACCGCCGCCACCGCCGGCCGCGTGTGGGCCGCGCTCGACCACGCGCGGCTCGTCTCCGCCGCCAACGACAAGCGCGCCCTCTACGCGGAGCTGCTAGGAGGTACTTACCCTTGACTTGACTTGACGCTGGCGGCGCTGGGAGCCACCGCCGCCACCGCCGGCCGCGTGTGGGCCGCGCTCGACCACGCGCGGCTCGTCTCCGCCGCCAACGACAAGCGCGCCCTCTACGCGGAGCTGCAGGAGGTACTTACCCTTGACTTGACTTGACGCTGGCGGCGCTGGGAGCCACCGCCGCCACCGCCGGCCGCGTGTGGGCCGCGCTCGACCACGCGCGGCTCGTCTCCGCCGCCAACGACAAGCGCGCCCTCTACGCGGAGCTGCAGGAGGTACTTACCCTTGACTTGACTTGACGCTGGCGGCGCTGGGAGCCACCGCCGCCACCGCCGGCCGCGTGTGGGCCGCGCTCGACCACGCGCGGCTCGTCTCCGCCGCCAACGACAAGCGCGCCCTCTACGCGGAGCTGCAGGAGGTACTTACCCTTGACTTGACTTGACGCTGGCGGCGCTGGGAGCCACCGCCGCCACCGCCGGCCGCGTGTGGGCCGCGCTCGACCACGCGCGGCTCGTCTCCGCCGCCAACGACAAGCGCGCCCTCTACGCGGAGCTGCAGGAGGTACTTACCCTTGACTTGACTTGACGCTGGCGGCGCTGGGAGCCACCGCCGCCACCGCCGGCCGCGTGTGGGCCGCGCTCGACCACGCGCGGCTCGTCTCCGCCGCCAACGACAAGCGCGCCCTCTACGCGGAGCTGCAGGAGGTACTTACCCTTGACTTGACTTGACGCTGGCGGCGCTGGGAGCCACCGCCGCCACCGCCGGCCGCGTGTGGGCCGCGCTCGACCACGCGCGGCTCGTCTCCGCCGCCAACGACAAGCGCGCCCTCTACGCGGAGCTGCAGGAGGTACGTCCATATACGTACCCTGACTTGACCGGGTCGTCCGCTGGTCCTTATGGACCGCCGGGTACGGGCCTCGAGCTGTGCTCTTACCCGGCCGTACTGCTGGGGTGTGCCAGCCCAGTGTCGTTCTTTTACCGGCCGGCCGGGCGTTATGTGATGAGAATCGATTGTCGCTCGCCGAGCCGGCTTAACGTCTCAACGTCACGCAACACGATCGCCCCGTGGAGAGTAGGTCGCGAGTTGCGTCCGGAACTATTGACTGTATGGATGCCTAAAACATCAGAGGTGTAACGTACACGTTGCCGATCAAACGAGTCCTTAGACCTACAAGAATAAAAATACTTTGATTTGGTATACTTTAGGTTTATTATCGTTAGTATATGCTACGTCGTTTGGCACAGGTGGAGTGTCGCCTGGAGGAGTACCCGTTGTCGCGCGCGTTCCTGACGCTGCTGGTGTCGCTGGCGGCGGCAGCGCCAGTACCACGCGCGCTGGGAGCAGGCGGACGAGCGCCCGGACTGGATCCGTACCTGCACTACGTGCTCGAGCGGCTCGCACTGCCCGCGCCGCACCGCCCGCACGCACGCCCGCACGAGCGCTGGCAGGTGACACACGCACACTACTCACTGCACACTACCTGCACTACTACTTAATTGAACAATATGTAATGTATAATTAGTAAAAATCACGGGATCTTACCACGTTTTATATTTATTTGCTGAGTTCCCGATATTTCGGTAGTGTTTCAGCCACCATGATCACGGGTAAACTGAAGAGCAGCGGGTAGATGGAAAATGAAATCTTTTTGTGGGCAGACATATGCGTCTACCTTCACACATCTTCGTTTGTTGCTACTACTGGAACTCGCTCGATATTCATCTCGGCAAACTGTACTCACAGTATCTTTACGTACATTTAAGACACTTTTCGATCGCGTTTTTTGTTTGTGATTTTTACTAATTATACGTATAAATAATGACCGCGTCAAGTTTAAAACAGTATATAATATCTATACAGTATTATAACAGTATATCACATATATGTATATAAACAATAGATTATTTTGTCACAGGTGTTGTCACTGTGCTTCAGTCTGTTCGCACGGTGGCTTGACCAGTATGAACCGAGTGAAGCGGACTTCCCACCAATGGGCCGCGACCCAGACATGAATCCACCACCCGGTTTCCGTATATTAATGCAGTTGCACACGAAATCAGAACTATTACGGTTGCTGCTCACCTCGCTGGATGAAGCTCAGGATCTGCTAGATAAGCAACCCCAGCCGGGAAGGGTTAGTCAGTTATTTTTAATGTCCTGTTGTTTTGACTTTTTAGTACCTTTGTTTGAGCTAGCGTCGTACATTATTTCGCAAAGTTAACTATTCATATTTCACCAAAAGTCAGTTCGCAATGAGCAATAAAGAACGCCGCGCGTACTCATTTACTAATAAGCAGTTTTAGTTATCAGTATCTTTTTTATTATCATTTATGTATCTTTTTATAGTACACACGTTTTATAGTTACAATCCGAACGTTGGTCCTTCGAGCCGGATTTCTTCCAGCAACCTATGCATTTGTTGTTACTTTCATGTGGTCCTTTTAATGGGATTTGCTTTCGATGTTACCATAGTTTCTAAAATTAATTATAATGTCATTGAATATAGGAGTACGTGGAACAGAGTCTGGTCAGCGTGCTACATATACTGGAGCGCGGATTAGCGCTGGAACGCGCGTTTGTGGACGCCGCCGCCGCTGCTGGCCGCGCAGTCATCCTCGTCGGACTTTCTAAGCTCATACTCGGTTAGTATTATAGAAAATCATTTAAGATGTAATAAATTGGAAATCGATTATAGACATAAGTACTTACAGTCATCGAGCTTGTTTGTGTTCTAAACCTAGCTGGTAATTTCGTCAACATATTCATCTCAGCATGTACTACAATGGTGGCAAATAAACATGCGGCCCATCTTATGGTAAATGGTTACCGCACCCTATAGACACCTGAAATACCAGAGTTGTCACGTGCGCCCTGCCAATCCTTAAGAAACCTTAATGACCTACTATAACCTGGGGTTTTTCAAGAAACGTTTCTTGAAAAACCGTAGGTTGTAGTCTCTTGAGAAAACCTCGGCAAGTAGTTCATTTTACAATTTAGGAAGCTACACAAGCTCAATCAGGCGATTTGGGTGGTTTGGTTTTTTGTTTGCACCTTGTGACATGTAACAAATCGTTCTTTTAAACTCTAACGGTCTTATTACAAAAAATCTGTTAAAACTCGGACGAAACGTGGTCTAAATGGTCGTGGTTTAAACCATTCCTAAAGTTAATACTTGGAATAAACCTAACATTATTACGAATCCAGATCTAACAGAGGACTACTTAGCACTACTGTATTCCATACAGAAATCAGTCACTCATGTCTGTCACCGTACAATTACGTTCCATTTTACTTTTATTAGTTCAAAGAAAAATGTATAAACTAAAAATAAATTTATTTCTATTTATCTATGTCTTCATTATAACTATTTCATTAATATATAATATTTATTAATGTATTATTAGGCTGAAGATCTTTTAAATTATACCTCGGCAAGAAAAGGAACGGCGAGATATTTTTATTGGATCGTTCGAATGATGACTATTTCAAAGTAAAATGAGTGAAAAAATAACAATTAACGTCTTTTATATGTTTTTATTGTCGTAAAATTTGCTTTAAATATTTTTAGTTAATATATTTTTAATTTAGATATTTTTCAAAAACTCAACTAACAATAGATTTTAAAATGGTGGTTTGGTTTTCTGTTAAACTGCATCGCAGGTTGTGACATGACGAACAATTTAGAGATAAACTTCATTTTGTAAACTCATTGGTGAATGGTTTATTACCAGATTTATCTTTTTGTAATAAGGCCGTAAGTGTACCCCGGAGGAAGCTTGTGTATTAGATGATTGTGGGTGGTCTGGTGTCCTCTTTGCACTTAGTGATACGTAGAAATGTCGTTCGACAGCTCCTGAGGGCCCGGACGATAGCGACCGGCTGGTGACGTGCTGCAAGGTGCTGCGGCACACCGCCACGCAGGGAGCTGCCGCCGCTCGAGCCGTGGCGCTGCTGTCGCGGGCGCTGCAGCCGCCGGCCGCCGCCAGACACCTGCTCGCGTCCGTCACGCGGCGCCACTCGCTCGCCGCCGACATGAGGTGCCCGCCGCCACACGCACTCACTCCCACACTGCAGCTGCTGCAGGCGCTGCTGTCGCGGGCGCTGCAGCCGCCGGCCGCCGCCAGACACCTGCTCGCGTCCGTCACGCGGCGCCACTCGCTCGCCGCCGACATGAGGTGCCCGCCGCCACACGCACTCACTCCCACACTGCAGCTGCTGCAGGCGCTGCTGTCGCGGGCGCTGCAGCCGCCGGCCGCCGCCAGACACCTGCTCTGCAGATGCTGTAGGCTGTAGGCATTGTAGGTGATACAGGTGCTGCACTAGCTGCAGGTGCTGCATGCGCTGCAAACTCGTTCACGCGGCGCCACTGTCTGCCGATATTAAATTGCCCGTTTACATGTAATAACCTATTATTAAATTCGCGGCAAAACAAAGTGTATAAAATTTACACTTCCCGCCGAATGTAAGACCCATAAATACACAGTTATTGCTTAATGACGCCGGCCGTAAATTTTCGTTAATGATACATGAGGTTTTTAGCCGCCACACGCACTATAACAGTGGACTCGAAATTACAATGGGGGCCCCATATTTCAAAATTGGCCAATAGACTCAGTTCAGTTGCATATGCACTTAGAAGAATTAGGCAATTAACAGACGTGGCGACGGCTAAAGACACCTGTATACTTTAGTTATTTCCATAGCATTATGTCATATGGTATACTACTGTCGCGGGCGCTAAAGCAGCCGATATAAATACTATATTTATTTTACAAAAGAGAGCCGCCACACGCACACGTTCTATTTATGGTATGGGTTCAAGAGAGTCATTACGTCAGTGTTTTAAAGACTCAAATATCATCACCGTTACTTCACAATACATTTATGAGAATATCATGTATACGCGGAAGAATTTAGACAGTGCTTTAGAAAACTTAAAGACTGTACAAATAGAAACTTACGCAATAAAAATAAGCCGCCGCCAATTTTACCTCAATGCCGCCGCACAAAGTCAGCCGCCACAATTCATTCTATGCTGCAATTGCGTAAGATTTTATAATAAACTGCCGGCCGCCGCCAGACATCTGCTCGCGTCCGTCAGAGAGGCCGCCGACATTCAAATCTTATATTAAACAATTTTTGCATGTAAGAAAGCCTATTACAGGATAGACGAATTCATAGAAGACAACATATCAAGTAAATAATTAGTTTATTAGCATACAACGTTATAATTTGTTTATCTCATTGCTTTCTTGATTCAATTATTTTAGAAATATGAAAGCGTAGCGGGTTTTGTATTAATTGCAGCGGCGCATTCTTATGTGAAATGTGATACTATAAACATCAGATGGCAATTGTGAGTAGCTATGACGTGGTCTGGTGTTTTGAGTAGTCATGCTCACTAAAATGTCCAGACTTGTGGCGGCGTGGTGGGCCGGGTCATTGCCGGCCGCCCTAAAATGCTGGTCCGTCACGCGGCGCCAGTGCTCGCCGCCGACATGAGGTGGCCGCCACACGCTCATCCCACACTGCAGCTGCTGCGTGAACGGCCGCCGCTGCTTGTCAGCGGACTGGTCGCCGCTCTAATCACTATGACTGATTTCCCTTATTAATTGTTTAACCAGTGCTCGCGTTCATGTATTCAATATTTTTTCTTTTTGACGTATTTAATTGAATTAGTGCTAATCGGTGGTTTGTCGCACACACTTAAACCGCCGCCAATTCGCGTAACGTAAGAATAAATTATTTAAACACGCACTCACTCCCACACTGCAGTTGCTGCAGGTTCTTCTTGTGATGAGACAGCATTCGCGTGTCACGCGGCGATTAAAAAAACTGTTATGACTATTCAAGCCGCCGGCCGCCGCCAGAAGTGCTTCAATGTAAGTTTATTTGAATAAATGATTTTCTATTCTATTCTATTCGCGGGCGTTACAGCCGCGCCAAAAGCTTGCGTCAATAGGAGACCAACAGGATACATTTTGTTGCATATGACTTATCTTTTTAGATGTATATTATATAAATGAATGTTACAACAGGCACGCGTTTGTGGAGTGCTTGGAGGCTGAAGAGTGGGCTCAAGGCGAGGAGGGCGCAGCCATCCGTGAAGCGAAAGAGGGCGTGGTGGCGCTACTGCTGCAGGTTCTACCCACCGCGCCGCCCAACCTCGCTCATTTCCTGCTAGGATATCAGATTACAGAAGATGTAAGTATTAAAAGAAAAAGAAGTCAATTTCTACAGAAATAGATATGTCAGTTCCACAAACTTCAATACTAATGGAATTAACACACGAACCAAAAGTATGCAATTTGAATCACGGTAGTACAACGATTGTCTTTACTAGAGGCATTGCATTTTTAAGAAAGACACTCATGTACCGTGGCAGTATTAAATGGTACTATTCGTAGAAGAGTGAAACGGTTTCATTACTAACGAATCAGCGTTATGTTTAGATACATTTCGATTGTTAATATTAGTCTCCCCTGTGCAGGTAAGCCGCAGTGCGTTGCACGAGGCAGGCGCGGCAGGCAGCCCGCGCACGTGCTTGCACGCAGCCCTCGACCTGCTCGACGCGCACCTCGCCCAAGCGCCCGCACACCGCAGCGCGCGACATCCGCCCGCACACTCGTACGTACTCCCCTCCCTGTGTAGTGCGGCACGTGAACCGCCAGACACCTGCTCTGCAGATGCTGTAGCATACGTGGTGATACTGCACGCGCCCATGCATAAACAACGCGCGCCGCTCCGCCTGCAGATTCTTTTTAGATGTATATTATATAAATGAATGTTACAACAGGCGTGTAGTGCTGGCACGTGAACCGCAGCACGCCCACGTGACTGCAAAGCGTCCGGCGCTACTGCTGCGTCTACCCATCCGCGCCGCACACTCGCTCATTTCGCTACTCAGATCCCTGTGTAGTGCGAAATAGTACGTTCCACAAACTTCAATACTAATGGAATTAACACACGAACCAAAAGTATGCAATTTGAATCACGGTACAACGATTGCCCGCATTCGTAGAAGAGTGAAACGGTTTCATTACTAACGAATCAGCGTTATGTTTAGATACATTTCGACGCGCGCAGTGTCCGCCTTTGCACGCAGCCCTCGACCTGCTCGACGCGCACCTCGCCCAAGCGCCCGCACACCGCAGCGCGCGACATCCGCCCGCACACTCGTACGTACTCCCCTCCCTGTGTAGTGCGGCACGTGAACCGCAGCACGCCCACGTGACTGCACGCGTCCGCACACCGCGTCATCCGCCCGCACACTCGTACGTACTCCCCTCCCTGTGTAGTGCGGCACGTAAACCGCAACATGCGCCGTCCGCCCGCACTCTCGTACCTCCCACGTGTGGTGCGGTACGTGTACCGCAGCGCGCACACGTGCCCGCACACCTCGACGCGCACCGTCTACACGCACACTCATACGCACCGTGATAGCGCGTGGATGAACGTGTCGTTTAAAGCCAGCATATGCCCTTCAATTGTACACTGTTCTTAATAAAGAAATTTATGGTAATACAATTGTAGTGTAATATTTAACTAATGTATGTTGTGATCGATACAATCGGAATGCTATGATATATAAATATCAAGACTGCTTTCCAACTTGTATAATATACAATCATGTATGAGTCTGCTGTACAATCTGGATGCTATGATATATTAATGATAAGTCCGGAATTCTTTTCTACTTGATTTAATGTGTACACGACGCTTGAGCGTAGACTAATGGGCGTTATATGAGGAGCGGTGTAAAACACTGACGGCTGTACGGTGACGTACCGTACACAATGTTCAGAACAATCTATCACATGTGTTCGCAGTGAAGCCGATGCACTAGTGGAGAGTTGTTACCGACTGGTATATAGCCTGGTGTCCCGACCCGTCACCTCAGCCCCAGCGTTACGACTACTGCGCGCGCGGGACTACTTCCTAGCCAGACATGTAAAAGCGGTCGTCAATCTTGACGTAAGTAATTACATTATATGTGTATATATGTATTTACAGGGTAATGTTGAACTTATTGATTTTCTTTGAAATTTTATTTAAATAAGTACGAGTAGTGAGGCAAAATACTCGTAAGTGGTTATGATAAGTAATAACATTATTGATCTCTAATGTTATAAGTTGCGATTCGATCAATATTTTGTGGATTTGATGGTAGCTTCCGATGGTAGAGTCCACCAAAATTACAGAAATTGGGTAGAGTAAGCAAGTTATATAAAGACAGACAGACAGAATTGGAGTCGTGGCGTATCAAGGTTTGATGAGTATGACGGAATATCGTAGGAAGTGACGAATGGTCCACCGACAAGAGCGTCGTTCTTAAATTAAGAATGATGTATCATGCCTTAAAAATGAGCCCTGAATTACAATGTTGCCTAGGGCTCGTTTTAGCCTTAATCCGCCTCTTTAGCTCTAATCTCTGTTCTTGAAAGAAAAATAGGTTCAAATGTGATACTGTTGACTTGTACGTGTGTGGTGTGACTGTCGGCAGACGGCGTCTGTGGTGACGGTGTCGGCGCGGTCGTGGGTGGTGCGAGCGTGCGCGTGCGAGGCCGGCGCCGCCGCCGCCGCGCGACACCACGCCGCGCTCTCCGCGCTGCTCACCGCGCTCACACACACCGCGCACCACCCCACGCAGGTACCCCGCACTACCGCACTACCGCAGCGCTACCGCACTCACCACTGTACACTACACACACGATGCGGCGCCGCCGCCGCCGCGCGACACCACGCCGCGCTCTCCGCGCTGCTCACCGCGCTCACACACACCGCGCACCACCCCACGCAGGTACCCCGCACTACCGCACTACCGCACTACCGCACTCACCACTGTACACTACACACACGAGGCCGGCGCCGCCGCCGCCGCGCGACACCACGCCGCGCTCTCCGCGCTGCTCACCGCGCTCACACACACCGCGCACCACCCCACGCAGGTACCCCGCACTACCGCACTACCGCACTACCGCACTCACCACTGTACACTACACACACGAGGCCGGCGCCGCCGCCGCCGCGCGACGCCGCGCTCTCCGCGCTGCTCACCGCGCTCACACACACCGCGCACCACCCCACGCGCCGCACTACCGCTACCGCACTCACCACTGTACACTACACACACGAGGCCGGCGCCGCCGCCGCCGCGCGACACCACGCCGCGCTCTCCGCGCTGCTCACCGCGCTCACACACACCGCGCACCACCCCACGCAGGTACCCCGCACTACCGCACTACCGCACTACCGCGCACACCGCACTCCAGTACGCACACGAGGCCGGCGCCGCCGCCGCCGCGCGACACCACGCCGCGCTCTCCGCGCTGCTCACCGCGCTCACACACACCGCGCACCACCCCACGCAGGTACCCCGCACTACCGCACTACCGCACTACCGCACTCACCACTGTACACTACACACACGAGGCCGGCGCCGCCGCCGCCGCGCGACACCACGCCGCGCTCTCCGCGCTGCTCACCGCGCTCACACACACCGCGCACCACCCCACGCAGGTACCCCGCACTACCGCACTACCGCACTACCGCACTACCGCACTCACCACTGTACACTACACACACGAGGCCGGCGCCGCCGCCGCCGCGCGACACCACGCCGCGCTCTCCGCGCTGCTCACCCACACCGCGCACCACCCCACGCAGCCCCGCACTACCGCACATCATCATCATCATCATCATCATCATCATCTCAGACCGGAAGACGTCCACTGCTGACCAAGGATTTCCACGACGATCGGTCCTGCGCTGCTCGCGTCCATCCCCTTCCAGCAATCTTGACCATATCGCCGGTCCACCTTGCTGGAGGCCGGTCCGTGGTTGCCATTCGAGGACTTTATTGCTCCAACGGGCATATATCCTACGAGCTATGTGTACTACCCATTGCCACTTCAGTTTTGCAATTCTTCGGGCTATGTCGGTCACTCTGGTTCTTCTGTGGATCTCCTCATTTCTGATTCGAGCACGCAAAGAAACTCCGAGCATAGCCCTTTCCATTGCCCTCTGAGTGACTCTGAGCGTATTCATGAGGCCCATTGTTAGTGAACCTTGGTAATTTATTTTAATTGTATACCATACCAATTTTTCGGAGTTGGTAGTTATGGTTGTATACGTGCGTTATAGTAATTACCTTTTTTTATATGCAACATAGTGTTTACGTGATCGTGTGCGTATAGTGTAGTGATAAGTTGGTATCCAGGAGTGGGAGTGGTGTCTGATCCGTCGTACGCTGGAGTCGCTGCCGGTGAGCGTGGAGCCGGCGACTGAACCACGCTGGGAGCTGTTCCACACGCACCAGCTCAGGACCGCCATCGCTTCCTGCGATCTACCCACAGGTATGCCTTATAAATGACTCATACCATGATCCACATTATGAATACATAATTTAGAACGTTAAGTTGCATGAAGGTTGTAAAATTTCTGTAAATGTCAAGTTTGCTGATTGGTTACAATTGTAGACTCATTCTATTGCAATTATTTGTGAATTAAAGACCCAATAGCGTCGTGAAATTGTGGTTATGGTAATATGTGGCATGTCATATCCAGGGGCTGGTGGAAAGCGTATCAGTGTGTCTCGATTGCACGCGGTGCTAGCGCGCGAGCTGGCCGCGCTGCACGCCACCGCGCCGCAGCGCACGCTCGTCGCGCACGAGATACAGAAGGTACGTGGGACACCGAGTGTACGAGATACAGAAGGTACGTGGGACACCGAGTGTACGAGATACAGAAGGTACGTGGGACACCGAGTGTACGAGATACAGAAGGTACGTGGGACACCGAGTGTACGAGATACAGAAGGTACGTGGGACACCGAGTGTACGAGATACAGAAGGTACGTGGGACACCGAGTGTACGAGATACAGAAGGTACGTGGGACACCGAGTGTACGAGATACAGAAGGTATGTGGGACACCGAGTGTACGAGATACAGAAGGTACGTGGGACACCGAGTGTACGAGATACAGAAGGTACGTGGGACACCGAGTGTACGAGATACAGAAGGTACGTGGGACACCGAGTGTACGAGATACAGAAGGTACGTGGGACACCGAGTGTACGAGATACAGAAGGTACGTGGGACACCGAGTGTACGAGATACAGAAGGTACGTGGGACACCGAGTGTACGAGATACAGAAGGTACGTGGGACACCGAGTGTACGAGATACAGAAGGTACGTGGGACACCGAGTGTACGAGATACAGAAGGTACGTGGGACACCGAGTGTACGAGATACAGAAGGTACGTGGGACACCGAGTGTACGAGATACAGAAGGTACGTGGGACACCGAGTGTACGAGATACAGAAGGTACGTGGGATACCGAGTGTACGAGATACAGAAGGTACGTGGGATACCGAGTGTACGAGATACAGAAGGTACGTGGGACACCGAGTGTACGAGATACAGAAGGTACGTGGGACACCGAGTGTACGAGATACAGAAGGTACGTGGGACACCGAGTGTACGAGATACAGAAGGTACGTGGGACACCGAGTGTACTAGATACAGAAGGTACGTGGGACACCGAGTGTACTAGATACAGAAGGTACGTGGGACACCGAGTGTACGAGATATAGAAGGTACGTCCAGCTCGTGGGATAACGAGTGTACGAGATACAGAAGGTATGTCTAGCTCGTGGGACACCGAGTGTACGAGACTTTGTGTGCCAGTTCTTGGTTTGAGTAATCATAGTTTCTTTGTACCATTATAAGTAGTGTTCACAATCCATTTATAATAGTTTTAAATACAGGTACTGGACTACGTGACAGAAGTTAACAAGCAAAGGAATCTGGCCGCTACGATCACACACTACTACGACTCGTGGCGACAACTCACCGAGATACTATTCTGCGTCGCACCAGAGGACATACTCAACTTGGAGTCAAGGAAAAACCTGCTACTCAATATACTCCAAGATCTACTGAATAAGATACCGCCAGCCGAAGTGCTGCCACAGCTCGGGAACCTGGCATCGGGGACCGTTCTCCTACTTCTAGTCAACCTCCGTCACTGTTACATCCTCCAAAAACGCGAATCAAATATGAACTCAACCGATTTTGAAACCACATTCTTTGGACCGTCAAATCAGATAATGCAAACGAAATCTTTAACGCTAAAGTTCATATTGCACAAGATCTTAAGCTGGATATTGGTATCGGGCGGCTCAACGCAGAAGATGCGAGTGAATCTCTACGGGGCACTATTGAATTACTTAAATATTGTTAATTTGAGGGCAAGCCCTGCTGAGCCCGAAGAGGAAGTGAATTCTACATATGTGAGCCGGTTGGATAGTTCGAAAGCGAGGCCCAGCAAGGAGGAGTCGACATTGAAATCAATGGTGATAGATGTTATTAGTAGTTTTGGTGATAATTTGTGCTCGATAGTGTGCAGTGACTGTATAAACGCCGGACATGATGTATGCCGAATGGTAGCGCTGTCTTGCCTCGACACATTGATAGAGATTAACCCGAGAACTGAATGGATGAATACTCTCACTAATCAAGGGTATTTGAGGAGTCTGATCGATAGTCTGCTTCAGGATGATGAAGGATTGAAAGAGGTTAGTGCTATCTGTTTTATAAAAATAATTTCTTTTTTTATATCATATCATACATTGCTTATACGTTTTAACAATATTAAATATTATGTCCAGTGTATTCAGCTTGCATACAAATTTTTATGTTCATATCGTCCTAGTATTGATAAATAATTAAATTAAAATAACATATGTTTATACAGTTTAAATTTTAATTTTGTATTTATTAGAATTACTGGTACAGATATCTATTACTGACACAGAAAATTATTTATAAGACGAATATAAATAATTTTAATGGACTACGTCAATCTGGCTCGAAGGACCAAATAATTAGAAAGTTGCTAATACAATAGTTTAATACAGTTTTAAGTTTTCAAGACCACGCCATACAAATTAATTATATTGAATCTTAACATTCGAGTGAGGTCTATCCGGCTCGAAGGACCAAAAAATTTTTTAAACTTAGCAGTTTCAGCATACAATATTTTAATAGAATAATTTTAAGCTTCCACGACTACTCCATACGAATAAACTACATTGGATCTTAATTGTAACTGTGTGTGAGATAAATATCTATCGTTTAATTGCTGGGAATATCTAATAAGGCTGTGATGTTGACCGGTCGCGCCGCAGACACTGGAGCCGAACCCGAAGTCGCTGCGGGTGCTGTACGTGTACGAGTCGAAGATGGCGCTGCTGATGAAGATCGCGGGCAGCCGCGCCGGCGCGGAGACCGTGGTGGCGCAGGGCGCGCTCGCCTGCCTCGCTACCATGCGCGCGCTCGCAGCCCACCCCGACACGCTCGCCCCGCACCACGCGCACCCACAACACCAGTTCCTGCCCTCCGTCGCCGCCAGGTACCGTGACCTCTGCTCCGCTACACGCTCGCAACTATTGAGATGGAACGCTCGAGAGCCTGGACTGGCATCGTTCTCAGTCGCCACTGAGTACTGTTGAGGTCTGGTCCGCATCAGACTCTCCAATGTTGAGACAGAACGCTCGAGAACCTGGACCGGCATAGTTTTCAGTCGCCACTAGGTACGGTTGAGGTCTGATGCCGCTCTAGTTTCAAGTGTTGAGACGAAACGATTGAGAGCCTGGACTGGCGTCGTCCTCCGTCGTCACCAGATACAAGTGAAGTCTGATGCCGCTTCAGACTCTCAAATGTTGTAACAGAACGCTCGACAATCTGGACTGGCATCGTCGTCACCACTAGATACTGTTCAGGTCTGGTCCGCTACAGGGTCTCAAGTGTTGTGTCGGAACGCTCAAGTATCTAGACCGACATAGTCCTCGCCACCAGGTACTGCTGAGGTGCGATGCCGCTCTAGGCTCTCAGATGTTGAAAAGCAACGCTCGAGAGCCTGGACCGGCATTGGATCGTCAGTAGACTCCCCTCTAGTTCGGTCTTGACAGCTAACAGTTGCAGCGATTTTGACGTAATTTGCTATACTTCTAGACCAAGTTAATGTAAATGTAATATATAAAATTCTCGTCACTGGGATCCTAAATGTTAAGACTGAAGACTTCCCCGATCCATTATATCAGCACCGCCTCGGTCCGAAACCGCTCCAAATTCTCAAGTGTTAAAACAGAAGACAAAATTGTCCATCCGACTCTTAGTATCAGCTCAGATTTGTTGTAATTTGTTATATTTGGAGAGCAAGAGTAATTGTCAAAAAATATTTTTAACATTTTATTATTATTACGCGTATGAAAATGCTAATGAAATTCTATATTTTTCGTTGTTAGTAAAGTTTGTCATTTACTATTTTTTTAATCTTTTTTGAGTACACTTTGTGTTAGTGAATAGTTGTGCAATTATGTATATATTACAGTATTTTTGGTTTAGATTCCGTCAAATAATAGTGCCTGCGCTAGCGCTGTGCGACGCGCTGCTGACGACGCTGGGGACTGACAACCACAGCTGCCTGGTGCACGTGACGCACCTGCTGCTCGCACACCTCGAGTGCGTGGACATGGTGCTCAGGTAGCGTACTATTACTATCTGATACAGTGCGTTACGTATGAAAGATAGTCTAAAAAAATATGACTATTCAAAAGTGCTTACATTAAGTATATTTGAGTTAAGATTGTTTCTATTTCCATACATAAATTTTACTTCATAAATTTTATTTATTTTAAAAGTTAAATATTTATTAATTTTTAATTGCATATGCATAATACATTTTTATTTTATTTACATATAATAAATTAACTATACACGCATAGATTATGTTTAAAGATTGTAGCAATGCCGTAGATGACTCATACCATATTTTACTACTACCTACTACAACTTGTCTATTACAAAAGAGTTCAAACGTCTGTCAGTTTGTTTAGGATATTAAAAAGTAATAGTAAAATAACGGTATTGTCACAACAGAGCGGCGCACCCGGACTCGCCTGTGGAGCTGCTGACGGAGGTGGAGGCGCTGACGTCGGTGGTGTCCCGAGCGTCGGACCGACACGTGGTGGGCGGCGCGGAGCCGCCAGCCGCCGCCGGCCTGCTGCGGCTGCAGGCGCTCATGCTGGCGCTGCTGGCGCGGTTCACACACCCGCCCGCCGCGCCCGCCCGCGACTCCCTCTACTACAAGGTACGACCGGCACACACGAGACCGGCAGGTGTACTGCTGCGGTACACACGAGGTATACCCACACGCAATGTCACAAGTACCACTTTCGCTAATTGCTTACAGCATTCGTTACACTATTTAAAATTAATCTTGGTATTTTGTACATTTTTTATAACAACTTTAAAAGTATGTGTCATAAAAATATAAGATAATTAAATTCAAATCGAAAACTGACAGATGGATGGCACAATTATCTGCTGCATAGTCAGATGTCCTCCATTTTGCAATGATAATTAAATAGTACAAAAAGAAGACAAATAAAGAAAGAAAAACATTTATTGACACCAAAATAGGCACTAAAGTAAGCACAATTGAAGTACGTGGAAATACGCTCACTGGCGTCGCGCGCGGTGATTATCATTCTTTGTCTACATTTACGTGAACAAGAATGTTCGTGTAAATGTCCTGCGTGAAACACTATTCCCATTTGAAAGAGCGTCCATGTAAAGACAGCTATTCTCCCAGATCGTGTGCAACCTGATAATGTACGCGCGCAACGTGATGGACTGCGAAGGCTCCCGCGTGGTGGTCCGCGCGGCGCTCGCGGGCGGAGAGCCGGCGGCCGCGCCCAGCTGCGGACACCTGGTGCGGCTCGTGCAGCTGCTCCTGCAGCGCTTGCAGCTGCTCGACAAGCTGCTCGCCACGCTGCACCATCAGCTGCATGCTGTAGCCACCATGACGCTCGACGGTAACCTCGCTTTGAATCTTCACACGTTTCGTCTGGTGCCAGTCCTTTAATACGTTTAAACACATTTAATAGTAACTTGTGGTTGTTGAAAATCCACGGAAGTGTTTTACAGTATTAGTTTATTGTTCTCCGTCATCGTAAAGTAATTAACTTAAATAACAAACGATTTTTAATATAATACACATTTACATTGTTGTCGCGTATATACAAAGTAACAATATCCTCAATGCTGATCAGATATGAGGAAGCTGATACTTGGTGACTTAAGCGTGTCCGCCGCGGAGTCGTGGTCCGGACTCGCTAAAACAGGGATTCTAATTCAATTCTACATTACATAAAGAGAGAAAGGCACATATACACTGTTTTCGTAAATATAGAAAGTAACAATATCGTCAATGGCGACCAGATATGAGGAAGCCAGTAACTGAACAGACGACGGAGGAGGCACCTTTCTCCTCTGTCGCCTGCTCCGTTACCAGCTCTCTACCGGGCGCTCAGGGCGGGGTTCGAGCGTATTCACGCTAAAGCAAAATTCTTTAGAGAAAGCTATATATTCAAATGTATACTGTTATTACACTATTATAAATTTACACTGGGGAAATATTTTTACTGGGGACCAGATATGAGGAAGCTGGTAACGGAGCAGGCGACAGAGGAGGACAGTGAGGGCGCAGAAAATGGAGACTTAAGCGTGTCCGCCGCGGAGACTTGGTCCGCGGCGGACACGCGCTCTCGCTGCGTACGCCTACTGTCGCGCCGCGGCCGCGCCCGTCGCGCTGCAATGCAGCGCTGCAGGCTCGCGCTGGAAGCAGCGCTGCAGCTGCTGTGGGCGCACCTGCACGTGTACCTGCGACTCACCGCCGCGCCGCAGCCAGTCGGCGCCCCAGACGACGGTAAGGCAGTTACTGTTGAGGATGTATGTATGAGTCTTCTGTGATCCACACAATCTGGATGCCTGGCTGATGTGACGGGTCGGGACACCAGGCTATATACTAGTTGATAACAACTCTCCACCAGTGCATCGGCTTCACTGCGAACACATGTGATAGAAATGTGATAGATTGTTCTGAACATTGTGTACGGTACGTCACCGTACAGCCGTTAGTGTTTTACACCGCTCCTCATATAACGCCCATACATACCATTTTCCCTTCAATACACCCAAATACAGACGAGTATCAGTCCACACTCAAGCGTCGTGTACTCAATAAATCAAGTTGGAAAACAGTCCGGAGTTATCATTAATGTGAGTATACGATGATTGAGTGTAGACTGATGCAGGTGAGTATTTGGTGTACTGAACGGAAAATGGTATGTATGGGGGTTATATGGACGTGGAGCGGTGTAAAATGCTGACGTAACGTATAATATAAATGAAATATCAGAAAATTTGTATCGTTGCGGAGAAGCGAACGAATAACAATAAAATGGCGGCAAGACGACTAGCTCTCAAAAAATCTGCGAGGCACTATAGTCGGACACGTATCTCCGTTTTGTTATAACGCACGTAAATTTTTATGGATAATAATGCATTAATGCAATCGTCTGCGCCAATTTTTTACCCTGGCGGGGTACCAGTGAAGGATGATCATGAGGTCATGGCAGTTAGGCCATCGCGGCAAATTCACCAGTAATTATTTATTTTATTTATTTATTCTTTAATGCACAATATAACTTGTACAAAGGCGAGCTTTATGCTTAATTAATTATCACAATGGTTTTCAGGTGGAAACACGTGGAGATCAGTCTGATATAGTACGTTGCTAGTAATGGGGCTACGCCTTCATTGTTAACGATCCCCTACCTCCCCAACCTCCACCGAGTTTATGTAATTCCATAATATACATGCTATGACGTTACTTACATTATTATAGTGTAATAATATTTACGTAACTAAATATTAATGAAATGAAATGAATGTTTATTTACAAAATACTGGTAATTGCACAGGGCAGATCTTACACAACAATTAATAAGGTGTTATGCAATATTTACCATTCAAGGTGTGTAAATTATTTAAAACCATAAAATTATTCAAACTACTACCAATATAAATAAATTTTTAAATTATAATTTAATTAGATTAATAGATATTAGAAAAATATATTGAATTTTCATAAATTACAGTTAGATATAAAATCTTCTACAGAATAAAAACAATTGTTAATTAAATATTTAAACAATTTAATTTTAAATTGAGCGTATGGTAATATTTTTACACTATCAGACAATTTATTGTATAATTTAATGGCCATGCAATAACAAATTCTTTGAATAATGTGAAGTCTCTGTGTCGGTATTATCAATTTATTTTGTATTCTTGGTCTTCGATTTTTAGAATTAATTTCAAATATATCAATATTTCTTTTTACAAATAAACACATTTCAAATATATATAGACATGGCAATGGTAAAATATTGTTTTCTTTAAACAATGGTTTATAGCTGTCTAAGAAATATGCACCGCACAACGCTCTGATACATTTCTTTTGTGCTCTAAATATGTTTATAGCATTAACCGAGTTACCCCACAGTATCAAACCATAGCGTATTTGTGGAGCAACATAGCCATGGTATGCCGAGTATGCAGCTTTTTCAGAAACAATTTGTCTTAAACGGTTTAGTACGAAAACAAATTTGTCAAGTTTTTTGCTAAGGTTTTCTACATGTTCTTTCCAGTTACAGAATTTGTCTATGTATATTCCTAAAAACTTTGCTGAGTCCACTTCCTTAACTAAGATATCTTTATAGTGTTGTAATTATATTAACATATAATTTTACACATATTTAATATATCTTATTATGTATGTTAGCGGTGTGCGTGGGGACAGCGTGGCGCGGCGTGGGCGGCGACGATCTGCCCGAGCTGCGCAAGGGGCTGGTGGCAGTCTTCAATGAACGGTTCACGGACCAGCTCATAGAAACATCCAAGGTAACACTTGTCTCACATGCTCTAGTCTTCAATGAACGGTTCACGGACCAGCTCATAGAAACATCCAAGGTAACACTTGTCTCACATGCTCTATGTTAGGGACTCCGACTAATCCCCCGTCCAATTCAAACGGGTTCGAAATTACGAGTCGTGGGTTTGAATCCTCGCACTGTGCAAACATTTGTATTCATGAGTATGATTGTATATATCGGTCTGAGTGTTTTCTATTTATATTATGTATTTACAAAAAAAAAATACTCATAACACGACCTTTTAGCTAGCGTAACTTGGGCCTACATGACGCTATGTAAATTGTCCTGATATTATTGATTATTATTACTATATTGAGATTATAGTAGCCATAACACAAGCTCTGATTACCGTGGGACTAGATGGCGCTGTGTTAATTGTCCAGGGTTGTTTTATTTTGTATACACATTTATTATTGTAATGACGTAATCTCGTTAGTAACAAATTTTTTTTATGGTTGATAATGGAATGGTTCTTTCTCCTGCTCTAACGGTTTTCGCTGGCGGGGCACCAGTGGAGGATGATAAGGTGAACATGAGGTCAGGTCAAATTTCAAACTCACCAGGCTATTATTGTTATTCACCAATATCACGATGTTATCCAGGGGGAACAGCGTGGAGGTCAAACTGACATGGTACATTGCTAGTAATAAGTCATGAGTCCAGATTACTTTCAATCCACTTTCCCCAGTACCTATATCTTTAAATGTGTTGTATTAACAGAACCAGCCAGCGGCGTACCGGGACTTCGTCGAAGTGCTAGTAAAGGACATTAAGAGCATGATCCAGTTCTCATCGCTTTAAATCGGATCTCGTGTTACTACACCATACCATCGTCAATAATGGCATTTGTAATTGTTAATAATAAAGAAAAGTTATTTTTGTAAAAAAATATTTCATTTCTTATCCTGCTAATATTATAAACGCGAAAGTTTGCGCTAATAGCTATAATAACATATATTTCCGAGTCATGGGAGAAGTCACAGGATCGTCTATCGTTGTATGGGCGGTGTTACATATGAATGTGGATGGTTATAAGGGTAGAGGAAGACCGAAAAACAGATGGATGGACTGTGCGAAAGATGATATGGTGAGAAAGGGAGTAAATAACGGGATGACTGCGAACAGAGATGAATGGAAGAGAAAAACATATTAGGCCGACCCCAAATAAATGGGATAAGGAAGAAGCAGATGATGATGGGAGAAGTCACAGGATGCACTCGGAGTTTTTTGTGACCTATCAAAGGCATTTGATTGCGTGGATCATAAAACGGTTTTGTACAAGCTCGAACATTATGGTATAAGAGATAATGATCTAAAATGAATGAAAACTTATTTAGAGTATAGGGTCCAAACTGTAGATATTGACGGTGTTTTTAATTTATATACCTCATCTTTATGGTACAGAAAATTGCAGATATAGTGCTGTTTGCGGATTATACTTCGTTAGTGTTTAAAATTGGACGTCAAAGTAATCAATTAGACGATGTAAGTTGTGCTATGTCTGTTATATTAAATTGGTTTACATGTAATAACCTATTATTAAATTCCAGCAAAACAAATTGTATAAAATTTACACTTCCTAATGTAAGACTAATAAATACACAGTTATTGCTTAATGACGAAATAGTAAATTTTATTATTGATACAGGTTTTTTTTAGGTATAACAGTGGACTCGAAAGTACAATGGGGGCCCAATATTTCAAAATTGGCCAGTAGACTCAGTTCTGCTGCATATGCAATGAGAAGAATTAGGTAATTAATAGACGTGGCGACGGCTAAATAGATATTTTAGTTATTTCCATTAGCATAATGTCATATGGCATACTGCTATATATAAATACTATATTTATATTACAAAAGAGAGCCATACGTTCTATTTATGGTATGGGTTCAGGAGAGTCATTACGTCAGTGCTTTAAACAATCAAATATCCTCACCGTTGCTTTACAATACATTTACGAAAATATCATGTAGACACGGAAGAACTTAGAGAGTTTTAAAAAACTCAAATACTGTACAAGTAGAAACTTACGCAATAAAAATAAGCTAATTTTACCTGAATGCCGTCTGCACAAAATCAGTAATTCATTCTACGGTAATTGCGTAAGATTTTATAATAAACTGCCAGAATCTGCAATAAATTAAACAATTTTTGTGTAAGAAAGCCTATTACAGGATAGACGAATTCATAGATGACAACATATCAAGTAAATAATTAGTTGATTAGCATACAACGTTATAATTTGTTTTTCCCAATGCTTTCTTGATTTAATTATTTTAGAAATATGAAATCGTAGCGGTTTTTGTATTGATCGCCGCATGCATTCTTATGTAAAATGTGAATACTATAACTATCAGATGGCAATTGTAAGTAGCTATGACCTAGTGTTTTGAGTAGTCATGTTCTGTGTCCTATTTTTGTTCCTACACTTTTAAGTAGCGCTCGGCGAGAATAGAATAGAATAGAAAATATATATATATATATTAATTTAAGATTATAAAAAGTCATAACAATTTGTTTTTTATCTACCACTCGTTCGGAAATGTCATCACAAGAAGAACGAGCAAGAAACTTGTGTGTTGCTAATTTAAATAATCCTTGTTTTACATTTACAAGTCGAAACGTGTGAATACAAACTACCAACTGGTCCAATTTTTGGGTCAAATATAAATATGCAATAAGATTAATTCAGTCGTAGTGATAAGAGCAGACCAGTCCCTACAAGCAGCACGAGTATGACGGATGAGCCAGCCATCACTGCGCTCGACTATATTTTAGGGGGCCCAATGACCCGGCCCACCACGCCGCCACAGGTGTGGACATTTTAGTGAGCATGACTACTCATTCCACACGACCACGTCACAGCTACACAAATTACTATATGGTAGCGAGATGTCCATGTTCTGTAATTTATTTAAAGTATCGCTCTGTAAATTGAAACGAATGTACATATAGAATGGGACATATTTAAGTAATATGGAAAAAATAAACGTATAAATTAATTTCTGTTTAATGATAAATCACACATTAAAGCAGGTGAGAATATCTCAAAGAAAATTGGTATCTATATGATGTTTTTGGAGGATATATTTTTGTGTATATTTGTAGGAATATTTATGTATTTACATGTGTATATATATATATATATATATATATATATATATATTTATTCATGTATATTCTATAAAATATTATAATATTGTTTGCACCGCCAACAACTTATCTCTGCACAACTGATGGTTGCCTGGTAGAAAATGCCATTAGGTGTTAAGTCCGCCATATGTACTTTTTACCTGTGTATGACGTGCATTAAAGTTATTTAAATGAAATAAAAAAATAAATATTTTTTACAGATTTCACTAATTGTGGATGGATAGGATTTGTACTTATAAGTGAATGTTATGTATGAAGGAGATAAGATGTTTTTCTTCCCATAGAGTTACCGACGGCAGAAGTTCAGAGCTTTATATTATAATCCTTCGAACGTTTTAACGCAGATCTGTGCACGCCTCTTAAACCGTCTTGTCACAGATCTGTGCCCGCAAAACCGTGACTTCTTTTTAACCAATTTTATCCTTATTTAAAACAAAATAAGATTGAAACGCATTTGAAAAAATACAACTGGCGCACGCATACCGCCTCTGCACTCTTGATCGCTGCGCTAGACGACTGACATTCGGTTTAATTAAAACCGCATGAATGAAATTACTTTCGTAATGTATGTAATTAATATTATAATAAACGTAGATAATTGTTTTATAAGAACGATATACAGGATTAGGTACTCGTTTTTATTAAGAAATTATAGTTTATCAATAAGCGCACTTCGAAGGCAGACAAGAAATAGAAACAGAAATAATCTTTATTCAAATAAACTCATTACAAGCACTTTTGAATAGTCATATTTTGATTCTACCACTCATTCGGAATGCAGATTCATCACAAGAAGAACGAGCAAGAAACTTGTGTGTTGCTCTTTTTAATAGATGTTTTTTTTATATAAATAATTACAGTATAACAAGTAAGAGGCATGCGATAATCAACATAGAAATTGCTACGCACTCATTATTAGTGTAATTAGATAATATTGTCAGTGCTATGGATTTAAAGTTTTTCTATAAAAACATTATTATCGTTAAGGAATTCATCAATTTTATAGTAAGCTTTTTTGCAAAGAAACTTTTATTTGACAAGAGACGTCTATTAAACTAATATGGGTTAAAATATTTTATTAGTTTGTTTGTAATATGTTATTGTACAGTAAAGATTTTATTAATTTTTTTTTATTACACAGTGAATATTTTTTTTATAGCACCGGTGGACCGTTTGTCCACATTGTCCACGTCCACGACTGTTTGTTTGTAATGAGAACAATACAATTGTTAACCGCGTGGTTTTAAAGTAAAGGAGACAAACGAGGCTGAGGCTTACCTGATGGTAAGTGATTACCGCCGCCCATGAGCATCCGCAGCATCAGGAGAATTGGAAGTACGTTGACGGTTTTTTAAGAAGAAATGAGCTCTTTCTTGAAGGTTTCAATATCGTATCGTTTCTGAAAAACCATTACTGGAAGATTCTGTAATGTGGTTGTGCGTGGCAACTCCGTATTTTGCTGTATTATCAATGTAGCTCCGCTCCTATTGGTCATAGTGTTATGTTATATACCCTATTGCCTTCCTCGATAAATGTGCTATTCAAAATCGCTTCAGTAAATCTAAAGATTACCTCTTACAATCTGACAAAGTTTATCTCTTTATAATATTAGTGTAGAAGAGTTCATCCAGACCATTTTTGAATGACTGTCTGCACCATTCCACACTTCCGGGTTGGAATTGTGCGGACAAGAGATAATACGCTTTACTGTAGTATGAACTCATACCTATATAAATAGGCGACCTCGGTACTCTAGCAGTTTAGCACGCGGCCTTATTTCCAATGGTCTCGGATTCGATTTTTCTCACGGCACAAACATTTGTACTCATGAGTTTTCTATGTATAATATGTATTTATTTATGAAAAAATCGATGTATTTGTATCAGTTATCTAATACCTATAACACAAGCTTTTTTTTTATAGATGATAAAAATCTGATGTATAATATGAGCATGAGGTCAGGTCAGTTTGCCCATCGTGACAAATTCACCAAGAATCTATAACGATGGTTTCCAGGGGAACCGCGTGGAGGTCAACCTGACATGGTATATTGATAGCAATAAGATCAGTCCACATTACTAACTAGACTACTAGTCTAGATGGCGCTGTGTGAATTGTCCTGAGATTATTATATATGAAAATATACAAAAATTAATGATATAAGTTATATATATAATTGCACATGTGTTACCCACTCACTAATAGCTATACCTCACTGTTGGGTTGACTGGTAGAAATCTCGTTTAGAGATAAGTCCAACTTTGCTCACTCTGTACCTATATATTTAAGTTTACTATTGTATTTAAAAGTGAAATAAAAATCCAGGAGGACCGCATGGAGACATGGTACTTAACTATATTACCAGCAAAAACAATAGGGCCATTAATAATACGGAATAGTTTTTATTCTTATACTACATATTATAAAAGATTCCTTTAATATATAATCTCAGAACAATTCACAGTGTCATCTAGACCCAAGTTAAGCTAGCTCTTGTGTTATGGGTACTAGATAACTGATACATATACATAGATATTTTTTCGTAAATACATATTATACATAGAAAATACCCAGACCGATACAAACAATCATACTCATGAATACAAATATTTGTGCCGTGCGAGGAATCGAACCCGCGACCATCGGTCGTAAAGCGGTGTGCTTGACCGCTAGACCACCGAGGTCGTCGATATATAATAAATATATAGAAT